GTAGAAAATTGAATTTGATGTTGAAAATTAACTTGGATGTGTTTTAAAAATTGAAAATCATTCTTTTTTTTGTACATTTTTTTTTAATTTTAGGAAAGCCTCTGACAGGCTTCAATTTTTAAAAAGCCTGGATAACACTAATAGCCCTGATCTGTCCCAACTGGTGGAAATTGCCCTAGCGACCATTTCACAGGAGTCATCCCAGAATGAAAGCCTGCAAGACTCCAGTCATCAAAACTTCCAGACAGTGTTGTCAGACATTGAGAAAGGAGGTAAATATGAGAAGTGCATCATTACCTTCAGCACCAAATAAAATACAAAACCACATGGCATACACAATCACACGGCATACATAATAACATATCATACATAAGCCCATGGCATACACAATCACATGGCATACACAATCACATGGCATACACAATAACATGACATACACAATAACAGGGCATACACAACCACATAGTATAAAAAAGTGGAAAATAACAAAATATAAAAAAACTTTTTTAAAAAGGCTTAAACCAAAGAAGAGTTAAAACTTTCTAAAAGGCGGAAAATCATTTACATTTCTTAAAATGCATTATGCAAAGAAAGTATGTGCAGAAAATGTTTTCAAAAATTAATACAAATAAAAAAATCTACACTGAATTCGAATCCTTTGGCTTCAAAGAGTGCTCATCTACACTTCTGCAAGTCTTTCTTCGTGTAATTCATTGGACAAATTTTAAAATTGTTTTCTACTTTTCAGCGCGTTTTAACAAGTCTTGGACTTGGATAGAAAGTCTTCTTTTTTTTTTTTTATATTTGTGCTTTTAAAAAATATTTGTATTATTTTAAATTTAAAAGAAAATCAGATTCTCCTGGATAATATATAAGGGACTGTGTTCAAGCCGCTGAGAGAAACTGTAAGACAGGAAATGTAAAAGCTTGAAGGAGAAAATAGGACTATCAAAAGACTGTTTGGGTCAGAAGCCCAGGCAGCAGACTAAACAATGAACAAAAGAGATTCAGAACAACTTAGCATTGTCGGGGTGTCGTGTCAATAAATATATTATGCTCTTGTCTATGTTAATTATAATCCTTTTTTTCCCCATAATCACTGCCAAGTAATCCTTCTTAATTATCTACCAAAATGACCCGACTACACTAGCACCCAATATACAGACAAAGAACAGCTATAGGTATCGTCTAAAGTTTTCACAATCACCTCTTCCCAAGGGCTGTTTGATCAGAATGATAATTTTTACCATAAATAGCAAAGAAAAAAATTCATTGAAAGTTTTCAGGGATTTAGCTAAATATAGGAAGATGCTGCAGTCTAACGGGATCAATTTTTCTAATTTTTTTAATCAATACAGTTAAAGAGAATGAGCTGACAATACAAGGCATCCAAATGAAAGATTTGTTTATCCCTGAGGACCAAAGGCAGAAACTCTCTAAGCTATCAGGTGCAAGTTTTTATAGTGTATCTATCAGCTACCAGTACAACGAATTATTGTGTATCTATCAGCTACCAGTAGAACTAATTATTGTGTATCTATCAGCTATCAGTACAACTCATTATTGTGTATCTATCAGCTACCAGTAGAACTAATTATTGTGTATCTATCAGATATCAGTAGAACTCATTATTGTGTATCTATCAGCTACCAGTAGAACTAATTATTGTGTATCTATCAGATATCAGTAGAACTAATATTGTGAATCTATCTATCGGCTATCAGGTGGAACTTATTGCTGTTTAACCTTGATGATTGATTTTACAAATAAGTTTATGTTCAAGATCATCCTATTAACCTTGGAGATTGATCATACAATTTTATTTTTATTTTTTACATCTGCAGAATGGAGTTTGAGTTATGAGCCTCCGCCAATGCCATCAACATCGTCACTAGGATCTGTCTTAACATCCTCTCAATCAGGATGTACACAGCATCCGCCAATGCCATCAACATCGTCATTTGGATCTATCTTAACATCCTCTCAATCAGGATGTACACAGCATCCGCCAATGCCATCAACATCGTCACTTGGATCTAACTTAACATCATCTCAATCAGGATGTACACAGCATAACTTTAACATTAGTTCGCTTAAATCTAGAGGGAAGATTTCAAAGACTATGCCACGGAATAGAAGGAAGGGCAACTGTCAGCCAAGGGCCAGAACTCAATTTACAAAAAACATGGAGTATTCTCTAAATGCCAGGGACACAGAGGAAATTAAATCAACTGCACTCTTAGAGGCGATTACATTTTCTGCTGACACCAGGGACCAGTCACATTCATCTCATGAGGAACAATCACATACAGTCCACAAGGAACAATCACCAACAGTCCTCAAGGAACAATCACATACAGAACACAAGGAACAATCACCTACAGTCCACAAGGAACAATCACCTACAGTCCACAAGGAACAATCACCTACAGTCCACAAGGAAAATGGGTGTAAGACTATCTGCAGTTCTGGGAGTTTGTTTACAGACTCAGAGCAAGCTGTTGAATTAAGCTCCCCAGCGATCACACCAGGGGATATTGCTTCACAGGCAGAGTATCCCCAACAAATGTGCCAGGTGGTGACAGAGCCACCAATATGTGCAAACAAAAATTCAGATTTTGGGAGTCCTAACTTCCTGTCAGTTGAACCGGAAATTCAAAAAATGGATGAAACTGTTGTGTCAGACGTGCAAGGAAATAACTCTTTTCCTATTGATCTCTCTTCAGGAGAAAACACTCTTTTTATTCCTGATAAGAGTTTTTTTAAGAATCAGGTCCGCGATGATGATGAAATGGCCAGCACTGGAGATAGTTTTTTTTATTGGAGTGGTACATCATCTGGCACAGGAGCGGGGCATTCAGCTGTGTCATTGGAAGGCAGTTCTTGTAATGAGATGACAGTTTTATCTGCGTGTTCTGAAACCGATAATCCTTCATCTACAACACATCAAACAAACACACCTTCATCTTCAACACACCAAACTAACACACCTTCATCTTCAACACACCAAACTAACACACCTTCATCTTCAACACATCAAACTAACACACCTTCATCTTCAGCACATCAAACTAACACACCTTCATCTTCAGCACATCAAACTAACACACCTTTATCTGCAACACATCAAACTAACACACCTTCATATTCAGCACATCAAACTAACACACCTTCATATTCAGCACATCAAACTAACACACCTTCATCTTCAGCACATCAAACTAACACACCTTCATCTTCAGCACATCAAACTAACACACCTTCATCTTCAGCACATCAAACTAACACACCTTCATCTTCAGCACATCAAACTAACACACCTTCATCTTCAACACACAAAGCACACACTCTTATAACTTCAAAACATCAAACACAAAGGACTTCTTCTTCTACACATCATACACACAACAAAGGAAATCCTAAAATTCCTATGAACCAAGAGGACAGAACCAGTTCTAAAGACACATGTAACTCTATGACAGGATCCTCCCTATTGAGGATGGAACCATCTGACAGCTCTGAAGTCAGAAGTAAGTCTATGACAGGAACCTCCCTATTGAGCATGGAACCATCTGACAGCTCTGAATTCAGAAGTAACCCTATGACAGGAACCGCCCTGTTGAGCATGGAACCATCTGACAGCTCTGAAGTCAGAAGTAACCCTATGATAGGAACCTCCCTATTGAGCATGGAACCATCTGACAGCTCTGAAGTCAGAAGTAACCCTATGATAGGAGCCTCCATAATCAGCATGAAATCTTCTATTAGGACAACACATAAAAACAAAACCTTTGGCCCGGCATTTCCCACCAACACTGAAACTGTTTCTTGTAAAGCAAAAGTTAGCGAGAATCTAAATAAATCCAATAAAAAAATATTTGTTGGAACCTCAGAAAAATATTTAATTAATCCGCCCCAGGGATCATCTATACACAAGAATGGCAAGTCACTAAACATCTTAGAGAGGAATTCTGGGAAAATGCTCAAAAATGACGACTCCCTTCTATCAGCATATCAAGGTGACTACAAGTTAACACAAATGAAATGTGTTGTTCAGTTATCAGTAGACAATCGCCCGACTGTACAGTTGCCAAGGACTCCAAATCACCGCCACCCAGCACAAGTAAAAACCGTCTACTTGAGGGAAGTCTCTGATGTAGATCCCACCATCAAAAAAATAGCCGAGTTGTCGCCATCATTGTTCTCAGATACACAAGTCAGAGTACATCATCCAAGTGTTTCAAAGTTATTTCATTTCATTAGTAGTGGGGATAAGTCAGGTTTCAGAACCTAAGAGTGCCTCTTGTTTTTGGAAGGTCTGAATGTTCAATGTCTGTCTGTAGGACTAAAAAAAAGAATTTTCTGGGGGGGTTTTTTTTTCAAAATTGCTGTCAAAATTAATGTAATTATTTAGGCAATTTTCAAATGCAACCGAGTGTTATTACTTTCTCATGGTTACGCATTTTATAGAAACCCACAATATATTAAATACAAAATCCATTTTCATTTCCTCCCTCCCTTTTCAGTGGAGACATTATAAAATGAGTGACCTCTTATTGCTACCGGTATTAAAAAATACCTTTTTAACAAATCAACAAAGGAGGTGGGTGGTATTCCCTACATGAAATTGTAATTTATTTTTTTTTAAACATTTTATGAGCATATCTCAGCAACTGCATGAGCAGGGCGAATTCAAAGACCAAAAGATGTAGAAAGTCATTTGTTCCCCATTCTCTCAGTCTACCATATGCGTTAGAAGAGAAAACAATTTTTCTCAAAGTCCTTATTGGCACTAAAGACTAAAGGCAAGTGTGACGACATAGGATGTCTGGTTTTTGTGTGTTTCAAAAATTACTTTTAAAATATCATATTTTAAAATTGTCCTCATTTAGAAATAGAATTTAACTTAGGTGTTGATGTTGTTGTATTAATTATCTACCGGTATATTTTTATTTAATATGCTGAAAATGAATTTGTGCAATGTAATCAAACACAATTCCATTGTTTTGATTAGCAAATCTTTAATCAAATATTTTAATGCGATTTATAAATAATGTACATACTTTGACGTAAATATTTCTCAAAGAAAACTCTTTGTTTTTATTCATTGTATATTTATTTATTTATTTGAGAAAAACTCATGCAATTTTGTAAACATTACAAAATAATAAATTAATTTCCATTAAAAATATATTTATTAAGATAACAAAAACACAACTTATTACTTTTTGTGTTTGTTATTCTTACTTAGTCAATGTTAACCCTAGTTTGTTCTTTTTAAGTATTATGCTGACTTAGTGAGTTTAACATTGATTTTTTTGTATAACTGAAGTTTGTTTTTTTTTTTTTAAATCCCTTTGGTTTATTTTGAAAAATGAAAGAATCATTTTATTTTTAAAATGCAAGTAAATCTAGTTGGTAAATCTTCAATAACTTCCAGAGGGACTTCCTTTAGACCATTTTCCATATCCAGGTCTAATTCCTCGTGCATTAATGACATCAAGCACCTGGCCGTGTTTGAACTCATTCCACTCCCTCTTCAGCTCTTGCTCGAGATACTCATTTTGAATTTCCTCCTGTTAAAATAAAAGTGTACATTCGCTTAAAACTTTTTACTTGTTGTACTACAGAATGCTGTTTATGTTTTCTAGACCACACCACTCAATATAAAAGTTATCATCAAATGATTCTTGACTGTCTCAGTGATGTTAAAATAAACCCCAGATGATGCCTACTGTAAACTTGCTCTTTATTAGTCTCTTAACATAAATTTAACTGCTAAGTAAATTCAATCAACTTCTGTTGTAAAAATAAACTGAAAGCATCTCCTGAGAGCATTGTGGCAAGCAGCATCTAGTTGAAACTCTTACTATAAATTATTCAAAACTGGTGTTAAGGTAATTTGCATGGTTATTGGAAACAATGATAGTTAATGTTCAGAAATAACCATGGTAGTTAAACCATCTATTTTATTATCTTACTTTAGTCAAATGTCCAAAAGTTCTTGTATTAGATTGTCTCAATAATTGTCGTGTGACATCATCAAGAGCTAAAAAAAAATTATTATAAAAATGTGTGTAGACCCTACCATCTAATAATAATTTTAAAAATAGTGTTTGTGTTGCAGGTGCTAGGAAAAGTAAGTACCCGAAACTTAAAGAGAAAAGGGATAAAAATATGTATTTTTTCTGAGGAACACTGGTTTTAACAAAGAAAGAAAATACAATAATAGTTTCTAGATTATTTAAATCAGTTGGTAATTATATTTTTGGGGTGTGATTTTAATGGTGTGTGCAGTCATTTGTTTAGCAGACTGAAAATCAGTTTGAATTTTAAATAATAATATGGTTTAGAGAGTGAAAATATACAATTGTTGTTAAAAAATCAACAACACAAGATGCTTTCAAGATGCTAAGGAAAGATTTTTTGTTCAGATGCCTTCAAACATAAAATGCCTTTCCTTAAAACAGAAGACAGCTCCTGGTTTCATCCATCCTCTTCACAAACTTTTTAAACTTGACATTAATTTGGTGGGTTTTTTTCTATTTTGAAGACATTTTAAACTAACTTCCCAACACTTTGGACTTGGTTATGTAAAACTGATACTCAGCTTAATCTTGCAAGGCATTTTAAGTTTAACACTCCCTTAAACTGACATGTCCACTTGAAATTTCAAAATAATAAATACAGTTTAATTCAAAACAATAAATACATTTTAATTCAAAACTATAACCTCCTGAGTCCCCAGAGGCAAGTTAGAGTGAAATCAACTTGACACCTATTTTATTGTGCTATAAGTGATGCTAAAATGCTAAAAAAACATTGAAACAAAAAAATTTTATTTTGATATTTGATTTATTTGATGTGCAGTCCACTGGACATCGGGATCCAAATCATTTTTTGCCATACGTAAAAAAACAACAAACAATTGATTACAAAACTCAATCACAAATGTTGCAGGGTTGAACCTTTTGATTATTTCCATCAATGTTTTGATGAACAATTCTACACAGACACAGACTTTTCACCAATCTGCATACTGGTTCCGTTACAGCCGAAGAAATAAAAAATTTTCTTGGAATTAGCATGGAGATGTCTTGCCTGATGTATCCCTCAATACAAATGTACTGGACAACTTCAAATAGGGTGCCAAATATTGCAGAATCGATGGCTCCAACTAAACAGTGTTTACTATGGTCAAAAAAGGAAAAAAATTATATAGAGGAACAGTGTCCATTTCTAACAAAACAATGTAATCACAACATGGGAGGTGTCGACTAGTGTGACAGAACGTTGGGGCTATTACGCTACTTGAGCAATAAATTCCAAATGGTCAATCAGAGTAATATTCCTTATGTTGGACCAAGCTACTGTAAATGCATAGTTTCAATACTGGGACGGAGAAGACATGGAGCAACTAAGCCTGCCTGAAAAAAGCACTCCTCCATTTGATGATGTCACCTTTGAAAAATATAGAGGGAAACAAAAAGAGTCCCTGTGCCCAAACCAGGTTTTCATTAACAAGTTGCCCATCTCTCTGATAATCCAGATATTGATTCAAATTCTTTTTCAAGATGTAGCAGAGAAGGATCTTCAGCTAAATGCAGGGTGCGCTGTTCAACTAGCAAAGCATTTTTGTGTTTGGTTTCCAAAAGGAACTGCTTCAAACTCTTTCATACCAAATGCAAGTGAATGAATCTTTTGTAAGCTAAATTCGTTAACTTTGAGATTAACATCTGACAAATCAGGATCAAATTGGTTATGCCAGAGGGAGCGACTTTCACTTTTTTTGTTGTCTTTGGACAAAGGTTCTTCGTCTTCAGATGATTCATTTTCAGAGTTTGATTCATTGTAATCAATGTCGTCATCTATATCGATTTCATCAGAGGATGAGGATATTTCTCTGATATCTGACGATTGTTCAAACATCACATACAACTGTTGTTCTGTGTGGTATATTCTCTGAGTATTGCCTACAACTGTAAAAAAAAAATAAAAAAAATCAGTTTGCATGATGAAAATAATATATTTATTATTATTCATTTTTATGATAAATTATCAAAATCAGGGATTTTCTTAAAATTTCAACAAACTAAATAAGGCCTTAATATTGTAGAATGCCTAAATTAAATATTCCCACTTGAGATACAGTACTACTATTAGTTAGTACTAAGTTTAGTGAATAGGTCTAGGTACTAGGTAATTTTCATTGTTTTTTTTATTTAAAAATCTATTAATAAATTTAAAGAATACATAAGAGATCTAACTAAATACTGACTAAGATATGTGTATCTAAATGAGTAATTACTTTGATAACAATGATACCATTTAAACACAGCTGAAAATGACATCGATTGCATAGAACTATGACTACGCCTTTAATTCTTATGTGTGTCGTCACCGTATCACCGGTGTTGTTGTTATGATTTGAGTCCTGTGTCCAGTATACTGAACACCTTTTTCAATGATGAAATAAACTACGACTTAATGATATATGAATAAAAATCCTATTATATTCGTATTCTTTGACATATAATTGTCGTAAAACAACATTAAAATCTTTAGATTGGGTTAAATCTAATAAATAATAGCAAAAAACTTACCAGCACCCCCTGAACACGAAGCTACTGCCCCTCTGTCGGCCATCTTAAAATTTAGTATTGTCTATCTCGGCGTAAAAGTAGGTCAAACTAGTGTAAAAATGTGTCCAGCAGGCTACACAAGAGGATCCAAACGAAAATTAGCTACCAAGTTAGAATAACACATAGAAAACTAATGTCCAGTGGGCTGCACGCCTGGACTCAGGAGGATAAGGAGAGAGAAATCTGACATTTGTTAAATTATCCTCATATTGAAGCTTAAATAAAAGGTTGGCACGAAAAGTAATCAAGTATTTTATAGATACTTATTTAAATTATTTCTCAGACTATGTTGGTGTGTCACATTTTTATGTGACTGTTTATTGTATTTTCACCACTCTTGCTTACTTTGCAACTTTTCTGGTCGAATGATTCCAAGCTGTGCCTGTGTAGCTGTTACAACAGAACATGTCATTGGTTCATCCAGTAGAACACTTATTTCTGCAAAGGAATTAAATGGGACAAGCTTTCCCATCACCACTTGTTTTGTCTTTTGCTCCTGCAAAGTAATAATATTGCCAAATCACCTTATATAATCATGAGGCCCAATCACTTTTTGAAAAAGAATAATCATCCACAATTATTTTTTTTTAATTAATCATATCATTTTAATATAAAATTAATTTTTGTTTCATGATATTTCAAAATCAAACTTATTTTTTATCTACATAACATAAATACCTTTTTCCCATTTTTTAATGTGTTGAAGACTTCCACTTGGCGTAAGACATGGCACTCTCCTGATCTTATCAGACCAATGAAAGGTGATTTATAGCCTTCACTAACCAGAACTTCCAACCATGAAAATGAAAATAAAAAATTTTGTAAACGTGAAAACTAAAAAAAATAAAAATTATTTGAGCACTTAATTTATCCTATTAAAAAAAAATTTGAAAATTGACGATTTTTTAAAAATTATATTAAATACATCAATAATATTGTCTTTGTTTTATTAAATGTATATGTGCCTTCTCTAAATGATAGATGCAGTTAGGATCCATTCATATATTATGTGAAAAATACCTGTATTAGGAGGGTATGATATCCACTCGATAGTAGCAGCCACTGCAGTCAATGGCTGTTTGGGCCAAAGTTTGTATTGTTCACATGACAAAAGCAGGTGCAACTTTTCATTTTCCTCTCTGTGTTCTATTTGCTAACAAAATCAAATGCCTTTTAATTATAAAATAATTGGAAAGAGATTATGATAACTATTGACAAATTTCAAAATGTTATAAATTTGGCAGAATTATTACATTGTTAAAATGAGCATTTGGTGTATTACTATTAAAATCCAACATCAGTACTGACAGTTATAGCGAATAGCTGAATCAGTGATTCTTTGAAAGATAAACATCTGTAAGGGTAAACAAGTTCAATTTAAGCCTTACCTCTTTGACCCTTTTGTAATCGCTGACTGAAAACTTGAGAAATTCACAATTTTCTGCCCCGGTTAATACGCTCAGTTCTCTGTTACAAAATGATATTGTTAATGCACTCAGCCTTCTTTAAAAATTTCTTTAACAACACACTTGACTTAACACTCTTTGAGGAAGTTATAATATTAATGCCAGCATTTTAAATTGTATTAAAATCACAGCAACAAATTAATTTTTAAGAACTGTTTCTATCACTTATTACTATCAAAAGACTGGTTTGTAAAGCATATATTTTGTCAATAACATTTTAGCATCACTGACATATGTTTTTTATATATTTAACTGTTTCACTTACTGTGAATATGGATCTTCAAAAGGCAGCCATGTTCCAAAACAATCTCCTACAGACAGCTGCAAGAACAGTAAAAATTGACAAGTTAATTTTGAAAATCCATTGTTTAAGAATATAGTTTTCAATTATAACTAAAGGTGGGGAAATGGGACAAGAAGAGATTAATATATAAATATGAATGTATGCATAAAGACTTTGCACTCTTACTGACATATCCCATTAGGAAATGGCATCAGAGGGCTGTCTAGCTAAAGCTCCTTATGCCCTCCCCGAAGTACCTCCCCTATGCCTGGGTATCGGGCCGCGAAGTGGCACGTTGGAGATGTCCCTTTGCCAGGACAGCCCCCAACCGAGTCCGCTTGATCAGGTCCCGCCGGAGGCCACCCCAACCCAAGGAGACCCGGTCGGTTCGACGCTGTGCATATACACAGTGCAAACGTTCAACTTTCCTAGGAGTCGGGATGGTAAATTTGCTTCCTAATATCTTTCCCCACCCATCTCGGGTGTTTTCTGATAGTGAGAAAATTTATGTTTTTAGATACCAGTGTGAAAACTTTGTTTTCTGGAGTTGTAGTTTAAAAAGTTCAATTAGAACTGGAATATCTTCTGAAAAATTATGATTAAAAAATACTAACTTACTTTAGGTGCTGCTTTACTACTAGAATCACCAAAAGCCACAAATTGTTGAGGATAAACTCCATCCTGGCCAGCAACTAAGTACGGTTGAAAAAGTGGGACAACGCTTCCCTTCAAGATCATGTGAATCCCCGTTTTGCCATAAACTTTATTTACGGAAAAAGACAATTTGTTTTTAAGCTGACTTATTGGCTAAAATGGTGATTTTAAAATTTAGTTTTACATATATATCAAACTTTGTTACACAAATTTTGTTTAAAAAGAAAAAGTTGGCCAAAATGATTATAAAATAGTTTTTTTTAATTTTGTTGGAGTATATGAGTAATGCAATGAGCATCCTAAAAATCCTTTTTAAAATGTAACTAAAAAGATAATTTACCTGGAAAATGTTCTTCTTTCCAGCTCTCAATTTGAGCAACTACAGACAGCTCTTTCAAAACTGCTATCTCTAGATCTCGAAAAAATTCAATAGTTTGAAGAATGGAACAAATTTGCTCATTGTCTGCAGATGATCTCTCAAAGGGGCTGAAAGTAACAATAATGTTTTCAATAGTTTGTTTAAATGATTCAAAATAGGAAAAAACTATTTGAATTAGTTATTTTTATCCAGTGCCCAAAAAATTTTTTTAAATTCCCTTTTTAATTTGAAATATCCATTCAATGCTGAGTACTTTTTTGTCAATAGAGATTTTTTTAAATGTCGAACGTGAAAATTAATTTAAATATTTTTAATAATTGTAACCAAAAACAAGCACTGTTAATTAAAAAAAATTAACAACCAAATATTACTAACTGTTTTCTCAAAATTTGGCGCAGTGTTTTTATGTTTTCAATACGAACTGCTTTTGTGTCTTCTGTCTTCCTTACTTTATGCAGGAGAGGCAAGTAATCTTTGATATTAAAAGTAAACTTTTCATCTATGTTTACTTTTGGTTGTAGATTTTTAGAATTTGTTCCTGTTAAAAAAAAATTTCATAAGCTATTTATAGCCTTGAAAAATCCAGTAATCAAGTAGTTGTATCTGATTTTGTTTAACATATTTTAAATGTTAAAATACAAGTTGATTGATAGAACTATAGATGAAGAAAGAATTAGATGAATACATTACTTGCACTCAAAGTAGGATTGCTAAAACATGAAGATAAATCAGCTTGAATCCTATTGGATAAAAGAATTGTTCTAATTATTAGTATCTTATTTATCATTGTTTAAACAGCATGCTCTATTTAGTCTTTTCAAAAGACAAGAAAATAACAACAAATTTAACATGAATTTTCCTAAAAATCTGCTATGGTATTTCAGTGACTTTCCAGTTTATATTACTATATAAAATGTATAAATGGACAAAAATTATCACTTTATTATTTTTTAAAACTAAATTAAGTTATCAATTTAAAAAGATTAACTTGAATTCAAAGTATAATTAAATTTTCATTTTTTTAAAACAATTGTCTTTCTACATTTGAATAACTATAAAACCAGCTTAAATTATAATCCAGATCATACCCAGCCCTTTTTTCTGAGTGAATGGGGAATCCAATCTTAGCTGGCTTTTGAACAAAAATGTTTTTGTAATTTTGCATGAAAACTTCATGAGCCTCCTCAGTGGACTGAGACTTGCCTCTGGAAGATTTAGTTATACAAAAATAATTTCAAAATAGCTGCAACAGATTATTATAAAACTTCATAAAAAGAAAAATATATGACAGATTATTTAATTGCAAAAAAAAAAAGAAAAAAAAGATCATCACCCGTCAATGGTTCTTAGTTGTAATTACCTTGACTTTAATCCATCAATATTACAGAGCTCTGACAATTTTTTATAATCAATAACAGGAGGTTTTATGTCTGGAACTGTTAGAATATAAAGGAATTTTACTTAAGATCATAGATAATAGAGTAGGCCTTCTTGATTTAAGTATGCAGTCTATCATAATTATGTTAAAGTTACCCTGACCTGGATAGAATTAATAAATTAATAAAAATACAAAAATAAATCATTAAGCTGAGTTAATTATGACTAAAGACAGTGTTATTAGAATTACTTTAGACTACCCAATTTTTTTTCATTCAAACGCCAACAAAAACTAACAGTCAATATCAGTTCAGTATCAAAATCAAATATTTTAGACCCAATTTTAATTTAAATATATATGGCAGGCATGTATACCAATTTATAATTAAAATAAACACAGTCACAAGTCTGTTCAGAAATCAATATTTTGACAATGACATACATATCATACACTCACTACTACTTCGAGTTAGGGCCTACATTTACTTGACTTGTACACTAATTACAGTAGGCCTACAGTCTACAGTGCCAACAGAAAAACACTTTTTTTTTTACTTTAACTTTTATTTTTTACTTTTAACAAGTTTAAACAAGGCTACTTACTTCTTAAAATAGACCATATATAACATAATATATATTTAATATATAATTATATTTTATAGCTTATACTTATAATATATATATTTTTTTTTTTTAATATTTTTATTTCATAAATTAACTGTCAATAAATGAGCTTACGTTTTGTTCTGATGTCTGACGATTCATTTACATTCCAATTAAATCCATTTTTGTGATATTTATCATACTTAATAACTATTGCCATTACTATTATTATTGGAAAAATAAACTAACAAGCTTAAAATATTGAAATTTAGACGCTGACATCATTAAGTATTTAGGGCATTTATAGTATAGCCATGTTTATAGCAATGTGTGTTGCCTAGGTTGCATCTTCCATTTCAAAAGTTTAAAAAATATTATTTTAAATCTTGAAGCATTATTATTATTAACATAATATATTTGCAGAAATCATATATTCATGCATACATATATAATTATATAATGGTAATTATAGAAGCTATTTTAAAATGTATAGGCTCTCAACAATTTTTAAATAAATAAAGCGATCTGAGTATAAATATAGAAGTTAGGTAAAGTAATATTTTGTAGTCTGAAAATTTGAAGAAACTTTTTTTTTTTTAATTCCTGAAAATGCAGGCGAAAATTAAGAACCAAAATAAATCTGTACGGCTAAATTTTAGTTACAAAAATAAAAAACATTTTTGTGTGTGTGTGTGTGTGTTTAAATTTTTCCTAGAACAGTGGTTCTTAATCAGAGGTGAAAATACCCCGTATTGAGGTACGTCATTGGGTTAAAAAAGGAGGGGTGGGGGGGGGGGGCAAATTGCTTCTCTTTCCCCGCCCTCCCCACCTGAAATTACAAGATTAAAAAAAACAACAACGGGGTGAAAGTATGAAAGACAGCCGAAAATCAAACATAGAAGAAAATTGAGGTACGTCATTGGGTTAAAAAAGGAGGGGTGGGGGGGGGGGGCAAATTGCTTCTCTTTCCCCGCCCTCCCCACCTGAAATTACAAGATTAAAAAAAACAACAACTGGGTGTCAGTATGAAAGACAGCCGAAAATCAAACGTAGCAGAAAATAATGAACAATTAGCTATTCAATCATTTAAAATTAACAATCGTAAACATAAATCATAATATAGCAATCTTACTTAAAAGGCTATGCCTATGTCATGTAGGCTTATTGTTGGACAACTCAAAGATCCAGCCAAGTTTTTCTATCCCCCCCCCCCCACCTTTTTTGGGTGAAAAACTGAAATGAAGTCCCTGTGTAGAAGACTCAGAGACAAAATTATGCGTTACCATTGCTTTTTGTTGCTGGCTTAAAATAAGTTTTTATTCATTTTGATTAGCAGCAGTAGGCCTAAATGTTGTTCTGGTGAATTGTGTTTGTGCATTACTCGTGTTTCTTTTTCTTCTTGTTTTATAAAGTTAATTAAAGAAATAAAAACACAATAACTAACCTACTTAATTATTTTAATTTCTTTAAATTGTACTTAAACATATTTTTTTACGACGGGGACAATACATTTAGACGGGGGAGGGGAGGTATGGGAATTTTTTTTCAATTTGAAACGGGATGCAGCGCTGTAAAATGTTAAGAATGATAAAAATATCATATTGCTAAGTTACTTCACAAGGAAGATAATCAAATAATCAGAGGCAACCATCAAGGTTAGTTCAACGTTTATTTCATGAGAACAACATGGCTACCCTACCAACATGGAGCATGACTAGACAGCATAAAAACGTGACGTCATTTTCCAACATTGTCCCTGCCCTAGAAACATGTACTAAGATCACAACCACTACCAAAATGTCCTCTTTCAATGTAAAGTCACAGTGCTCAGCTCCGCCCCCATCGTCACTCGACACAAAATTTGACACACACACATAGACCTTTTTTTTTTCTTTTTAAGTGGATGACTCATTTATGGATGGCCATTTATTTTACCGGATATGTAAAATTACATTTCCTATAAATGTACGTCATTTGCATCTCATTGTATTTGAGACTAAATGAGCCTTAGATCTAGACTATAACTAGTAACTTGGGCAGAAACTTGATTGCTGTATTATGTAAGTAATTTAAACAACCTTAACCGCCCAGTCCCCAATACACAACCCCCACCCCTTTGTGCAGGGCCGGATTAAGCCATCTTGTGCCCTGGGCACGAGCCCACATGGGTGCCCCCTACTGCCCCGGGCCCCCGATCCTCCACTGACTGCTGGTATGTTCAATATTATGCAAAAAACTAACAAAGAAAAACAGTTGTGAAATGTAAACACATATGTTTGTACTACTATCACTCATATAAAACCTACAAGAAGGTGTGTATTAAAATTAATAGTCAATTAATTTTGTAATAATAGTAGACAAAAATACTGTAACTTTTTTGATAGATAAGAAAGTCAGAGAGAGAGCACACATTTACATTTTAAAGTCAGAGAGAGCACACATTCACATTTTAAAGTCAGAGAGAGCACACATTCACATTTTAAAGTCAGAGAGAGCACACATTCACATTTTAAAGTCAGAGAGAGCACACATTGACATTTTAAAGTCAGAGAGAGCACACATTTACATTTTAAAGTTCTTTTTTCTAGATTGACGTCTGGCAAACGTTTTTGAGTTCATCATCAAAGTTACGTTTCAACTGAGAAAAAGAAGAGCGCTCAGTTGAACAGTTCGTAACCATTAATGTTACAAATATGCGCAAGGCGATTTCTACATTTGGAAAAGCACACTCGATGTTGTCTTTAACTATTACTTTGTAGAGTTCTGCATGACTGAACGAGTTGTTCTCAGATTTTGATGCACGAAACTTGTGGCGAATATATGAGTGGAACTGTTGTAGTTCAGTATATAAATTATTGTTCAGATCTTCAGGATAAGAATTTATTAGTCCCTCACAACACTGAGATGTTTGTGGTACATCGACCAAACAAGAAAATCGAACTGCTAGCTCATGATATACCTGTCCTCGTCTACTTATCTGTGTCTCAAGTTTGTCAACAATGGTGTAGAAAGCAGATATACGAAATTTGTCTCTGGCATTCTGAGATACCTGAGGGGCATCACCATCAATGACCAATGTCTTTCGTTTACGATTGCGGGTCAAAGTTGACTTATAATCCACACCTGATGTTATTTCTTTTGCAGCTTCTTCAAATCTTTCAAATTCATTTCTAGATTCATGCAAGTGATCTGCTAGTGAAGAATACAAATCAGCACACCTTTTCAAGTTCACGTGCTCATTTTGTAGAGCTTCCCTAACCCTGTGAAAATGTTGAAACACTTCTTCCCAAAAGACGAGCATGAAAGCAAATTCTAATTCTTGCATCTTCTTTGCAATGTTTTCTGCTTCTTTTCTGGTGTCCCCCTTCTGTGACTGGTCTTCTTGTAAACATTCTAACGCTTCTATAATCTGAGGATGAGACTTTAGAATGGCTTCAGTTGCAACAGCATGTGCTTCCCATCTGGTATCGGAAAGGGACTTTACCGGCTTTTCATTCACAAGGCATCCTTTCAGAATCTTCCATCTTTTGGTTGAAGCTGAGAAAAAAGTACACATCAGTTGCACTGTATGGAAGAAGTTTACTACCTCTAAACAAGAGTCAACGGCACTTCTGCCTACTAGATTTAGTGAATGGGCAGCACAGGGTATGTATATAGCAAACTCATTTTCTTCTAGAATTTTTTTCTGTATGCCCTTGTAGCACCCAGACATATTAGCTGCGTTGTCCTAGGACTAACCTCTGCATTTCGAAAAAATCAATATTGCAAGCTTCACGTAAGTACTGTAACACGTGGTTAGACATACCTACACCGGAGTGACTTTGCAGCTCCAAGAAAGTCCAAAAGCCCTCAATGGGCTCTCCATCTACCACATATCGAAGAACAACGCTTATCAGGTGTAGAGTCTACTGACAAGCTGAAATAACCAGAAGCCTTTACTTCGTCTGCAATTTACTGCATGGACTTTTTGAGACATAATTTCAATCAGTGCTACACGTATAGTTTTGGATGAATAAGGAGGATTTCCCTTTCCAGAATTTCCATATTTCGCAATGTGTGATGCTAAAAAGGGATCAAACTGAACCCATTTTTATCAGCCAAACTTGTGGAACCTTTAGACGCAAAAAGTTTACAAACAATTACGCTACGGGGACAATAAACACATTTTTCTTGAGGACTTGTGGTGCCCCCCAAATGCTTGGTGCACATGCCTTGTTTGCCTAATGGTTAATCCAGCCCTGCCTTTGTGTACATTTTAATTTCTTTTTTTTTTTTTAAATAATGTACACGAGGAGGTGGGGGAGAGCCAAGTTGTCTGCCGTCTTCCTCCTTCAGATATCTTTTTAACTTATGATTTACCTCCCAAAACACAGCTACACAGCTACTCTGGTGGGGTCAAGAGTTTGATTTCATCTGGCTATTTATTTATCAATGGCTAGGGATATAATTGGACATGCTACCTCTAGTTTGTAAGTCAGACACACTAACCCCCCCCCCCTTAGTCAGACACACTACCCTGGTTTAGTCAGACACACTGCACTGGCTTAGTCAGACACACTGCACTGGCTTAGTCAGACACACTACACTCAGTGGCACTACACGGAGTAGGTAAAATTAACCTCACAAAACCCAAGAAAATACAAACAACAACAAAAGAATTTTTAAACAATGTATTTTTGTTTATTACAATACCTGCTTTGCAACATGTAAAAAAATATAAGTCAGTATGAAATGCATGTATGTACAATTACATTTTATTTAGTATAACAGCAACAAGAGGATCATGAGTGGCAAGTCTTAAATGATACTGACTTCCATATTTGAGTTTTCCTGACTACTACTATGACTACTAGTCCTTCACATACCTAGAAAAAAAAACGTCTATTCCTATTATATCATTGAAAATATTGGAGGTAAATATTTAAAACAAAACACTTTGATAAAAAAAAATAAACATCCAAGTTTTAATACATTTTTAATGAGAATCTAAATTAATTCAAATTATGCATGCATTTATTTTCATTAATTTAACTGCCAAAAATGTATTAAAATATGCTAAAAATTATATAAGTGCAGACATTTTGTTCAGATCTATAAAAAAATGATTTTATTAATAATAAGACACATATAATTTCTATCAGGTAGAAAATGCTATGATGAAAATCAAAATTAAATTAAAATTTAGTTTGATAATATAAATAAAATGAATACCGGTAGTGAAAGCATGGCATGTAACTTGGTAGACACTAGTACTTTGATAGCATGGCATGTAACTTGGTAGACACTAGTACTTTGATAGCATGGCATGTAACTTGGTAGACACTAGTACTTTGATAGCATGGCATGTAACTTGGTAGACACTAGTACTTTGATAAAAATAACCCCCCAAAAAACTCAATGACAGAATATATATTATTTCTCCAATTAATAAAATTAAAATTAATGTTACAATTATTGTACCGATGATGTTTTTTAAAATAAACAATTTCTCTAAATAATAATGTGTACATTATGTGACAATTATTGATTTTTCAAAGACTTTAATAATATTGAGTCTCCCAAATGTCACCATGAATGCAATTTATCACATCATTAAAAAAAAATAACTAAATTAAATAACAAGTCAATGTTTTAATACATTAATAATTTAAATCATTTAGTATCTTTAAAATACAAATTTTACAACTTTTTTTTTTGCAATGAAAAAATATCATATTTTGAATTGAGAAATGTAACCTAACTGCAATGATAAAATTAACGAAATTTCTCTTGAAGATGAAGTGGTCACATTTCTGGGGAAAAAATTACTATTTAGTCTGTTAAAACATGAAAAAATAATTACATCACTGTTTAAATGTGCCAACACATGGCAATTACATTTTCATCAATTATTCTTGGCTTGGGTTGAAACTAAGAAAACAATTTTTCATTCAGTAACCCATTTGCAACAAGTAAAAAAAAATTAATTAATATTTAAAAAAAAAACTTAAATCCATGACCTTGGAAGTGCTTTTTTTTTTAGAGTATTCAATAACTTCAATTTATTTATTCAGTCAACAACAAAAAAACAACAACTCTCAAAGTCCATATTTTGTTGTTCTCATTTATTTTCTAAACTGATAAGTAGTGATAGTGGAATATAATTTAGAATTTAAAAAACATTGTGTGTGGAAGTTATATCGCAACATATTTTAAAATTATTCTAAATTTTTAAAACTAATTTGGAAACTGGTTATAAATTGCATCCATCATTGTTGTTATTGGTGGTCGTATTATCTTTTAAATGTAAAAACCAATGGAAAAGAATGAAATGTTTTTAAACCTAATGAACACAATCTATCAAGTCATTAAAGACTTCGCAGCCATCATCAACATTTTAATCATTTTCAGTTTCCTTGTATCTGCACTATTGACTTCTAGGGCTTGTAATCGTTGCACCAACCCTCCAAGGACATTGGGAATATGTTCTGAAGTCATTGGCTGGCTAGTGTCCAGATTAAGGACTGCTTCCTCCAAATATCTGTGGAAAAAATCAATTATAAACTTTTTTCTGCACCTGAGATAATATGTCACAACAGAGATAATATGTCACGACCGAGATAATGTCACAACCATTTTATTTTCTTACACCACTTGACCATTTTATACATCAAAATGTTCAGAACTGAATAGACTCTTCCTAAATATATATTTTTTTAAATACCCAATATTTGTACAAAACTCAAACATGTAACTAGAGCTCCAATAGTAACTTTTAACAAAACCATTGAGTTTGCATATAACTTACTTTATTTTAAGCTCAAAGTTTTTCTCCAAACTTGCAGAGAGCTGACTGATGAGAGATAAGAGTACAGGTTGAGTGAGTGGACACTGCTTCTGAGAGAAGATGTCCAGCGGTTTGGCCGATTCACATGTGAACACCACAACATCCAAGTTGCTGGCCGACAATGCCTGTAAGATGGATCAAAGCAGTTTTGTCATCAACATGTCAACTGGGCAAATCAGTTGTGTTTCATCAGTTAAAATTAATTTTTATCATCAAATAGTACTTACAATTTGAAATGCTTCATTTATTCTTCCTGTGCGAAGCTCCCTCATTATTCTATCTTTACTATCTTCCTGTTCTGTTGTTGATGGTACAGGAGTTGCAGCTCCTGATCGGAGATAGGATGTGAGCTGATTGCTAATGCTCGTCCCGTGTTCTCTCAAAGATGTGCCCACCTCTTCCTTTACAATCTTTCGAACATCTTTAAGAAGATCTTCTTTGATGCTGTGAGATAAATAGCATAATGTTAGGTCAATGAAAAGACAGCCTCAAATAAACTAGCCTATAATCATGACTTAATTTTAAGTGAAGAAAAAGTTTCTCATATCTGGAATTACTTGTTCACATGATTGCTATGTCAGTTAGGTTAATTAATGTTAACAGGAGGTTGAAACCTTGGCTCCTGGGCCTAAAATACTCATACTCTTTGTTCTTCGCAAACGCAAGTTCGACCATGCTAAAACACTTCTGAGAGAGCTGCACTGGCTGCCGGTCCGTGCTCGCATAGAGTACAAAATCGCAACTTTGTGCTACCGCTGCTTACATGACCTGGCGCGTCCTATCTGAAAGAGCTGCTGACGCCTTATGTACCCACTAGACAACTTCGCTCATCCGACAGTGGCAAACTCTCGACACCACGTGTTCGCCTTGAGACTTACGGAAAGCGCACTTTTGCATTTGCTGGTCCAACAATTTGGAACGCCCTTCCTGTCGATCTCAGAAACAACCAGACACTGGAGTCCTTTAAAGACACATCTATTTCGCAAGCACCTTCTGGGATGATTATCTACCATATTTTCCAGTTAATGCATATTGGCTGTGTTGCTTGGGGTTGAAATGGGTAGAAAGACTTTGACTTGGTATGCTTGTAATTAGTTTTTGTAGTGTGGCGTTTGTTTTAAATGTGGTAAATTATAGTTGACTTTGTACCGCGCTTCGAGCCTTTGGGGATGAAGCGTGTTTTTGAAATAAACTTTATTATTATTATTATTATACTCCTGGGCTCCTGGGGTAAAATTCCACAAAATGAAACAGAAGCAAACAAAATCAAATGATTATAAAATTAAATAATTTTTTTTTAAATTTCAATTTAAATTTATCTGTTAGTAGTCTATTATAAGGAGAAAATTTTCTGAGAAATAGTGTAAAATAGCTTAGTAAAAGTTCATTTATAGGATCCTGATTTTTCATAAAAGACAGGGTTAGGACTAGGGGTAGATCTTGTGTTGTTTATTTTATTCCCAAAGCACACACACATCAACAGCACTAGAAGTTGAAGTCAATCGATTGTCACTATCACTATCATTGTCTATTTCCTTTATTTCAATCCTTTTTCAAAATACCATAATAATCCTTGGAATCATTTGTATCGTCATAAACCTGCTCTGGTTTGAGTAAATTAGAATAGCAATTTTTGTATTTTCGTCACCACTATACATCAAAAACATTACTAAAACATAACAAAAACAATGCATTCATGGGCGCTGCCATTACTGTGACCTTTCGCAAGTCACATGATAAACCCTGAACTCAGTATTTACAACACATTTTATATACAGACTGTCGAACTAGGGTAAGGTAAGGGAGACCGAAATATCGGTCTGGCCGGAATTTATAAACATAGACCGGTAAAGCGGGATCTTGGGGGTCTAAGGGTTAAGATAAGGTGGCTTTATTGATCCTCAACACCTTTTGGTGATTACAATGCACTTTTACATTCTCATCATTTTAAATTGTAGATGACCAGTTTGATGACCAACTGACTGAGACAACTGCCCGGCTGATACATCCTCCGGGTTTAATTTAAATAAATGAGACTGTTTTTTTTAAGGATCTGAACTATTCTGACTGCCATGTTTATTTCTTGCTTCACTTGAAATTTTATCCCCAAATATTTGAGAACAGCTAAATGAAGGATCCCACAAATTTTGATACCTTAAAATATGTCAACAGACTTAGCTGCATACCAAATTTCAGCTGAGCCGAGTGACATTGTAGCTTAACATTGTTATTGAGGACAGCTAATAAAGCACAGCTGATGAAAAGTGGAGTCAAAGCTTTTTAAAATTTTACATAACATCCTAAGTTTTCTTTTTGTCCCACTCAAGTAAACAATTTTAAGCATTTTCCCCCAACATTAAATTCTGAGCCATCCCCCACTGACCTGCCAATAGCTTGAGCTACCTGTCCACCCAGCTCATCCCTCACATTGTTGATGATCAGATGCTTCAGCTGTCCCATACTCTGAATGAACTGTTGCTCAGCTGTTTCCATTCTGCTTACAATATCTTGGGCCGCAACTCTTTCACGCAACATTTGGTCAACATTTTGACGCATATACAACTGATCTGTAACCAAAGATGAAGACAATGGATGTTTTAATAAATGTGTGAATGTTATTATAGATCAGCGGTTTCTGTACCGAGACAAGGTTTTCAGCTCTGTCACGAGATATTGATTTAAAAGAATGAGAACTGAGGCTAAAAATATTCCACCCTTTGACCAACAACATTTGGGGCCTTTCATATAGTCCATCTAATCTAACCTATCATATAGTCCATCTAATCTAACCTTTCATATAGTCCATCTAATCTAACCTATCATATAGTCTATCTAATCTAACCTATCATATAGTCCATCTAATCTAAACTTTCATATAGTCCATCGAATCTAACCTATCATATAGTCCATCGAATCTAACCTATCATATAGTCCATCTAATCTAACCTTTCATATAGTCCATCTAATCTAACCTTTCATATAGTCCATCTAATCTAACCTTTCATATAGTCCATCTAATCTAACCTATCATATAGTCCATCTAATCTAACCTTTCATATAGTCCATCTAATCTAACCTATCATATAGTCCATCTAATCTAACCTATCATATAGTCCATCTAATATAACCTATCATATAATCCATCTAATCTAACCTATCATATAGTCCATCTAATCTAACCTATCATATAGTCCATCTAATCTAACCTTTCATATGGTCCATCTAATCTAACCTATCATATAGTCCATCTAATCTAACCTATCATATAGTCCATCTAATCTAACCTTTCATATGGTCCATCTAATCTAACCTATCATATAGTCCATCTAATCTAACCTATCATATAGTCCATCTAATCTAACCTTTCATATAGTCCATCTAATCTAACCTATCATATAGTCCATCTAATCTAACCTTTCATATAGTCCATCTAATCTAACCTATCATATAGTCCATCTAATCTAACCTATCATATAGTCCATCTAATATAACCTATCATATAATCCATCTAATCTAACCTATCATATAGTCCATCTAATCTAACCTATCATATAGTCCATCTAATCTAACCTTTCATATGGTCCATCTAATCTAACCTATCATATAGTCCATCTAATCTAACCTATCATATAGTCCATCTAATCTAACCTATCATATAGTCCATCTAATCTAACCTTTCATATGGTCCATCTAATCTAACCTATCATATAGTCCATCTAATCTAACCTATCATATAGTCCATCTAATCTAACCTTTCATATAGTCCATCTAATCTAACCTTTCATATAGTCCATCTAATCTAACCTTTCATATAGTCCATCTAATCTAACCCATCATATAGTCCATCTAATCTAACAGATCTTTAATAAAAATAATGACTTCATTGGGTGCTGTCCCTCAATGAAATGACTGATATTTATGTGAACATTTGTCAAGTGGGTTGAAGAATTCTAGTCATTAGTTTAAGTCTGTCTAAAACAAACGCTGAAAAAAAAAATGGAATGAAGTATTTGAAGATTTTAACAAATTAATTTTTAACTCAGACACCACTTATTTGAAATAATTACACTGAAAGTATGGGTCATGGATCAAGGGTCTTACATTCTTTGGTTCCCTGCTGAAAAACTCCATGAACATCCCTGACAGTCTTTTCCATTGTGGCTTTAAATGACGGCAGCATGGCAACCTTAAATGTTTCTGTGTAGGCTTGTTGCATTTGTTGATAGACCACGTCACCAATAGAGGCTGCTAAAACATCCATGGTGGACTGTTGAAGGGCAGCATAGTTTAAAACAAACCCAAGACTAAACAGTCCCCAGTAAATAAATTAATTACAAATAAATTGTTAAAAAAGAATTAACTTTCAAAAATTTTTAAAAATATTTTTTAAAAATAAAATTCCTTTCATTCATTTCTTGATTAGCATGCATTGAAATGGTAATACTTAGTATAATTATTCTACAAAGAACAGGATCATTCTAAAAAAAAACTATATATTTAAAACTCTATTTCAGTAAATTTTCAAATATAATGATTAAAAACAATGAAATGAACTGTTGTTTATTTAAATACCAACCCTTGATTTCACAGCTTTGGCAATATTTTCCTTGAGCAAAGCGTCACAGGCAGTCAGTCTGTGAGCTACCTCTTGATGAATTTTTTCTTTCATTGGCTCAATAAACCGGTGTAAGGCTGAAAGAAATTGTTCAAGTAAACCATTGCCAAGAGTAAATGAACATGTTAACCAACATTTAAATAAATGTCCTGTTTTTGTTTTTTTTAAATTTTCCCAACAATTTGTACAAATCAAAATTGCAATAAATTATAGCAAAAAATAAAAGAAATGTATGGTAAAACTAAGTCAGGGACAAGAGTGCTCATGTTGTTAGAAAGCCTCTAGTCCAGTGGTTCTTAACCTTTTTGGAGGCACCAAACCCCACCAGTTTCATATGCGCATTCACCGAACCCTTCTTAATAGGAAAAATAAAATATGATTTTTTTCCTGATTTTTTTTGGACCTCCGCCGAACCCCTGAGACTGACTCATCGAACCCCTGGGGTTCGGTTCAGGTTAAGAACCACCGCTCTAGTCTATATCTGCAAACAAGGACATTGACCTGGTTTCTGCAATATATGTACAGAGCCAAGTGGGTGACCATGTATCGCAATGCCAGTTATTATTCTATTATTGCTCCCTAGGAAAAGGTAGTGGATCTAAATTGATCATTGATATATCGCCAGGTGGAAATGACTCAGGCAAATCTGAGTTTAATAAAAAACTCAAACAACTGACATGACAACAGCTTAATAATGGGCTTTCCACACTTTCCTGACTAGGATTTATCATTTCCTGGGCTTTTGATTGTTACGGGAAAACAGGAATAAAGTTTTCCTCATCTAGATATTTCCAGGGATCAACAATGTTAAGGTTAGTTGAGAGGTTGGTCACTTTCTACTAGTAGCTTCATTTTCCAGTGCTTATCCCTAGTAATGGATAACTAGCTAATAATATGCTTGTTTTACAAAAGTTGGATATAACTAACTGCCTGTAGAAAATAAACTCAACATTTTATGAGTTTTCATTCTTTACAGGTTGCTAATTCTAGTTGCGAATCTGTCACTAAATATTTACAAGTAAATTTTTTTTAAAAACTTGTTAACAAGGGTTTCGTATGTAATAAAAAAAACAATTAGGAATGTTAACAAATTAATATATAAGTAATGTCTTACTATGTTGATTGAGCAAATAATAAAAACCACTACATAATTTAAAGGCAGTTTGACACATGAACATCTTGGAATAATCAAGTTACTAGAGCACAGGTTTCCAGCCCATGGCAGGTGACCTCAGATGGGTTTGTAAAGGGATTTATGCGGGGTCACCAAATGCAATAATAGACTAAGACATGGGTCGGCAAATTATGGTCTGAAGCCGCAGTTTGTCCAGCTCTCCAAGAGCTTATTAAATTAAAATCAATAATATTATTTTTTATTTACTAATTCAGTATCAAAATTAATCGATACCTGTGTAAAAACAATAGTTTTGCCATCATTCACCAAACAGAATCAAGAATATTCAGCTTCTTTTTGTAAATCTCCAATGAAAAATTTCTATATGTTAGTATTAAAATAATATGAAATTTTGATCCCAGCAAAATTGTTAAAAAATGGGGAAATTTAAGCCAATCAATAGGTGTTGAGGGGTTTGTCACTCAATTTCAAATGTCTTGAAAAATTTGCGCAAGAAGCGACAGCCCCCATTCCCACGAATTTGTAAAGTAAAAGGAGTAAACTCTGACTTGATACAGCATTTTAGGACAGTTTTTCCTATCTCGATATCAAAAACATCTTCCTAAACCAGTTTATGTTTTAAATGAGCTGCCAGCTGAACTTCAATTTGAAGTGATCAATCTGCAATCCAAACATTTTTAAGACAGATGCAGAGAAAGAAAACCGATGGACTTCTATAAGAGGCTAACAGGCGATCTGTTTAGTTAGTTAAAAATGCCTTTGCTTGTGAATTCCATCAGTCTTGGCACTACCTACTTGTTTTATTAGACATTTTCAAAAATTAAACATTTTAGTTACATAGCAAGACTTATCTTATGAGCACTTGCAAACAATTTGGTGCTAGTGAGCATTAACTTTGAGCCTCAATTAAATATTATATTAGAAAAGCACCAGTTTCATGGCTCTCACTGATAAGAGGATTGTGTAAATCAAATGTTTTTTCATCTCCTAATATCTTATTTAGAGTCTCAATTAAATTTATGGAATCTGACTAATGTGTCATAAAAACACAAATTACTTGCTACTTATTGCATTTCGTTGGGAAAAATGTCTTACATCTTTTAAATATGTGTCTTTATAAAATACACATTTAAAAGATACTTTGATCACACATGCAGGACACATGGTAAAGATACTTTGATCACATATGTGGGACACATTGGAAGGATACTTTGATCACACATATGGGACACATTGGAAAGATACTTTGATCACACATGTAGGACACATGGTAAAGATACTTTGATCACACATGTGGGACATTTGAATATGCCACAATCCATTTGGCCCCAGAGCCAGATGAGAACTTAGCGGCCTTTATTAAAAAAAATGTTGCCAAAGCCTAGACCAAAGAGATGTAGTGATTTTTTAAAGTTTCCTCTTTTGATTGTTGTTTTAAAGTTTGAGCTAAAATTTCAATCTTCACATTAAATGTCACCAACTACATTATACTGGAAAATTAAGTTTAACATTTTTTTTTTTCCAAGAATTTATCCTATTAAAAAACACCTTTTTTCCAATATATCCTGTTAAGGGTCAATTTGCTCTTATACTAATATGGTAGAACACTTGAGTACCTGTGTACTAGACCTATTGAGCTTAAAAATTCAGCTCACTAGACTAGATTTTACAGGTCTTGGATTACCAACTATTTTAAAAAACAAGAAAGTTGTGTTCTTAAAGTGTATACCGGAGAATTCCTGGGATGGGAAAATTTATATAAATTAAATCATCAAAATGTTTATTTGAAATTCTCTTAACTAAAATTTTGTAAACTATGTAGTTCTCATGATTGCACTTTTCAAATTGTTTACTTGTCACTAGAACTTTAAAAAAACGATGCAATTAGCATGTCTCACCTGGGCTGACAGACTGTTTGATCTCAGCACGCAAGGCAGTTCCCACAGTTTCTTTGACAGTTTTGTTCAACTCGTTGATGACATCAAGCTGCAGGGCGTCATCTCGCTGCTTCCTCACCGCATCACTCTTCTTTAAAGAGTCTTGCAGTCTTGCAGGTGATAATGGTTAAAGAAAAGACAGCAAAGTGATCTGAAGGGCACCATTGTTGATGAAAATATGTCGGCTCAAAACGCACTGGTCAAACGCCATTCAGAAGCAATTGAGTATTACAGCAATGACACTGGGCTGTATGGAAAACCTTTGTGTGATTGCAGAAATCGCCAAACCCTACTGCTACATATTGTCACATGCCAATATAGACTTTGGGGAACATATTTCTAGTCTAAAAGAGTATTTAAAAAGTCCAACCAGAGCAATAAAACTAATAAATATTGTACTTATGATTATACATAAGCAAATTAAATAAATATAAAATTTAGCGACGGTATTTTTAAATAAAAGTCATTTACCTCATTGGGCATGTGAAGATTTTATTTAGCTTTAACCCTAATTCCAGCTGTGCCACATTCTACTCCATAATTTAAACATGCACTATTTATCATCAGCAAAAAAGTAGACTTTTATTTGCTTGCTATCAGAACTCCATCAGATTTTCTTCTTTATATTAAGGGCCCACGATCAATTTATTGATAATTTTGCCTCCTACGCTTGTAGAGGGGATTTGCAATGTTTCTGTGCCTGGTGTTGACGAGGATATTTCACTGATTGCAAGTGCCACTTTGTGAGGGAATCATGCACTGGGGGTTGGAACGTCAATAGATGCAAATGTGTCAAGTGTCGTCTCAACTGATCATTTTGGAAGCTTGCTCCAGTCCCTGATTCTCTTTAGCAAGAATGAGCAGTTCCTACACTGTCTTCTTGCTGGTATGAGCCAGAACTGCCTGCCATGGCCTCGTCGCTGTCTTTGGGGAGAGGGACGAGTTTCTGTTTAATACTGGAACAGTGGACCAGCCCATTATTTATCTTGTACATTATGGAGAGCCTGGATAGTCGTCGTCGTTCCTCCAATGGTGACCAGCCTAGTGTTCACAGCATGCTGCCAACACTAGAGGTATTCCTGTAGCGGTTTAGGACAAAGCATGCTGCCCGTCACTGGACTGCCTCCAACCTGTCAATGCTCTTCTGGGTAAATGGGTCCCAGACTGAAGATGCATAATCTAAAACAGGACGGACAAAGGCTTCATAGGCTCTTTGTTTCACACAGGAGCTGCCAATCTTTAGATTACGCCTTAAAACTCCCAGGGTCTTGTTTGCCACTATGTGTTTCTACTGGTCCATACAGTAAGTTATTGAACACTTCCTAAAATAGAACCCCTGCGATCTACAGTAAAAATTTCATTATTCAATGTAGCCAGTGGCGTAGACAGGGGGGTGTAGACCGCACTGGGTGACACCATCTCAGGGGTGACAGATAATTGAACAATTTTATATTTACAGAGTACACGCTGCTCGATCAAACCGAATTTCATAAAAAGATAAACAATCACACATAAATTTTCCACATATGTAACTAATCGAAATGTGTGCTTTATTAAAAGTTCACAGTTAATACGTCAGAAATAAGGTGATCTTATAATTAGGTCAGACAAAAAAACACAGTTTCAACGCCGATTGAAGTGTTCGGATATTTTCGTAAGGAAGATAAATTTATCTAAATTCTGAGAAATAAAGTTTCTCATTGATACCAAATATGATGTGTTTGGGTGATTCTAAGTGCATGATTCGAATCGGTAAAAATGAAAAACATTACAAAAAGGAATTTTTAGCCATGTATAGCGTTAACAAAATAATATTTTACAAAACTTTTTAATATCTTTTAATTATGCATTTAAATAAAAATATAAAAAAATTTGAAACCAAATATATGGAATCCCAGAAAAAACTGAAAAATAAATATTTTCGCCGAATCGTTTTATACCCATGCCAAATACACCTGCGCTAAAATTTAGTAATAGCTAAATGTCATTCTTTCAAAGGATATTTTCTCTCTGCATGTGTTGAGCAAGAGAGTGCTCCATGCGTGACACAAGAATGTCTTCCAGCTTGCCAATATCCTTCTCCAGAGAGGGTTGCTGCGCCGCCATTTGCTGAAGCTGCTGCTGTTCCATCTGATGACGATGAAGCTGAAGCTGTATATCTCGCTGGTGACTGAGCTCTGCCTGCATGTCCTGCATGAGTTTCTGCTGCTGCCTGAGTTGGGCTGAAAGGCTGGCAATGCTTCTGTCAATCTAAAATTAAAATATCCATCAGAACCAAATGACATGTGGAATGATGATTTCTTCTCTTTATTTTTAAATGTTTCTTCCAATCAAAAGTACTTACAAAAGATATTCACCAATAGCAGACCTGTTTACCCTCAAACTCTTAAAATCGTACAATATCATCACAAAATCGTTTAATACATTATCTTAATAGTGAAAAATAAACATACAGTTTATATAATGTATACACCTCAAAATCGTACATTGTACGCCAAAATCGTAAGAGTAAACAGGTCTGCAATAGAAGTGAACAACGAAAACAAAACTGCACCGTATTTAAATCACAAAACAATCGCTAATTAGAAATCTTAACATATTGTATTTGTTTTTGTTTAATATTAATACTACAACCACCTACTAGAATCAGCTCTCAGTGGTACCGGTAGCCAGATGTTAGCCCACCTATACAAGAAATTTTATGCCCCACAATGGAAGAATGCAAGAACAAGATAAGCAAAACCTACACTGACATCCCCCCAATAAGCTAAAACAAAATGATAGTTTAAAAGAAAGAGATGTACAAACTTACACTAGACAATACATGAGCTTGACCAGGGTCTGGCCTAAAAAAAAAGAGATGCAAGGATTCATTAAAACTTGTTGAGATGTTTATCATAGATATTAACAAAATTTTAATGGAATAATAAATTATTCTCTCCTCTTCTGTGAATTTCATTATTTTAAAAATTAAGAAAACTTTGTTATTTATTATTGAGCATATCTATTGATTGCTTTTTTTAAACAGGTCAAATAAATAAAATCAAAGCTGGACACTCAAATCGTTATATCTTGGAATCTACTCTTATTTTGTTCTACTTAAATACATCAAATCATTTATTTTGGAAACCATACACATAACTTAAAACAAAAATGATTTGACCTTTGTGATCTCTTAGCATAATCGTGATCTCCATCTCTGGTGTCCACATCTTCCTCGTGTCTCTGGATGATCTCTTCCACTTCCACTTCCGCTTCATCATTTTCATCATCGGAAAATTCTTTATCTTCTTCTTCTTCTTGGGTACTATAAAAAGGTATAGACAAAGAGAATTTTAGAGGCAGAAAGTTATTTAAACTTCTCAATCCATTGTTCCTCGACTTTTTATCAATAAGATCATCACACAAGAGATCTTCTAGTGGTGGTGTATATTTACATGTAACTGACATTCAGATTCGTCCAATTAATGCAAAATAATAAAGACCAATTTTCAACCAAACGAAAGAAATTAAGAATGCTGAAGAACAATTCTTTGTTTCCTGCCTGTGAGCCCTCAGTTGCCAAACATCAACAATACAAAACAGTTATCAATAAATCCGATACTGGCCTGAGCTGCCATGGGAAGAAATTGCTTCCAGTTGGGTCATTGCTTCCAGTTTGGTCAAATTAAAAAGTTTTTGGAAGCACTGCTATAGAATTACCTTTGACCAATAGCTGCATCAACCAACAGTTTGACTTCTGAGGATACATCAGGAGGCTCTGGCCAAACAAGATCAGACTTTGTGTCCACGTCCCCTGATTGAACCCTTTCAACTGACTCTTCTTCTCCTCCTTCTTGTAAGCCAAGAGCTTCTGCTACTTCCTTGTCATCCTCATCATATCCTTCTTCTTGGTTGCTTTGAGCATTCTAGAATTACACATTTTTAAGCTATTCAAATAATGTGAGTATATTTGTGCATCACAATAGATATTGCCAACATAAACGCTATAAGACCATACAAAAAAATCTAAAAACATATGTAGAAATATGTGTAAACATACAAGAAGTCTGTGCCCCCATCCCATATATGGTGTTAAAATAGCAAATTAAAACATCAAATGATTCTAAAAATATTATGTTTTTGACAAATTTAGTTTAAAACAAAGTAAAGTTTGTTCATACTTACTTTTGTAGTTTAATTTCATTTGGATTAGTGAATATAAAATCATGTGCTTCGGCACTAGCTTTATCTAATAATTAATTCTGGTGGTTAAAACAATAATATTCTTTCTTAAGGAAATCAAACAATACTTTGTTAAACTAATGCGTTTGACATTGATTTTATCACTGCCAAACCTTACCGATATACGACCCACTGGAAAGGAACCAGTGCTTGAAGCTGTTTCTATGGAGGTTCCAAGACCACCCTTTGGCTGGGTGTCGGAAAAAATCTCATCCAGCATATCTTGATTTGATTTGGCAGACATTGTCAGGGACTGATTGGCGGAGTGACTTCCACTGTTGCTCCCGGCCCTTGAGTTTCTTGGAGTGGCCAGTTCATTTTCCTCAAGGGAGGTAACAGGAGGTAGAGGTACCTCAGACAAGCTGATGTTGCCACTTGGAGAGGGTCTGCTGGACAAGCTGGTGTTGCCACCGGGAGAAGGTCTGCTTTGTGATGGAGTCTGGACATAAGATCATTTATAATTTAGCAAAGCAAAACACTTTAAGCATCCGCAATTTACAACTAAAGAGTACAACACCTGCTTCTTCTAAAAACTACAAAGGATAATAAGATTTTTCACATTTTATTTTTATTATTTTATTGCCTTACGTTTTCCAAAGACTATTTATAGGATAGATTTGAATACTTTAAAATAAAAAAGGTTGATTAAAAATGATTCTTAGGGATTTAAAAGCAAATTTGTTTCCTATGATGATCAGGTCAAGCACATGAAATAATTGTTTGAAAAACCAAGAACAGATTTTAACCTGAGTAACATTGCTACTGGGAGTCAAAATTAATGATGGATCTAAGGAACTACGAGGTGAATGCACGCCAATAATCTCTTCATTCATGGCTGTGACATTGGTGAAACTACTTGTGCTTGATAAGCTTAATTGAGAATTGCCATCCATCTTGCCATTACCTCTCACAGCACTGTAAACAAATATGGGGAAAATTTCCTTTAAAAAAAAATAAAAAATTCAATGCTTTAAAAATATTTGCAGGATTCATTAATAAAACGAGCTTTCTTTACGCTAACATTACATACACTGGCAGGAAATACACCACTCACACCATTAATATCTGCATTATAGTTTTGTACATATTGGTAAGATTCTTAAAATTATTTATTTGCACAGCAATGCACATTATGATAACATACCTAGGACTAGATGTTGTAAAAGCTTGTGGGGTCATTAGAACTTGTTGGGATGCATTGTGGGGCACGTTGGAGAGATCTTGGCTTGCTTCGCTTTGGTCCATGCTCATATCGGACAGCATGTCACGCAGACCTTGTCATGTCAAATGCATTGGATTACCAGTTTAGACCACAAATAAAGTATTTTTCTCAGTGCGATTACATCAATTAAAAAGTTTATACATCTCTATGTATGCATGTATTGGGTGCGTGGAGAGAGGCAATTTGCTGTCTAGGGAACCAGCTTATAGTCCTAAAAGAAAAAAAATCCCAGGCCTCGTTATTTCGTCCTGTGAAGTCTACACTATCATCTCATTGTGACAGATGCCATTTAAAAAAAAAATAAATAAATATGATATAAACGTTTGCTTAAAACTATTCTCACCCATCTCTTCTTGTGACATAGAGCTGAGGCTTTGAGTGTGGTAGTGAGCAACACTTGTCTCTGGTCTGTAGCGAATCAGAAGCTCTTGAAGAGACCTACAGTTCATATTTTTCATACAAATTTTAAAATGTCAAGTGTTAGTCTGGTTAAAAACTAAATTGTACACAAAGAAACTTTATACCAACAATAGCATTAAATAACTGTCAAAATGTAAAAAAATGACATCATCAAATGATTATTTCTCATGCATCCACTTTAACTTTATTCCATGAAGTAACTCCATGTAGTTCGAGATATGCAATGAGCCGTATACCAAATTAACCATCCAGCTCCTTTAGCATTTAATGATTTCAAAATCATAACCTAATTTGTTATTTGAATTTTATTACTGTTAGTATTATGGTATATTAGGCAAGCCAAGCATTTCTAGACCGCTGGGTTTAATCCCAACAACTCTAGGGATTATCAGACTGGGCAAAATTGGGAGGCGGGGGAATGCTTGGACAACTATCAAATGCCTGTTCACAACAGTGCCAGTGGAACTAACAAATGTTGATACAATGTTTTATTTTCACTCGGCTGACATACTTGCTGTGAACACTGTACATCTTTATCTGGACACCGCTTGTTACTTTGCCCTCAGCTTGATATCCATTCCTTCCTTCGGGAAATTCATCTTCATCATGGTTTTCATCCAGTTCACCTTTTAATAAAACACCAAGATAAGCGTATCAGCCTACTTTACCACACTAATGAATTTAGACCAAGCTTTCTCAAATATTAGGTTCTGGACACAAAAAACAAATTGCACTAAGTGGTTGGCATTTACTAAATTAGCTCAACATTGCTCAATGGAAGAAACAATTATTGAAAAGGAAAAATCATAATTTTTTTAAAATAGCAAAACCTGTTTGAAAAACTTGTTAAAAAAAGTGTGTCAAAACTTTATATTGCGCAGGACAAAAAACTGGGATCACAGTGTTATGGAACAGAATTGGCACACACAAAAATATATTTAATAGTCACCATTTACAGCATAAGTGAACATTCAGTTACCAATTAAAAACACTTTTTAATTCAGAGTTTCATTAGTGTAAATTCAACAATTGTCAACTATTTCTGTTGGTATTATATTTGTTTAAATGTAATTCATCCCAAATGAAAGAATGTGGTGGTGCAGGACAGAGCCTTCCATGGGCTGTACCAATATTGATGATGATCTTTTTTTCAAACACCATTCAATGCTATACATATATTTAATCAATTTTCACACATTTAAAAAAAGTTTATAATATTATTTAAAAAATGAGAGAATTTAATGCAATTTGTTTAAATCTATAGTAGTTTATTAGTGCACATTTCCATCAGTTTATTTGTGCACATTCCCATCAGTTTATTTGGGCACATTTCCATCAGCTTATTTGTGCACATTTCCTTCAGTTTATTCCTATTTTATATCCGAGACTAAAATTTACCACTTTAGCAAAAATTACTACAAATTTAAACGGGGGCACAAACGAGACACAACATCTCAGTCTTACTTGCAATACTAACAATACTATTTAAAAATCACCTGTTGTTATCTCATCCAGGTGGGAATCATTAGCCGAATGTCTGAATTTTTTTACACCTGCTTCAAATATGGCAAAGCTGAGACAAGGGTGAGCTAAAGAGAACTGTGACAGTGAGCTGACATGTGAGGTGCTGCTGCTGTAGTCCTGGTAAATCTGAAGCATGTACAGCACCTACAATACAGGCCAAGTTCCACATTCTAATTATTGGTAAACAAGAAACTTTAATTGTTTGTTAACATAGGTATTGTTTGTTTAAAGTAAGTAAATCTTAACATGATGGTTATCAGGTTGAGAAAAAGTGGCCCAGAAAGCACTAACAATCCCTCTAGCTGAAGGCATGAATAACCAACTTAAAAACTAATGACTTAAATGGAAAGATTTGTTTTTAATAGTTTTGAAATGGAAGTGTGCTGAAACAATGGTTTCTGATTTGTGTTGTGCTGAGACAATGGTTTCTAATTTGTGTTGTAATGAGACAATGGTTTCTGATTTGTCTTGTGCTGAGACAATGGTTTCTGATTTGTGTTGTAATGAGACAATGGTTTCTGATTTGTGTTGTGCTGAGACAATGGTTTCTGATTTGTGTTGTGCTGAGACAATGGTTTCTGATTTGTGTTGTGCTGAGACAATGGTTTCTGATTTGTGTTGTGCTGAGACAATGGTTTCTGATTTGTGTTGTGCTGAGACAATGGTTTCTGATTTGTGTTGTGCTGAGACAATGGTTTCTGATTTGTGTTGTGCTGAGACAATGGTTTCTGATTTGTGTTGTGCTGAGACAATGGTTTCTGATTTGTGTTGTGCTGAGACAATGGTTTCTGATTTGTGTTGTGCTGAGACAATGGTTTCTGATTTGTGTTGTAATGAGACAATGGTTTCTGATTTGTGTTGTGCTGAGACAATGGTTTCTGATTTGTGTTGTGCTGAGACAATGGTTTCTGATTTGTGTTGTAATGAGACAATGGTTTCTGATTTGTGTTGTGCTGAGACAATGGTTTCTGATTTGTGTTGTAATGAGACAATGGTTTCTGATTTGTGTTGTAATGAGACAATGGTTTCTGATTTGTGTTGTGCTGAGACAATGGTTTCTGATTTGTGTTGTGCTGAGACAATGGTTTCTGATTTGTGTTGTGCTGAGACAATGGTTTCTGATTTGTGTTGTAATGAGACAATGGTTTCTGATTTGTGTTGTGCTGAGACAATGGTTTCTAAACTGAGTTTCTTTTTTTTTTATTCTTGATAATTCAAAAATTTAATTTTAAATATTTTCAAGCTTCTGGAAATTTGTAGGCGTATAGATCAGTATACAAAAAGTAACTGATGCAGAATTGAGAAGCATTCATACCCCAGAATTGATATCTGAAAGCGCCAGATACTTTGAGGTGAGATCAATTTCAGACTTTAACTGTAGTTGCTGTTTAGGCTGATCTATTGAGGGACTGAATCTGTTGAAGATAGGAGCAATAATAATTTAATCTTTTTTTCAAAGAATAGAATGAACAAGCATTTTTTGAAGACTTTAAAAAAAAATGTATCTTAATATCAATGAAGGAAAAGTGAGACACTTGATGTACAGTAGCCTAGAAGTATGTAGTTAGTTGCTATTTCAGTGTCAGTTCCGTTCAAGACCCAGAGACATTTGGTGGGGGAGTGGACAGTGTTCTGGTTTGTTAAATGGTGTGGTGATACACCACGATAGAGTATTAAAGAAGATTTATTTTATGAAGTATTGCTGTTGTCATCATGAATAATATTCATGTCAAAAGTATTAGCGTGATGATGAGAGTTACAGCTGTTATAGTTGACCCCAGACAAGGGTGCCAACAGCATTTGATATTTTGGCACTTTTCAGATCTCTCGCCAAAAGAAAACTAGACTTACTTTAAAGTCTGGACACAAGCCCAAGTTTCACAGCTCCACAACTTGATTTCTGTATTGTGTCGAGCACCAGTCAAAGCAAACTTCCACAATTGAAGGCTGGGAATGCAATTAATGATAAAAGTTAGAAAAACACAACAATGTGAACTTTTCTTTTATTTTATGAACAGGTAAATAACACTGAATTCAGAAAGCCTGTGTAAAATAATGATATAGGCTGAGGCACAATGCAAGATACTAATTGCAATTGTAATCAATTCCCAGACTTCTAGAGCGACACTAAGATTGGATAAACCATCTGGGATGAAGATCTACCAATAATATCTTGACGTGTATCCCATCCTTTGATAAAAACAAGCATCATCAAAGGTTATTGTAGTTTCTTTGAGGAAAGCTCAGGTCCAAGAACATGAGTTCTTATGGCTTGAACAAAGTTCTCAAGAATTGCATGAGGTGACAAAGAGCGCTTCAGTGTCTCCTACCAGATGCGTAAGGATCCACAGTAAATAAGGTTTTGACCGTTACTTAGAATTTCAATTTCTTCTGAAACAAGAGTTAATCAAATGTTGTTTTGCAGTTTCCCCCGACCATGTTGATATAATCAATAGTAAATTGACAGTAGATAAAAACTTGGCTTACTCTGAGACAGGATGCTTATGGTCATCAAGAAAAAACAAACTGGTAACAGGTTCACCATCATGTGGATTCCAGTCATACATGCATCTGGAGCAAATAAAGTTAGTTTGGTATTCAATAACACAAAAACCAAGAATCATTTTGCCATAACAATTATGTTACAAATGGTTATTTTTAACATTAGGGCCCCTTATGTTATGTTTGCACTTCATGTTATCTTCTGACAATATTCTACAAATAGATGGCAATATCAAATTTTTTTTACAATGTAAGACATTTTTTATTCCTAAGACCATCAGAAAACACATATTTCTGAAGTAGCAACCAAAATAATTTCATGGTTGGGGGTCACCACAACACGAAGAACTGTATTAAAGGGTCGTAGCATTAGGACGGTTGAGAACCACAGTGTTAACCACTTACTCTGTTTCAGTGTTTTCTTTTTCAAGATCCACCAAGAAAAATTTCACAATGCCAGACTGGTAAGCAACAGCTATTGCAGAACCATCTGGAGCAAAGGCAGCATTAGCAACAGGCTACATAGGAAAACAAGTACAGAGTGTTTATCAACAAGTCATTAATTATTTAATCTGGTGCTTCTTAAATCCTTTAGGAAGTCTTTCGGTCTCAAAGCTAATTTTATATATATATATATATATATATAATACATTTATCCTGGGTGGTTTATTTTTCTTCTTAACTAAGCTATGAAGAATCAAATTCACAAGAGTTACAAAAATGACCAAATTTGAAAATTCTATCACTTTAACAGTAAATGCTTTTCCCCATTATTAACATAATCTCTCTCTTCTCACTTATTTCCTAATGTGTTGCATGATATGTCTTAGCTAATTGTACACACTGTACACACACCCAATCACCTACTCACCATCATAGGTTCATATGGTTCTACACACATCACACCCGAAGAAACTGTTTTTGAGGATACAGGACCACAGCCATATTGACTGGACACAAGATCTACATTCCACACCTCAGCCTGAAATTGAACATTACTTTGTTGAAGCTAGAAATTAATTTGCATAGTTAAATTGAAAACAAAACCATAGTAGTGGCCGGATACATTTGCACAGTTACCTGTAATTATTTTAAGTTATTATTCTACTACTCTGATGGTAGGAACATATTTTCAATAAAACTAACAACAGATACCTGTGTTCCATGCAAAAAGACCAACATTTTGGCTGGGTCCACACCTTCAGTGTCAGCATCATCTTCAGGCATATAAGGACACCAGATGACCCTAGTCATAGATCTGAAGCTAGATTCAATATCATAAGTTTCCTTCTCAATGTGGAGAATCAGATTTGATCTTTCTTTCATTAAGAAATCATATTACCTTTCCATTTATCATAATCAAGAATTCTTCTTAAAGAAATAATAATAATTTTGTACCACATAGATGTCTGCTAACTATATATTTTTTTTAACCTTTTTTTTTTTAAATTTAGGATTTGTATTCAAACATTGTAGTTTAACTGGTAAGAATGCAACTAATTTACGAAGACTGGTGATTTTTTGCCACAAGACCAGCTGGATACTGTCTTCTGACAACAGAGGTAAAGGTTTAATTTCCTCCCCATTCATGTCTTACTGATTGACAAGACCATTCTACCTAGATTTTTATCAGTTGAAACTAGGCATTAAGAGAATATTTAATACACAGAAATGTTACTTTATCCCATTCAACATTGCTTTAAAGAGGATACGAGATATTATCTCCAGCCATCACCAAAGAGTAAACAAAAAGGCTCCCACCTTCATCTGCAGCAGCCAGATACACGTCATCTGATAACGCAAATGCTATGTCCATGACCGCCCCGGTGAATGACTTTAAGAGAACTCTGTGGGCAGTCTTACGGGATATAACACGAACATTACCTCCGGTCTTACCTGAAGGACAGAAAATAAGCACTCCTAAATATCAGCCAGATTTATACTTAACCTTCTAGTTGAAAACATTTTAAAAAGCCTCAGTCTTAATCAAGTCTCGATAACAATTGAATTAACTCCTAATTGGTGTCATAAATATTCTTAGAACAAAATATAAAGATAAACATCAATTGGCAAAGGCCTTTAATGTCACAGAACATATTGTATTTATTTTATTTATGATAAACATTACGCCCTTTGACACGAGGGATAAAAATGGAGGATGTGAATTTACTATTGATGATAAAATTAGTTTTCTCTTACATAACAAATTATTTTTAAAATTTGCACCAAAAAAAAAATAAAAAAATAAAAAATACATTTAAAGAATTTAGTTCAACTGCTTCTTATTTTGATAAAAAACAAAGCCTTGAGAAAAAAGTCAAAGTTCCCGCAGAAGTGAAAATAATCACATCTTTAAATTACTACATAGTTAAAAAAAATTTTTGGTAGTCTGATTAAGAGCTTCGTGCTCAGTACCGCTTCCTCAGATTGTTTGTCAGGTTAAGATGCATAACAGTGGTTATCTACCTCTGAGGACGTAGGCAACAAAGACAGAATCCCTGTGAACTGCCACAAGATTGCCATAGTAGTATCTTGATTCCCACACATGGTTGACCACAGGTGTTATCTTGACCTGTAGATGTTTGACATTTGGTCTTTTTCATTTCATTCCTTTCAAATATCACACGATTGAAGATATGTACAACAGACAGTTAAAGTTTTAATTGAAAAAGTCATGTGGAGTGAGTGGGTTATCATATGTTATTGATAGTAGTGAGCGTGTTATATGTTATTGATAGGAGTGACTGGTCATCATATGTTACTGATAGGAGTCAGTGGGTTATCATATGTTACTGACAGGAGTTAGTGGGTTATCATGTTACTGATGACAATTGCAATACCTTGTTACTGCCCGATGATGTCTCTACGTAACTATTTGAACTTGGTGCAACAAATATTTGAACATCTGGGCTGTACACACTGACACTGTTTTCATCTACATTATCTGCCAGGTTACTTTAAAGAGAAAATAAGATCTGAGTGCAACACTTCTGTCATTCATTATTTAACTAAAGGCTTTAAATGAAATCAATAGCAATGCATATGTGTACCAGTTAAACAATGGGTAAATAAAACTTATTTTATAACTCAATAGCAGTCTCCCCCCCCCCTCTTTTTTTTTTACTGGAAAAACAAATAAATAAAACCAGAAAAAATGGACCATAAGAAGGACATTTTGAGATGCCTTAAGTTAACTAAAAACTGTACTAAAAATTAATCACTAGATTCTTGAAAAAATATAATTTTATGTTTATCTTAAATAATATATTGCAACCTTTGCAATATCTGCATTGTATTGTTTGTGTATAACTTCACGTCAATAAAATGAATCTATTTAAGTATTTATATCAGAACCTACATAATCTGACCACGCCTGGATCCAACAATGGTCTTCATGGCCTGAGTTAATGTCTGAGATTCACCTGCATCTCCAGATACATTCCTGTGTGTTATTAAATTACATTTTATTAGTGTAAGATATTATAATATAGGAGAAGATAAAATTCCTTAAAATTCCAATTTTTAAACAAGTTTTCCAAAAAATTGATTTAGGTATTCACATGGATACAAAAATATCAATAATATTTTCTTTTTATTTATCATTGAAAATAAAGGATAATACTTTAAAGAGGGATCAGCATATCATGAATGCCAATAAATTAAAACAATTAAGTACCAGACTATTTCCAACTATGTAAAACTGATTACGCTTCCACTGCAAGGTAACTGTTGTCCTTCATTTATAGCACTATGTGATAAGAATGTGATATTTTAGACATGACATTAAATACTTACACATCTGTAGGATTAGATTCTACACTCTGTCTTGCAGATAAAGGGCCTAGAAATAAGCAAATTAATCAATTATATTTATCATATATTATTACTATTATTTTTTTAAGCAACGGTTTGTTAAACACTGCACCTAATGATCTAGAACTATTAATGAAAGTGCTTAGTGTCGTCACATGCACTTTGATGAAGGTTATAAATGTGGTGTAAAATATGTTTTTTTTTAAAATTATTTTTAAAACTTTAAATGAAATTTTATGAAATGCAAGTTTGAGGTTTTAAGGAAAAGATTAATTAAATCATATCACCTCACTTTGCCTTTTTAATAAAAAGGCTGGTGTTAAGGCAGAGCACAATACAACCAAAGCTGAATTTGCAATGGACAGAGATTGATGTTTCCTAACTTGTCTAAGTATAGGGATTGAATTGAGTTAAATTTAAAAGTCATAAGGATACCTTTAGTTTATCTGACTTTTTTTTACTTCTGATTTCACTCTTTACAGTGTAAACAGTAGTATCTGTCATTATTAACTATGCAAGGTGAAATAGGAATGTAATGCCATTATAAACAAGATGAGTCATGGGTAGCATCTTTATTGTATCCCTTAATATATATAAAGACCTATATAGGAGATGGGGGAGTTACATACTGCGAAAACCAAGATTATACACACAAAGATCAATACAACAATTATTACATAAAATTGCACTCTGACTCTGATGACAGTTGGGTGTTGATTAAAAGGGGGGGTCCATTAACATATCAATAAATAAAAATTTTGAAACATAAAGTCACAAAGTATACCAAGGCACTGAGTTTCATTTTGATTAAAAAAAAAAAAAAAAAAAAGCCCCAGCCATTTTGAATTTTGATACACATTTGACTAATAATTAATATTTAGGTCAGTGGTTCTCAACCTTTAGAATGCAGCGACCCTTTAATACATTTCCTCACGCTGTGGCATCCCCCAAAACACAATTATTTTCGTTGATACTTTATAACTGTGGAGTATGTGTGTTTTCAGATGGTCTTAGGCGACCCCTGTGAAAGGGTCGTGCGACCCCGAAAGGGGTCTCGACCTACAGGTTGAGAACCGCTGATTTAGGTCAAACACTTGTTTAACAAGCTAAATATATTTATAATAGGATATATATAATGTCATTTATTATGTGTCCTCTGCTGCTGCCACAAAAAATGATCAATATAATATACAGTTGAATCAGGCCTTTAACTAGGTCTAATTCACTCTTAATACTTTACTGTTTACTTAATAGGCTATATAAATTAAAAATTATAATAATATAAGGACAACCCTAACTTAGCCAAACTAAAAGTAAGTTAACTAACATTAAAAGAAGAAAAGTGTGAGTACATGAATTATTAATTTTATTGTTAATAATTGTATGAATTATATTATAATTAAGATTATGACATGAATTGCATTATTACTATTTAGTAGTCTATTTGTAGATATTTATAATAGACATAGATCATCATTCTCTCTCATTCATCATTAGTGGGTACCAACATTCACAGTCACAGTTTTAATAGTATTGACAATACCGCAAATGACGTCACGGGATGATCTCTAAGAATTAGGCACAACAATTATTTTTAAGTGTAAACAAAAATTGAGAATTTGCATAACTTATTTATTATCGGATTATCCATACCTGTGTTTCCATCGGTGGTTAGAGCTTGAAGCTCTCTTAGAAACATACTCGTGTCGGTGCTTGCTGTTCCGATTGTAGACCCGCCATCGTCACTATCCATTTTAGTCGTATTATAACGAAAAGCTTAACACTCCTAAAACACTGATACTGCTATTTGATTTATATGTTAACAGCTTAAAAAGTCAACAAAACCCACAGTTCGAACTTTTTCCCCGTTTTCACAGCATCTGAAAACTCAGACTGAGTACTGTAATGGCGGCATTGCAGTTGGTTGCAGTAAGAATTAGTTCGTACTAATTGCCGGGAAAAACAAGAAAATCTATTGTGTTACAATTGTGGACAATGAGGACATACAGACCATTAGTGTAAATTATATGTCTGCTTAAGTATTACTGTACCCAGTGACAGAGAGGCTGCTATCCCTCATCAACCAAAGCATGTAAAAGTACCCATTTCAATCTCCCCAATAACTTTCAATAAGCAATGAGTCAATGAGGGGGAAACAAACTTCCGCTTAATAAGGCCTTCTTTGAGAGAATGAGTAGAAGTTGTATATATTTACAGTGGTGAGTGGTGATATCATATGCCTCCAGTAAGCTGAGTATGTATATCCACCCCCTGTTTCGTTATTAAAATGGGAATTAATAACGAGGGCATTACACACCCAGACTTATGCAAGCTAAACCACGTAAGCTCAGCAGGGGTACACTCAAAATCATGTGCTGATATTAAAATGTATGTGTGGCGTATTCGTGAATTTTGTTTTAAACTATAGAAATTTGAATGGAATTTTGATATCAATGGTTTAAGTATACAGGGTCACAAAGCATGGGCAGATAAGTCCACCAATGATCCTTCATCCAGAGCGTCTTGGCGCCGTTCGTGTACTCAGGTAGTAACTGGATAAATTGAATCCGAGTTCAGGATATTCAAAGAACAACGAACTTGAGATTACTTTTTTCATACAGCACTGGAAAGAGTTGTTTGCCCGAAAGGCCACATTTATTGTCTGTGTTCAAATTTATGAAACTCAACATAAAGATAAATGTGATCCTTTGGTTGGACAAGTGAGAAAATGAAATGAAAAATTGATTTACAATGAATTATTTGAAGTTGCACTGGGCTAAACTAGCCAGTGTGGAAAATGATAGTGGTCCGGAACAGGTGGTCTAAACTAGTCAGTGTGAACACTGATGGTGCTCCTGGATGGCCTAAACTAGCCAGTAGGAGAAATGATGGTGCTCCTAGTGGGGACAATGAAAGCACGCTTTAAACAATTGATGGACAAACACAACAATTTGCATCAAATAGCCACACACTTCACTCATACACCAAGTACTAAATTGTGTTAGTCATTGGAATAACTAGGACTCTGTCATGAAAAATGTGATATCTTGTATTCACTCGTGCGCGAAAGAACAGACAGTTTCAGGGATTTCTGTCTGAACTAATGTTGCCTGTATGAAGATATTCTGTACCACACAGAGTCGAGGGAGAGTTTTGAAACTTTTTTTTAAAGCCATAGTTCTGCAGGTTTCCGCTTTCGCCATTAAGCCTGCTTCATATGGAACAGACGGTAATAAATAGGCGTAGCATACTATTAATGTTTGAAACTGGGACCAATTGGTCAAACTGGGAACAGCAGCGTACCTAAAAGGAAAACAATGAAGCAAACGTCTTGGGCGGCACTTCTGATTCTGATAGACTACGTTGCTGCAACCAAGTACTGGCATATGTGCAATGGCATGGGAAACGATGCGGCCATCCTAACCGCTCCTAGTGGGTGCCAGGGCAGTCTTGAAACTCTCGATTGATTTCGAGTCCACGGCGGCATTGTCCAGGTGGTTCCAAGTTTTGTTTGAGAGAATGAGTGAAAGTTTTGTTTATGTTAAAAACCAAAAATACATAATAGATTTTTGTGTGGGGACACCTTTCTTTAAGTGTGTCGGGTTGGTGGGTTGAGGGTGGGGTTAGTCAAGGTGGCCTATACCACTGGGTAAGAAGCAAAGGTTTGCCCAAGGCCTCATATTCAAACAAATGTAGGCCTACATGTTTTTTGTTTTTTTAATACATAAACGCACGTTGCAAAATACTAGCTTAGAGCTTGACAATTATTACACACAGAATTTTAACTTAGCTACCTTAAAGATGGAACCTGATGCCAAGTTCTGATATACACAATGTGTATGAGACTATATAATATATGACTGGACAGCATTAATGATCAATTTTCATCAAGACTAAACAGAGATTGAAGTCGGGACAAAATTTCAAACTCAAACTAACTGGCTGGGAAAAGGCTGCTAAACCGGGACATTGCTGGTCGAACCGGGAGTCTAGTCAGCCTGCTTAATAACTATTTTTAAAAATAAAATTATTTTTATCTTGTTAGATAATTATTGTCCATACATTTAATAGGAATGTAAGTGTATGCTTGAATGCCTCCATCATATTTCAATAGTCGGTAAATAGCTGACCCAGTTGAACGTAATCAATGGCAATATTTTGTTTGGTTTGAGTCAAGACCATGATAATCGACTGCAATTTAATACAATATATTTAATCCAATAAACCCACATTTTCATAATTACGCGTATCTAAAATTGGATAAAGTCGTGTAAATAGGAAGTTTTTAATTTATTGCAAGGGATTATCCTGCCCCAATGTCATGTATTACGTTTTACACATTACATTAATTTTTAATAAACAGTCAGTTCAGATATTAGACTAATTAGTATTAGTCACTCATCAGTGCAAGCCTACCTACACAATAAAAACAATGTATTTTACACAAGCATTTAATTTTGTAAATTTACAGATATTCCTAATTAGAACATTCACTAATTAAATCTGAATTTTGATTGATTCTGCAGTCTGCAAGAAAGCCACATATTCAAATACAAATAAACTAATTTTGAGCTATATTCAATATTGGCCATATGCCTAAGTATCTGAATCTGCACTGTAAAGAGTAGGGGCCTAAACATTTTTAAAATTAAACAAATCCTCTTTTTCATCCTGCTGTCAATACCAACTGCAGTACTTACTACCATCTGGATGTCTGCATCTAATATAAAAATTAAAGGCTTTTTTTTTTATTATCTTTTAAATTTAAAACTGTTTAAATTGAGTGTTTTAACAATTTAAGTGCTTTCCCACTCAAGTTAAAGCTAGACTAGAGATGTTATAATGATGTTTTTTCTTATGTAATTTAAAACAATTACATCAGAATAAAAAGTCTAGCTAAATTATAAACTATAAGATTGATATTTTCATTTGAATAAACAAAATATTTACTAATATTAATAAAGAATTAATAAATGCTATTTTCATTTGACATTTCAACCATTTGAATAAATAAATATTGACTAAGAAATAATGAACAAATACTTGGGCTTAGTCTAAGCCGTATACATTTTTTAAACAATTGTTTATAGAAAATTATATTTGTTTTTTATTTATTAATTTGCCCAGCCTTTCTTAAACTGTGGTACAGGTACCACTAATGCTAATAGTTACTAATAGTGCATTTTTTTGGTGCAGTTGTCACAGAGATGTAAACAAAACTCATATACAGATATTACAGCCCAATCACAATTAAATTTAAATGTACATTATGGTTGTTAAATTTTAGCTGTTGATTTTAGTTGTATAAAATTTTAAAAGTATGAAAGTCACTGAATTTAAAATAACATGAAACTATTATTCTCTTTTCAGCTATGAAGACTGAAAAATATATCTAGCCTCTTTAACTTAATACAAGAACAACAAGCCATTGTACTTACTGAATCACAAAATGTGGGGTTGGATTGCCCTGGCAGCTTTTATTGTGTTCATCATCATCTTGTATCTTCTATCTCCCCTTATTTCACCTCCTCAAATAAATCTTCAAGATGCTCATGTTTTAGTAAGCAGTTATTATAAAGCTTAATTATTTACTTAGTTTTCTTTATATATTTTTTTTTATATATATATATATATATATATATATATATATATATATATATATATATATATATATATAGATATATATATATATATATATAGATATATATATATAGATATATATATATAGATATATATACCTTGAAGGCTTTGTTTCTAAAAATAATTCTAATTAGCATCAGGGGTGAAGTATAGTCATAACTGAACTTTTGAGAAAATTTTATTTAATAAAAAGTCTACTTTCATTTTCATGAACATATTCTTTTCCTCAACACCAGATAATATATATTCGTATCAATCTCCCAAATGGTTATTATTATTTTGTTTCTAATTGGTAGGTTACTGGAGGTTCAAGTGGTATTGGTAAGGCCTTAGCAATACAAGCAGTCCAACAGGGAGCAAAAGTTACTTTAGTGGCAAGGGACAAGGTAAATAAAGCATGATAAGGTCTTTTATATATATTTTAAAAATATGTAAAATTGAGAATGTTCAGTGATATTTCCAGACTGTACGTTTCTCTCAGTCAGTCTAAGTAAGTGGTTCCGAAAATGTACTTCAACATTTTAAGCAGCAGACCCATTAGTAGTAGAAATTTGAATCAAAGATTTTACCCATCAGTAAAAGTGGTATTGCATGAAGAATTAATATTTAAGACATTTCCAAAACAAACTAACTGTTTATAAGGCAACAAGACAATTTATTTTTGACACTGTCATTGTTGCAGAAGTGAAGTGAAGTAGTGTAACTCATTGCTGTAAATTAAAGTTAACACTTTGGTGTTTAAGATATAAATACTGGTACTAAAATAGTCAAGCCTTGCACTTTAAAAGACAGCTATTTTGGGCTGGTCATCCTTCTCACACAAAATAAGATGGTCTTCCCAAAGTAATCTTAAAGCTGGCTATTCAAATAAAAATTCAATTGAGAATCTCCTAAACAGTGCAACAAGGACCAGGTCCTGCATTCCCTTGGATAAGCCAGCCTTGAAAAAAGCATCTGGTCATTGCCAGCCCCTGATAGGTTTGTTTGGAGATCTGTAACAAAAACTGTCCTCCAGACAATCTTATCTCACAAGCTGACCACCCACCAGAGGACAATGTCTTTGCCTGCCCTAGTCGGCAAACAAAAATGAATTTCTTATATGTGGGACATAGTTGTATAAAATATTATACATGTCAAAGGTCCCATATTGATATTGAATAAAATATATATGAAAAGTCCCCATATTTTCACAGAAAAATTCTTGTCATGACATAATGACCCGAATCAATTTTTTTAAAAATAATAATAATAAATTAGCTTTTATGAAGACCAAATCATACATAATAATACCATGTTCTAAAAAACTTAATGTTTCATGATTTTAAATTAATACATTGTGGTAAGCAGTTTTTAAACTTTTCTCAGGCTAAACTTGAGGAGGCTAAGAAAGAAGTTGAGTCTGTTGTAAAAGGAGAAGATGGAGAAAAGGTTATCTGCAACGGTTTTTCTGTTTTTTTGTTTTTTTAAAGTATTATTTCTACAACTTACAAAAGAAGGTAAAACTTAAGAAAATTTAATTATATTTTGAAAGCTTTAGCATCTTACTTAAAAGAATTAGCTTATTTATTAATTATGTTGTATTTTGTGAGAAAGATTTTGCACAGTTACTTATAGTCAAGGGTTCATATTGACACCAACCCCACCCCTCATCTGTGGCATAAACCTGCTCACTGTGGACGCTAATAAATTCAAATAGAACTATTAGTACTGGACCTAATATGATGTAATTTACAAGTTTTAAAAAAATCTCATTTAGAAGAAACAAAGTAAAAACATTACCGACTGTTCAAATAAAAATGTCTTAGATAGACAATATTCATTTTGTTCAACATTAATTCAACCAATAACCCCTCTTTATTTCAGAGAGTTCACATCATATCTGTTGATCTCTCTGGAGAATATGAGAAAATAGATTCAGCATTCCACGCAGTAAGAACAAGAGTGTTGTTGTTGATGTGTTTTCTGCATTTTTTTTTACTTAAGTAACCTCGTCAATTTGTTTTCTGCAGTAGCTCATACTCTTAGACTTTTTTGTCTGAGTCAAATTTAAAGATTTATAAAGGGACAATATTTCTTATTTTAATAAGAATGATTTTTCATTTGCATTGAGACTAAGAAACAGATTTCCCCCTGAGTTTTAATGAAATTCTATAATAAATGCCAAGAATTCTTCAGATAGAATCAAGTGTGGGTCCAGTTGATTTTCTCATAAACTGTGCTGGCACTTCCAGTCCTGGGAGATTTGAGGATCTTCCTCTGTCAGACTTTAAGGTAACTAATAGAAAAATTGTCTTGCAATTATTTCAAACATTTCTACTATCGTTACACTCAGAAGATTGCAGTTTAAATTAAAAAATAACCCCCCCCCCCCTAATATTTTAAAGTAAATATAAATGAACTTAAAAGCAAAGCTACTTCAGAAATTAAAAGTAATCTCAATTCTGACTAACTGAAACAAATAATTAAGTTTTATGCATATATTTTTTATTGAAAGTTTGAGTCAAGGGATTTTCCAGGCAATTCGCAAGAATAATTTTGTATGAAGTCATGCTTCATAACTTCCTCTTACTTGTTTTTTTACACACGGGCAGTCTGTATTTTACTTAATGCATCTAGGCTTTATTGCAGTTGCAGTCCAAAACTCTTAATCATATCAACAATTTATGCATTGGGATCCTTGAGTTCATCTCAGATTACCAATGAAGATGCCATTAAACAAAAACAGATATAAAGTTCATAATAACAAATTAGGAGCTTAATTGAAACATATTTAGCTGTAAAAAATTTGATGGCAAGTTTCTTTGAGGACTTACTGTAAGTTTCTTGTAATACAATATGTTAATAGGTGCTCTGATAAAATTTAAATTCCAGAAAATGATGGACATCAATTACATGAGTGCAGTGCACTCCACCAGAGCCATACTGCCTGGCATGAAGAACAGAGGACGAGGGCGCATTGTTTTTGTTTCATCACAAGCTGGACAGATTGGTCTGTTTGGCTTTTCAGCATATTCAGCTTCAAAATTTGCATTGAGAGGTTTAGCAGAAGCTTTGCAAATGGAGGTACAATATTTCATCATGAGTGAGCAATCGTCGTAGCAAAATTATTCTAAGACTAAGACATAGTCATTAGGAAAATACTTGAAAATTCTTCCTTAAACTGTCGAGAATGAACAGACACATCTCAGTTTTGGTTAAAACTTTTTAAAATTCTTGAAAGTTAATACATTTTTATTTGCAGGTGAAACCTTATAACATCTATTTAACTCTAGCATTTCCACCTGACACAAATACCCCAGGATTTCAGGAGGAGCAGAAAACAAAGGTGTTCCTTTTTTTATATATATATATTTTTTTTTTTTTCAAATCATCAAAGACAGTCTTTTACAATGTAAAAATGTCTATACTATTTTCTTGTAAATTTATTTGATACCCTTGGTTAGATGCTGCTGTACTTGTTGGTGGTAAAAATGCACCTTTTATCTTTTATAATTAGCTCTGCAGGGACCACATAGTAATATTTAAACATTTTTATTCAGGGATTTTGTTTGATAATGAATTTAACATATGAAAACCGTTTTGTTAATATCATTTGATGACATTATGAAGCGAATGAGTCATTTCTTAGGGAGAACTTAGTTTTTATCCACATTAGCAAAGAACGTAAACAAAGAACTGACATGGAGGGAGGACAAGAAAGTCCCCTTCCCAAGTCTAAAGTACTTCATGTGATACTACCTCCCAAAATCTAAAGAACCGTTTCTTATCTATGTGACACCACTCTAATAAGTACCGGGTACCATGCCTTATCAATATGATATTACCGCCCTAAATCTACATTACCGGTCTTTATCTATGTTTTACTACAATCCTATATCTGAAGTACCAATTCTTATCTATGTCATGCTACCGCACTTGATGTGAAGATCTTATGTGATGCCTATATAAACTTAAAATCAGCTAAAAAAAATTTTAAATCTTACGAACTACGAACATTTTAGGTCTATAATTATTTTATTTTTTAAAAAGAAAATTACTGACGACGTTAACAAGTAGAGCAAAAACACAGACTTGTTAGATTGACCTCCACCAGTGCAACAAATAACACTAGAATGAGAAATGGTGGGAAAAGCATCAGATAGAAATTATTTTGTTTAGAATTTCCAGTTCTCATTACTGTGTATTGTATAATTCACAGCCTAAAGAAACCAAGTTAATATCTGAGACCTCAGGACTTTTTACTGCTGAAAATGTTTCTAACATCATACTTGCTGACACTGTGGTAATTATATTCCATTTCACAGCAAGCACATTTTAATAACTAATTACATTCTTATTAAGTAGGATGGGAAAACATTAATTTGTTGATCTCAACAAAAAAACATTTTCTGTGATCACATTCATTGGTGGAGTCATCAAGTAAATAACATTTTTAAAAATAAGCAAAAACAAGACCATTGTTACAATTTTCAATAATTTAAACCAGCTATCCAGTGTCATCAAGCTAGTCACTTGAGCACAATTACTGACTTAAGAACCATTAAGCAATGGTCTAACTTACAAGGAAGAAGGTGTTTGATATGACTAATATTAGTTTTAATCTCAATTTGATTTATCAATAAATGTTTTTGTCTTTAAAGCGCGGTAGATTTTTTAGTTCAATGGGACTGGATGGAACCATGCTTGCATGCGTCACTTGTGGCTTCTCTCCCGTTACTTCCATCATGGAGGCCACCCAGCAGGTACACATTTGAGGAATCATTCTACAGTTGACTTTCAAACGTCTCAGAAAGCGAAAAAAATTCACAAGTATTGATTCAAACTGGGAGAGTCAGTAGGATAAAAGATTCTCTGGCAGAATAAGTTCAATAACTTCGGTAAAATAATTTCAATAACTCAGAATCAGTTCAATAAATTCAGTGGAATAAGTTCAGAAGGATAAATGTAGCTCCATTATCATTAAGATAACACCAGTAGGATAAAGGTAGCTCCATTAAGATAAAAGAAAATACCAGTAGGATAAAGTAGCTCAATTAAGGTTTAACAAAATACCACCATTATTACAAGCTGAATAACTAGTAGTAAAGATAAAAGCTAGTTCTGTTATTCATTTTCTGTAAATAAATTGGACAGAAAATGAAATCAAATTCTTTAGTACAACAAAGAAAAAAATGAAACATGCAGGACAGCTCTGACTCGTCCAAAGAGTATGTTTGTATAATAGACTTGGAGAAAGACCTAACTTTAGGAGATAATGAACCAATGCTGAATATCAGTCCAGCTATAGGCCTTCATCTCTAGTGTTTCTGTTACCATTAACTCCTTTAGTCTAGTGAATTCCCAACTTTGTACTGGTACACCTATGACCTGTATATCTCATGAAATAAAAATGTGTCATATGTTTTTTAAACTATCTGCAAACAGTTAATTTAGAAAAACACTGCCTTAGCATTGAGTTTCCCTGCTCACTAAGACAACAATGAGCCACAGGTGTGTTCGTTCATCTGCTGGTAGAATGCAGTTGGTCATAGTGAATTTCATTACCTCCCCAAAATCTGGGGCAAAACATTAGTAAGCTTTGCAAACACTTTTATACCAAGCAAGAAAACCATTTTATAGAATTACCAAGCAAGAAAACCATTTTATAGAATTACCAAGCAAGAAAACCATTTTATAGATTTACTAAGCAAAGAGCCAGCCTTATAATATAATAATTAGGAAGCTAAAGACAGTGTTTTAAATTATCAAATACTTCCTGTTTTCTGACAACTATTTTTTTTAAATATCCTTACAGGTAGTGACTATGGGCATTTTTCGCATTATCTCTCTCTTCTACCTGGATCACTTTGACAGAATAGTGCGCAGGTGTAAACTTGACAGAGATGCTCAAGAAGCTAGTAAAAAGTTGTCATGATTTAAATTAATCCATAATATCTGAGACCATGTTAACATGAGACCATTATAGCTAAAAGTGCCATAGATCACTTGTTTAATGAATGTATTGGAGCCATGGGAGCTTTAAGCTCTGTTTTGCATGACTTGCTCATACCAATTTTATTTGCTTGGAACGAAACAAGGCTGTGTTGAAATTGAATGTTGAATGATATTCATCTGGCACATGTTAAAAATATTAGAAATGTAATGTTTAAAATTATGGTACAATAACTAATTATTAACTAATATGAAAGCAATTATGCAAGGAATTATTTTTGACGTTTTTTTTTTTTTTGGTCAATACTTTAAAGTCAGACTATACAAAATTTTGAAAAACCTTTGGGACCCCTGTTTTAAAAAAACAGAAATTTTTCTCTCTTGTGATATGGAATGAAAGGTAGCAGTGTGTAAGAGCTTTATTTAAAATCTTTTCTTTTTTAAATCCTTATTCCTTAATATGCCAAAAAATGACTTATGTTTTAATCTTGTTTACAAGTTATGGGTCATGGCATATTCATATTATAATTAAATCAATGCAAGTATGTTACAGAGCCTCTGTGACACACCCTTACCAGTTTGTAGATAGTTCATTGATTGCTTTATAAGCTGGGAAGCAAAATGGAAGTCCTTATTTTTAGAGCAATAAGTCTTTCAATGCAATGTTGACATTTGACCATTTCTTTTTCAATAAAGCAAAATCTGCTCTACTCTTAGTCTTATGTCAATTTTTTTTAACTGTCACGAATTTCTTTTGAAAATCTTTTTCTCAAATTGTAGTTTGTTTAATGTCACTACGGTAACTGTTGTTTAATGTCACTACGGTAACTCTTGTTTAATGTCACTACGGTAACTGTCTTTTCCTCTTTTCACCATAATTTGTTTTCCTGAAGAATATAATGAGTCAGTGTTTGTAAATACCCAGCCTTTCTCCCAAACCATTTTTTATTTTGGAATAAGTCTAATATAAATTTCCCCTAATAATTCCATAATCTTGAAATTGCCTACCTGTGCCTACATTAGGGAAACGCTACTTTATAAGCTGAAAATACCCAAACGTGTTTGCACAGACATTTATGTGAGTGATTTGAAATTCATTTAAAATGCACCTCCAATCCTTAACTAATGACACCAATGAACAAGAAACAAGCTATGTGTTAGAAAATTACATACCCGTATGCATTAATTCAAAGTAAATGTTGCAGACTTTTAAAAAATCGTTTCTCGTTAATGTTGTGATAATGAGATCATTTAAAATGCAATTAAAACATTCAAAGATTGGGGTTGGAGTTGGGAATTGAAATGATGGGACAAATATGGCAGGAGTGATTCTATTACTTTATTACAAATCAAGTAATGCTACAAATCTATAGTAGCTTTGGACTTAAACTTTCTAGCAGCTCTCTCTCCTGGTCTAATTGCAAATTGGTTGCCATGGATTGTGAATACATAATCATGTAATATCACACTAAAAATGCTGTTTGTTTTTGGAATACCTGCAGAAATAAACAATATATTCAAAAAGAAGATTTATCAAGCAAGGATTTGTAGACATTTTTTAATGACTTATTTTTGAAAACACAAGTGTACTATACATTACCCGGTATCTGGTTTGCAAAGGACTCACTAAGACTAAGATGAGTTATAAAGGTTCAAATATATTAAAAAAGAAATTTATGATTTTCTAATCATTATTAATTATCTAATCATAATTCATTCATTTTAAACTACTGCATATTAATGAATGAGTGATTGTTGAAATGATATCTAGATCCTTGGTTAATATTTAAACACTAGAAATGACCATTCAAAATTTTGGAAACAGAATATTTTTTCTTCTTCTTCTAAATCTTAAGGGCCCACGATCAATTTAATTATCATTTTGGCTCCTATGCATGTAGATGGGATTTGCAATGTGTCTGTTCCTGGTGTTGATGAGGAAATTTCACTGATTTCTAGTGCCACTTTGTGAGGGAATCATGCACTAGGGGTTTGAAAGCTTGAGGCAATAGACAACTGCATGATAATGGTATAACTTTTGTCACAGTAGTTACAGTTTAATTGAAGGTGGGACATAATTTTATACAACATCCTAGAGAAGTAAAATAGTAAATTGAAAATACTAGAAGGATATATAAATTAAATTAAACCCAGCCTCGATTGTGTGGTACGGTAGGATTTAATTAGAAAACTGTGAATGATTTTTTTTTTAAAACGCTACTAAATTCAGAATTATTTCTCCCTAGAGGACACTGCCAAGACAAGTGGTACCAGCAATACAGATCGCTATATTTTTAAAAAGACATGAGATAGAGATGTTATTTATTCCATTCACTTACATTTGACAGTGTCTTCTGGAGTGGCAAGCACAAAGGTATTTTTTGTCTCTTTAATAACAATGCCATAAGCTCCAATGTAGCTGGGACATTTTGATTGCATAACTGTTATGGGACAACCATGAAAATCAGCTTTCATCAACTTCTGAGCAGCAACTGGAAGACTCTCCTTGGTCAAACTGTGATGATGTTAAGTTTTCAAAAGAAATTGTATACATGCATAATAAAATAAGATGGCACAATTATTATATTAAGTTTAAGGTTTTAAAACATTTTGAATTCCTTTAAATTTAAATCTTAAAAGTTAAAACCATTTCTCTGACATAAAAATTAGTTTTGAAATTAGTTTATTAAAGTTAAAGGTAAGCAATCATCTGTTGATAGCTGTTCAATACATTTCAAAATGCAACTACCTTTTAAATTTAATCAGATCTTCTATGTACATCGTCCACATCTCTTTTAAGGGCAAGAATGTCCTGTATCTGTTGAAGGAGTAGGAAGTAATATATTAAATAATAACTAAGACCAATAGTTCAATCATAAAAATAAGCTATCATGAGTTCAAATTCCTGTTTAAGAACATAAAACTCCTTGAAAGTGGTGAAAGCCGTAAACAAAATAAAAATCAATGTCATTAAGGCTCAAAATAATATTCCTATCTTTTAAAAAAGTGTAGGAAAAAAATACACCATAGTACCAAAATATATGGACTACACTTCAACAATAGGACAATTGGTTGTATTGGTTTTGAAATATTGTTTTTAAATTTTCAAACTAATTTAAAGTTGTTGTTTTTTGTAGAAATGGGTGTTCTTGCTATTCAAAAAGTTCTTCAACTGTTTCTATTCTTTCACAATTGACTCATACTGGTATCCATTTAAATAATTTGATATCAGAAATTATTTTGTAAAATAAGTGATAACCAATAATATAAAAGAATATGCAATATAAATTTTTCACTCCTACACAAACAAGCATGAGTGATGACAATTTAAGGAATATTTTGGAAAATCTTTGTGACTTATAATTAAATAAAACTAGTTATTGTGTGGTAACTAATTATGGTGTGGTAACTAATTATGGTGTGGTACTAATTATAGTGTGGTAAGAGTAAGAAAACATTTAAAAGGGGTTTTAAATTAATCTGACCCTTGTCAATTATAATTTAACATGACATCAGTTATTGTTAGCCTTACTAACCTTATATTTGAATTGGCTGTGAAAGTTTGCCTAATTCTTCGCTTCTGCACTTTAGTCAGCTTGATGAATTTGCCTGGTACACCAGCCGTAGACTTGGATTGCTTTCTTTTTTTACCTTTAATTGTTACATTTTCATACTTAGAGCTTAAATCACACTCATTGGATTGTATGCGACAGGAAGAAAGTTGTTCCTTAGAAAATGAATCCCACCACCTTTTTTGAGTTTCAACATCCTGTAAGATGAAAAAAAATTAAAAACTGTTTATATTGCAACCACTTTAAACAACACAATTCTAAAATTTTAAAAACTGATTACAGTGCAACCACTTTAAACATACTCTCTAAACAACAAAATTCTCCAACAAGTATCAAATAATCAATACCTTGGAATTCTCTTCTCGAATAACCTAAAATGGTCACCACATATAAACAAAATTTTTAAAAAAAGCCAACTCCACACTTGGTTTCATCCGGAGAAATCTGCGCCACTCCCCAACCTCCTGCAAACGAAATGCCTATCTTGCACTCGCCCATCCACTACTAGAATATTGTGTAATCATCTGGGACCCATACCTAAAACAAGACGTGGACAAGATGGAGCTAATACAACGTAATGCAGTGCGCTTCATCGCACATGACCACAAATCCACCACTCATGGCTTCGTCACTGGCTTTTTAAAAGATTTGACATCCCCTCTCTCAAAGACAGACGAGAAAAGCTACGTCTAACAAATTCTCTATAAAATGGTCACGGAGCTAGTACCGGCCACTCCAGCTAACACGTATCTCATCCCGCAGAAGCCAGGTCGCTTAATCAGAGCCAAACGCTCAATAAACACTGACTTCACCTTTACCAACCCCATAAGCATGTGCAATTACATCTGGAACAATAGTAAATGCTTCACTGTGCCTTGGTGTAACACAGTCCAATATAAACAATCATTCTTCCCACGAAGAATAATTAACTTGGAACCACCTGGACAATGCCGCCATGGACTAGACATCAATCGAGAGCTTCAAAACTGCCCTAGCATCCGTTAAAATACCAGCATCGCATCCCCAACCATTGCATATATGCCAGAACATGTCAACTGGCACTGCCCCCCTCTCTCCCTCCCCCCTTTTCGAAAACTGGCACTGCCCCCCCCTCTCTCCCCCCCCTCCTTTCGAAAACTCTGAAGTGCCCTCCTGGGGGAAAATTTCTGAAATAATCACTGTACCCTACCCCAGAACCAGAATAGTAACAGTATGAAATGTATTTACTTTGACTAGAAATTTTTATCAAAGATGGTAATCATGATGTTAAAAGAAACTGTTTTCAAATTTATGCAAAGAAGAAAAAAAAATGTAGCATGGATAGCATTTTTTTTTCTTCTTTTCAGTAATATAAGTAAACCTTAAAATTAAAACCTAGTTTGTGTCTTAACAATGATGTACATCTTTTTGTTTAAACATAATGAATACTGGTATTTTATTTCAACTTACTTTTTTATGCAATCCAGAACCAAGCTCTCCAGAGCTCAACTCGTTGTAAGCCTCAGCTGTAAATTATTTTTACATGTCATGAGTAGACAACAGTAACAGTTGTAAGACCATGGAGTACACAATGAACAAATTTTCACATTAAAATTAAATTTTATGTACATGTAAATATATGAATTTTATGGTCTTTAGCATACATTAGTGATTTGAACAAGTTACAAATTCAAATTTTAACTTTCAGTTAGCGAATTGCAGCTCAAATCAATATAATCTCGATTAGGGTTGCACCGATTAATCTGCAAAAAAAAAAACAACAGTTTTCTGCCCAAACAACCATTTTGAAGCTTAATCAACCATTTTGAAGCTCAATCAGTATAAGCCTTTTTAACCCATTAATTGGCCTACGAGAATATGTTTGATAATTGGTATAAAATTAAATAAGCTCAGTAATATCAAACAATATTAGTCATTTATATCCATATATCCATATATCAGCAAGGTGCTGCCTTGTCCTGACAACCATTATGTTAACACTTGATGATGTAAGCGTTACTGCTAGCAGACACATCACAGTTCATTTCAACAGAAATTTTCTGATTAGAATTCACTTTTCATGCAGGCTAATTTCTTTGGTCTAAGTGCAAGTTTCAAATATTTTGAAATCAGAGGGATCCAAACTCTAACTTCTGTTTATTCACTCTTTAAAACTTTACTCTTACTCCTCATAACCCAAATACTTTTATACCAAAGACATAATATATTTAACATTCTTAATCATTATGAATGTTAACTATGACGATGGTGTGCAATCACAGCCAGATTTCCCATAAGGCCAACCTAGGCCATGGCTTAGATCACAGCAGTTGGGGTCGTTCATATTGAAGAAATAAACAATTAAATACCTACATATTTTTCAGTATTATTAAAATGGTCATAAAAAATGCAGTAGTATTGTAGATTTGAATTAAAAAAATGTGGTTCAAAGCTTACAAAGATTGTATTAAATGTTTTTTTTCAAAAGTAAATTATTTTACTGTCATATTAAATTATTGGAAATTACAAATGAACTTTTTGAGGGGGAAGGGCTCAATATTATGGGCTTTAAAACAGGGCCCACAAATTTGTAAACCTTGCCCTGTTTGTAATGCTACAATGCAACGCCATATTTATATTAACATTAACTAGGGCTTAACGGGTGCAGATTGTTTAGAAAATACCCGGTGGGTCCAAATGTTTCCATACAAAAAATTAATTTTTCATTTTCTATATTGTGCACAGTGCAACAAAATCTACTGTCCTATGTCGTAGTGAGAGTGCATTACCTTCGTCAAATGTTTTCGTCAGTAAAATAGCCCACTGGTACTCATAGGAACAGGCAGTTGCCAGATCCCTGAATAGAAATGATGGTGTACAAAAACCCATCGAAAGAGAAGATAACATCATTCATTTTACAACAAAGAACACTAAGGAAATGACAGTCCCAGTATAACAAAAATAGCAATACCTTCTAAAAACAGTGAAATTTTTTTAATAAAAATTCCTTTCTAAAGAAAAGAATCAGCCTATTTTCTGGAGTTCAGATGTTATGCATGAAGCTCACTGTGTGACAGAGGAACAGGAACAATAATAAAACAGATGTTACGCAGGCAGCTCGCTGCATGACAACCTTTTTTTTACACTTATTACTATTATAAAATATTTGAAGTTTGGGCAGAGGGAAGGTTTGAATAGGAAGCAGGACGCACCAGAAGTAAATATAATAAAGAGATAATTAACTGCATGCTGCTCTACTCTCAGTCAGATATAAAAATACAATGAAAATTCTGACAAATCCTGGGATGCAACTCAGTCAAGCTGTAGTGTATCATCCAATCCATATATGGTGTTATCCACGTGCATTGATAGAGGCGATTTGCTGTCTTGGGAACCCGATTATAATTTATAAGGCCTAAAGTAAAATTCCAGGCCCAGGCCTTGTGATTTCGTCCTGCAAAGTCACAGTCACACCATCGTCACATTGATCACATTGTCATTGTTGTGACAGACGGATGCCAGTAAAAAAATAAATTTTTAAAAATAAGTTAGGCTATTAAATTTATTTAAATTAGTACAGTATAGGGGCCATTTCAGATGATACTAAGAATAACTATTTGTATTTAATTTAATAAGTATTACTAATACTATTAGTAAATTAATATTGGCCTTTCATTATTTTACTTTAATACTACTACACTACACGGACTAAGGCTACGGCTACGGGTTAGTCGGGTGACTCGGATCATCATGTCTTAGTCTTAGTGGCCCGTCTACACAGTGACAAGTCAAACGTTCCTTTTGGTATCCCTTTAATTAATTAATATTTCCTAAACTAAAGACATACATTCTGCAACCATTAAATAACTAGATTTTAAAATGCCACTAAATAATTACCCTTCTTTATTTTGGCTAAGCCTAAACTCATTTTTTAGTCAAGTTGGTTGTTAGATGTTATTGGAGTAGTGATAGTAAGAATGCCACTTACTCCTTTCAAAATTCCCAAGATTTTGGTCAAATAAAATTCCCAAGATTTCCCAAAATTATAAAAATACACTATTTAAGTAATTTAAGAGTTTAAATAATTAATTAATACAATAATGGCTTGAATTAATTAATCGGGAATCCATATTACACCGCAACATAATTAACTGAAAGTTATTTAATTAGACCATTTTTTTTTACTGTAGTTGTGGTCTCAGACTCAGGCTCAATCCAGGGCGGCCGCTCACATTATTTCAAAATTCCCTAGGTTTGGTTTACGAATTTCCCCAGATGATGACCTATAACTATGCCCAGACGCCAGACCATGTGACAGAACATGCAAATGGAGTGGCACATTCATAAACATTACAATAGTGCGAAGAACAAATATATTTTTTCTCTAAATCGTAGGTCTACCGATAACATATTTGTCTTCTGTAATTCTTAGCATTTAAAAATTACATTTTGTTCTATCTTTTAACTTTTAGATCAGGCCTGCACAACATAATCCTGCGGGCTGCATGCGGCCCGCCAGCACCCACATTGCGGCCCGCGAAGAAACGAAATATTCTTTATTATTATTATTTTCTTAATAACTCCACCCCTCCCCACCCCCGTACTATTTTTTTTTCTTTCAGCCCACACAAGTTTTTTACTAAATTATTACGGCTCGCCTTACATTTGGAGTTTTGCAGGCCTTTTTTTTTCTTTTTTTTTTTTAGATTACTAATGTATTTATTTTTTTATTATTGTAATTAATTGACAATGCATTCGATTTAGTCCGTTAATTTTTTTTGAGACAACAAATTAAAAATGTTTACTAAATTATTACGGCTCGCCTTACATTTGGAGTTTTGCAGGCCTTTTTTTTTTCTTTTTTTTTTTAGATTACTAATGTATTTATTTTCTTATTATTGTAATTAATTGACAATGCATTCGATTTAGTCCGTTAATTTGTTTTGAGACAACAAATTAAAAATGTTTGAAAACCGTATATTATTATTTAATTTTAGTAATGTCTTTTGTATTTTAAAGTCATATCCTAAGAAACGCATGTATTGTCATACAGCACACGGTCTGTTTCATGCTGTCTGTGATTTCACGTTTATCTGCTTCCTTTACATTTGAGCTGTTCTAGTTGAGGATGTTAAGCTTACACACCAGTATCTGAATACTAAAGGCTTTACTCTTTACAAAGTGGTGACCAACCTAGAGACCTTGATATTGTTTCTGCACGAGAAGCGCTGTCACTTGATGGAACATGCTATTGAAAAGGCACTTTTAAAATCAGACCAATATGGAATTTCGGTTGAGAGAAGATTAAGGTTTAAGCATAAAATAATAGATGCTGGACTCTCTGTGAGACGAACTGTAGGGAGATGTTGGAGTGTATTGATCGCGAAGGATGTTGATTTCGTTTAAGACCAGCAAAGGTTTAATGCAAATGTATATAGGCCTATATAACGTAACGTTGTTTAAGCTCTTAAATACATTGACCTTCTGACCTTCAATAAATGTGTTTTTGTTCTTGTCATTCTTATACCGTGGACTTATTTTGATAAGAATAAATCAATCGTGGGAGTTGAGGTGGGGGCGGGGGACACCATGAGTTTACCGCACCGGGTGACACCAGCCCTAGTTACGCCGCTGTTGTAGGCCGACTACTCATCTCCCAGCCTGATTTCAACCTCCCCCCTCCCCCCTTTTTTTTCTTTATTTTCATTTTCTATTTTTATACCAACTCATTAAATCAAACTTAAATGTTATTTAACATAATATCAAAGTTCTTTAATTTGTTCGGGTAATGACATCTCTTTGTTGTTCTTTCTATGGCTAAAGTCATTATTAATTTTTATTATTTAAAATTGTATGTATTTATTTAAACTTGAATAATAGGGCCAGACTATTATTTTTGTCCAATTGTTTTGGTCACTATGGCAGAGAAAAATATTTAACCTTATGTACGAAAAAAAAGAGTAGAAACTTTCTATTTATAAAAGACACGTTTTCACCAGCTTACAATTACTGATTTAATTAATCAGATTACTTGTATTTTTAATAACTGTGCCTGCCTTTAAGAAAACGTATTTTTGGCGTACATCTGATTTTAGTATTGCAACATTCTGCACTTTATTGGACAGCAACAGAAGAAATGATAGTGAAAATGTAGGCTTTACTAATGAACACGATAAGCCTCAGAAAATCTTTCACATCAAATGGCAGGGCATGGTCCCAGACCTCGAGTTACTCAAACAGGCAGGTCTCCCCAAAGTCGTTATCATTTAATGCCCAGCTTTGTTGAGCGGGCCATGTTGTGAGACACCCGCCTGCCTAAAATAGTGTTTTATGGCAGCCCCGAACATTGAAGGTGGTTTGCTAGTGAGCAGAAGAAAGGCTTTAATGGTAACTTCTAAAAGCTTTGCTGAAAGCGTTCGATGTGAAACTGGTCACGTGGGAGGATTTGTTGAAGATCGAAGATCATGGAGTTTTCCTTTTTACTCAAAGGCTCCATACAACAAGAAGATAAGATAAGATTCTTTATTAATCCAAATAAATGGAAATGTTTTTACTAAATTGTACATATTCATTTTCAGCACATAAATAAATACACTATAGAAAGAATGCGCCCTGATCAACCTGATCTTAGGTGTCTGTGAGAAAGTCATGAAGTCGGTTGGATGTATCATCCAAAAATATTTTATAACAGTATTTTTCTTCAAATAGTTCCTTGTGTGAGGGATGTTTAGTTTATTATTAGTAGTACAGTGGTCTTATATAGACGCGGTACCCCAGCCTAGGGCTTGGCGCACTGCGCTGGACATAAAAATATTAGCAAACATAATGACGACATCAAACAATGACATACATTTATTATTATTATTATTATTATTTTTTTAAAACAGCTTTGATTCTGATTCTGATAGGGTACGTTGCTGCATCCATGTACTGGCAGATGTGCAACGGTTTAGGAAACGATGCGGCCATCCTAACGGCTCCTAGCGGGTGCCAGGGCAGCCTTGAAACTCTCGATGGATGTCGAGTCCATGGCGGCATTGTCCAGGTGGTTCCAAGCAATTATTGTTCGTGGGAAGTATGATTGTTTATATTGGACTGTGTTACACCAAGGCACAGTGAAGCATTTACTATTGTTCCAGATGTAATTGCACATTGACATGCTTATGGGGTTGGTAAAGGTGAAGTCAGTGTTTATTGAGCGTTTGGCTCTGATTAAACGACCTGGCTTCTGTGGGGTGAGATATGCGTTTGCTGGGATGGCTGGCACTAGGCCCATGACCGCTTTACACAGGAATGTTAGGCAAAGCTTTTCTCGTCTATCTTTGAGAGAGGGGATGTCAAATCTTTTAAAGAGCTCAGTGACGAAGCCATGAGTGATGGATTTGTGGTCACGTGCGATGAGGCGCACTGCATTACGTTGGATTCGCTCCATCTTGTCCACTTCTATCTTTAGGTATTGGTCCCAGATGATCGCACCATATTCTAGTAGAGGACGGACGAGTGCGAGATAGGCATTTCGTTTGCAGGATGTTGGGCAGTGGCGCATATTTCTTCGAATGAAACCAAGTGTGGAGTTGGATTTTATTTAAATTTTGTTTATATGCGTGACCATTTTAGATTATTCGAGAAGAGAATTAAAAAGTATGGATTATTTGATACTTGTTGGAGAATGGTCTTGTTTAGAGAGTACATAAAGGTTGATGGTTTCCTTTCTTGAGATGCTCATTTAGTAGCATTTGGTTTCGTTAAATTTCATGTTCCATTTGTCCGCCCATTTCATAAGGCAATTCAAATCTGCTTGGAGGTGGTTGTGGTCATCGCAGCCATTTATCTCTCTTTAGAAAAGGCGGGCATATACAAACAGAGATGAGATTGAGATTTTACAGTATCAGGGAGGTCGTTTATATGACAGAGAAAGAGAAGGGGGCCCAGCACTGTACCCCGAGGAACTCCTGAGTCTACAGTGACTTTGCCTGATCGGACACCATCCACCACTACTTGCATGGTCCTTTGGACACCATCCACCACTACTTGCATGGTCCTTTGTGTACGGAATGTTGAGAGCCAGGAGTGAAGGTTGCCGGTAATGCCATAGTGGTTCAGCTTATGTAGAAGCAGGTTGTGTGGAACAGTGTCAAAGGCCTTAGAGAAGTCGAGAATTGTCATGTCGATCTGTTTACCTTTGTCATAGGAGGCAAGGAGGTCATTGGTGGTGATGATTAATTGAGTTTCTGTTGAGAATCCAGAGCGGAAACCGTGTTTAGGTTAACTTGGTAAAGATGTTGTAGCTTTCAAAATGGGTCATGATGTGGTTTACAGATTGTTCTAGAATTTTGCATGGTACGGAGCATGGGCGCCCGCAGGGAGGGGCAAGGGGGGCACTTGCCCCCCCCCCCCGGATTGATTGGATAAAAAAACTTAGACAAAAATAGACAAAAAAATTATTAAAGTAAAGAGAAAATAAAGAGAAAGTAATTAAGCTGATGTCCTGTCCGTTCGTTCACCATACAAATACGCTACAGTAAATTAAAACTATATTAAAACATTACTAAAAATTGTTTGCCCCCCCCCTGGAAAGTTAATCGATTTTTTTGCGCCTCCCCCTAGAAAGTTTTCTGCGGGCGCCCATGGTATGGAGGTCAGGGATATCGGGTGGTATTATTCTGGGTTATGACGATCACCTTTCTTGTAGTCACTAGTGATGTTTGTATCAAGCCAGTCTAGTGGGAGTTTGCTGGGTTATGACGATCACCTTTCTTGTAGTCACTAGTGATGTTTGTATCAAGCCAGTCTAGTGGGAGTTTGCTGGGTTATGGCGGTCTCCTTTCTTGTAGGCACTAGTGATGTTTGCATCAAGCCAGTCCAGAGGGAGTTTGCCTGAGTCAAGCGACTTTTGGAAAACGCAGGTTAAGGTTGGGGCAATGTTGTCAGCCAGGGTCTTCAGGACAATGTTCGGGATACAGTCAGGTCCGGGCGCTTTATTGGGCTTCATGTTTTTGGGGAGTTTGGCTACTCCTGGTTCAGTTATGATGAGGGAGGCCTATTGTACCAGGTGAAGGTTTTAGGGATGGTATGACTGTGGTGGAAATTTTGGTGAAGACAGATTGAAACTGCCTTAGGAGACTATCTGCTTTGCACATTAGAAGAAAAAAACAACAGTACCCAACGAGGGTGTACGCAAATATACTTAACAAGAACAAAACGTATGTTTTTTCATTGATAAACACATTGCAGACTTTTATATTGATGTAAAGGTAATTAAATACAGTGTTATTAAAATTTTTAAACTTGTGAAGATGCAAAAAAAATAAATGACTAAAAATACCGATATTGTATTCGAACTACAGGAAGTAAGACATCGGCTTATAATCGGGAACATCCAGTGCGATATTTATAATCGAACACTATACACCTTTAAAAAGATTAGCCTTAAATATACAGATCATCAATTATATCGAGCGTAGCGATATTTCATAGATTCCGCTAATTGTAATCGGTTAAAAGCACCCGATACTAATCTTTTTAAAACTGTTTAAAAAATACAACGTAATCGTTTTTAATTTTAAAAATCTTTATATTGTTGTACACATTCTGCTCGGGGGGGGGCACTTGGCTTTCCCCGGGGGCACTGCCCCCACCCGGATATACGCCTGAAAGAAACACTCCATGGGACAGTGGAGGTCACTGGTGACCTACTGATCATGAAGGGTTGTATTGTCAACAGGGGTAGGTAAGTGTACAAAGTTTCAGCTCAGTTGAAGGCCAGGAAGTGGTTCGAAATTGTGATGGAAGATATGACAACACAAAAGCTAACAACAAACGGACAGAGCAACCTGTAATTATTTATTTTCTCCGGGTATGGGCGGGTAAACAAACTTTGACCTAATTTATCACAGGGGTCCTTGAAATTTGCGTGAGGAGATACTGATCTTCCATCGAGCGCCTCACCAAGTGGCGGATAGGAGAAAGCCCACCAGATATGGAGGGTACCGGGGAAATAAAATACCCGGGGCGGACCAAAATCAGAACCTACTGCCTTGTAGGAAGTGGAGGGATCCACAAAGGCTAGGGACCCGACCCAATACAAAGGCAGCTACCCTGAGAACTGCAAGGATCATCCCCCCAGACGGTTGTGCGCAGGGCTGACGACCCTGTGACGTAAAAAAGCTAATGTTACGAAAGTAAAACCACATTCAGAAAAACGGATCATATTTTTATTATAATATGTCTCCTGGAGAAATGCTACGAAAACAACATTGACATACACCAACTATTAGCGTAAACAGGAATTACTTATACAATGCTCTACAAGAACTTGAAGTCCCTAACAAGCTTACTCGGCTCATACATATGACAATGGCCAACTCCAAAAGTAGAATCAAGGTACAGGGAGAATACTCTAGGGAGTTCCTAGTTAATCGGGGCCTCAGACAAGGAGACTCACTATCATGTATCCTGTTTAACATCACGCTAGAAAAAGTTATTAGAAGCATACACGTTAGCACCAGTGGAACCATAACAAACTACTTCCAGAGAGATACTACAGAACAACGACCATCAGGAACCTTATATAGCCAACCATTGCAGTACCTGGCATGTGCAGATGATATAGCACTACTGGGTAGAAACCGTAATGACATAATTAAAGCATCCAGGGAACTTAAAAATGCCTCATTCAAAGCTGGCCTTGATATAAATGAACCGAAGACAAAATAGATGATAACGTCAAGAAACTCCCATGCTGATAATAACATCAATTTAAACAACCACAAATTTGAGAGAGTGGACACATTCAAATATCTAGGGGCAACTATAAATGAGCACAATGAGATAATGTCAGAGGTGAAAGAAAGGATAACAGCAGACAACCGTTCCTATTTCAGTCTACAAAAGCTACTGGGAAACAAAAACCTATCAAGGGGAACAAAGAAGACAATATACACCACCATCATAAGACCTGTAGTAACGTACACTAGTGAGACCTGGACCCTCACCAGAAAAGCAGAGAACCTGCTCAACACATGGGAGAGGAAAATCCTCCGGAAAATCTACGGACCAGTGCTAGAAAATGATATCTGGAGAATACGTACAAACCAAGAACTTTACTATTTGTACAATGAACCATCCATAGTCACAATGATAAAAAAAGGCAGACTACGCTGGGCAGGACATGTTGAAAGGATGCCGGAATGCAGAGCAGCCAAAATTATATACAGGCAGAAGCCTAGGGGCAGACGACTCACCGGTCACCCAAGGATGAGGTGGATTGATGATGTGGAGACAGATTTACACCAGTTGGAGGTTCGAGCATGGAGACGGAAAGCCATGGATCGCTCCGAGTTGAAGGATGTGGTGGAGCAGGCCAGGGCCCTACATGGGCTGTAGTACCAATGATGATGATGATGTCCTTGAAATTTGACATTTGTTGACAAGGGGGAAGGAGAAGGTAAAAAATTGTTAATATAATTTATAGACGGCCCCTTGTGGTACAGGGACTCACTTGGGTAAGGCAGTGTCGGACATTTTTCACCCTCCCCCCTGAATTTATTTAAATTGCTATGTATTGTGACGCCTCCAGTAATAAACAACTTAACAAGCCGACCAAGTTTTGCCCCCTTGTGGTACAGGGACTCACTTGGGTAAGGCAGTGTCGGACATTTTTCACCCCCCCCCCTGAATTTATTTAAATTGCTATGTATTGTGACGCCCCCAGTAAAAAACAACTTAACAAGCCGACCAAGTTTTGCCCCCCCCCCCCCTGAAAAACTGAAATGACGCCCCTGTTGTAGTAATGTAGAATTTAGGACAAATGGGCCTATATTTTTTACCATTAAAAAAACAACTAATAAAGAGTCGTGAAGCAATCAAGAAATATGCACATCAAAATTAGTGCTGTTAATAGTAGACCGCATATTTAATTTTTTTTTTTTTTATAAACGTGATATTTTTGGTAAACTGTGGGAAAAGGTACATTTAGATCATGAGCAACATTCTGTTCGCGACCACTGATCCAGCCTAAACCTTATCTGAAATTACTCATGACAATGTATGTGCAATGTCAAAATAATCAATCATTAAAAGTAAGTCAAAGAAAAAAAATTAGGCTTACTATACGAGACCTATATTTTACTCTTACGATTTTGGCGTGCAATGTAGGCCTACGATCTTGAGATGTCTTTTACGTTTTTATGCCGAGACACGCCAGTACTACGATTTTAAGGGACCTAGTTAAAAAAAATAATAATTTTCACCCAGCAATAAGGGTGGGGATAGCGAAAAGAAATAGTTACGCCCCCAGCACGGACAGACAATGTCATCAGTGTGTTGTCTGTCACTAGGCTAAATTCTAACACAGGGATCGTTACCTCACCGGGATCGTGATCCAATCATGATCTGGATCTCACCGGGATCGGTATTCCATCGGGATCCAGTAAGGAAAAGGGAGGCCTTCGGGAAATCCCCCCCCCCCCGACCGGATCACATCGGGGAACGAAAGGGTAAAAAAGTTATTAAAAATTTTGGTATTCCATCGGGATCCAGTAAGGAAAAGGGAGGCCTTCGGGAAATCCCCACCCCCCCCGATCGGATCACATCGGGGAACGAAAGGTTATAAAAGTTATTACAAATTTGTTAATTAATAGGCTGTAGAACTTGTTTTTTTCCAAATGCAACCCCGGGAAACGCCTGATACATTAGCTAGTAAGTAATAAATTACAAAACAATTTTAATATTTATTAAATACTAAAATAAAAAATTATTTATGTCAACAAACTTTAAGTCGGTTAAGTAAGGGGAACCTAATTTTTCATAAGCATAGCGATTAAATCTAGAATGATTTAAAACTATATTTAGGTACACACAAGTGCATCGCTGCGTTTTTTGAATTTATAAAAAAACACCTGGTCAACCACCTTCCCAAACCTCATCCCGACTTTTGTTCAGCTGACTTCGGCGGACGCCCTCAATTCGCTCACCCACCACATCAAAGTGGCAAATGACGGGCACATTTTTATTTGCAATAATGCACTGTGTTTAAATATGTGAACGTCAGTCATCTACTTTGAGAAGCGATCTTATAAAACATGCGATGGGAATAGTTATACTGTATATTTATTTATTTACCAGTACAAAAGGATATTCCACGATTTTGAATTGGTAGAGTATCATTCTGAGACTATATAATATTACTATATTGTAATTGTACTATACTGAAAGTTCTAATGTAACCAGGTCTGCTATATTACTGCTATATTAATATTACAAATCGATTGGCCCAATCCAATGTAAAACTTTATTTGTTTTATAATATGTATTTTCATGAAATAAAAAAGGGCAAACAGTCGTCTATCAATTTTGAAAATGCCTGAATTCAAAGGATTCACCAATAATGATGTTTTATGAACAATTTGTTTGCACTTTATTTTTGAATTAGAACCTTTTTTAAAAAAAAAGTGTGCCAGATTATTCTGGAAATGTGTAGGACTTAACAAATCATCAAACATCAATAAATGACATGTTGTTAAAGCCTATCCAAATCTGACATTTGAGAAGTATTAAGCATTTGGTGGTTACTTGAAAATTTAACTTTAAATAAAAAAAGACATTTCTAATTTAATAATCTTTGTTACGACGAATGTAACGATCGAAACATAAATTTAAATACACATTTACGTAACGGTTTCCGACTAAGCAACTACTATTTTGCCGGATTTGACTTCTTCGGGCTACTACGCATGCGTTGATTCGATTCGAACTTCCTTACTTCTGTGTTAGCATCCCAGGGGACTTTCGAGTGTGGTTGTGACGTGAAAATTGTTACTGCTGAGTGTGTAAGGTTTTATAAGTTCTTTTTTTATGGATCCAAGAATTGCTTGGTATCCACCTGAACAATTGGGATATGCTCATGATTTATGGACGCGAATTTGGGAAGCACAATATTGTTTAGACAACATGATTCTGGGATCAACATCGGACCAAAAACCACAAGATTATATTCCACTAGACAGCCCGACAGACTCGAACACTTTACATAAAAAGCAGGATATTGTTCAAAAAAGAAAAAGAAGCGAGAATCGCGCTTGTACATATGGTTTAAACTTTTCTTCAAATAAAAGGATTTTAGAGAACGATGGTCTCACTCCGTGGAGAAAACCTCTTAAAAAATATGATCATGGTGTTTTTGGGTAAGTAAAGAAAAAAAGTAAAATGGCGAGAAACTTGTTATCACTAAACTTCACTAACAGCTGACAGGGCAAAATCATAATCATGATGAATCATTATACCTACTATTTCTATTTACATGATTTGTTAATACTCTACCACCAATATACTCTACCAGATTATTAAGACACAATTTGTGTAAAAAAATAAAACAATAAAATAATACAGGTTAATCTTTAAATTTAAAAATGGCTACACACTTTTAGACTACTAATAGATTCACACAGTCACAGAATTAGAAAGAATACAAATGCAAACGTTCATCAGTACAACCAAGAAAAACAACTATTACTATTCATATAAATAAGTATAAATTCAATTTAATTTAAGAATGGGCACATTCTTATTCATTCGTTTTAGGTAGTATTGTATTCACACATTTAGTATAAATTATTATAAATATTCTTTTGAACCTTGTCCTTGTAATTAGGGGTGTGCCGGATCCGTTTTTTCCAACCGGATCCGGATCCGGATTTTCTTATGCGAAATCCGCCGGATCCGGATTCGGCCCCGGATTCCGGAATAATCCGGATTCCGGAATAATCCGGATTCCGGTTTCTCCCGGATTTTGGTACTATTGGTAGATACTTCGGTAAGTCAAGGTGGACTACTACTTTTTGTGTATGGGAATTCGCAATCGGCGCCAAAAAATCCGAGTTTTTAATTTTCCGATGTGTGTGTCTATTTATTATTAAATTAGTACTTTCGATATATATTTGAGTTCCGTTCCATTTGGATAAGTGTCTTACGAGAGACGCCATGTTTCTACGCGTTCGCAGCAGGTTATGCAGCTCGCTCAACCTAATTTCGCCATGGGGTTGGCCACGCCCCCCTTTTTAATGGCGGAAGTTGACGATACTTAGGAAATATTAATTTATTATCACTATTTACATCAAAATAATTGATAACTTGTGTTTCAGAATGCATTTAAAGACATTTAAACTGGAATGTTTTAATTTGAGCTTTAACAACCCGGTAGAATCCATATTATAAATGATCAGAATTTACCGTGTGCAACACGTTGTCATTGGCAACCATTCACAGCCACTTGCATAACTGTATCGTAGTACTACCTCAGAGTTTCATTCATAAGAGTTTGCCGTGTGCAAAAACTATTAAACCATTGGTCAGGGAAAGCTTTAATTAATTATTCATGTGCCAAAGTTGAAAGTTTAAACTAAGTCTAAACAGTATTTTAGTGATAAGGCAGGGAATGCGTTGCCTTATATAAACTATATAGTCATTGCGCATGACGGGATTGGCGGAATGAGATCACAGAATGTGGAGATGCAGTCCATGTTAAAAAATGACAAACCAAGTCGTACTTTAAAAATTCATAACTTTAAAACTACAACAGCTAAAAATATGATTTTGGTGTTATAATTCTTTAAAAAAATTACATCTTTTCAACTATGCCATTGGTTTATTTTTACAAAAAGTTTAAATTTTCTTATCAAAGTCCCTACACTATTGGCCACTATTAGCGGTGCTGACTCTAGCCTCTGGTATGTACGGAATATTAAACATTAAACAAGCTCAACGCTCGAAACAATCGATTAATGTATCGTGATCGTGTGGAATTCGGGAAAGAGAATTACTTTTATTTCAGATTATGATCCGGTGAGTCACAAAATCTGGCAAATTCCGAAATCCGGTATATTCCGGAATCCGGTTGTTCCGGATACATGTAAATCCGGCGGAACCGGATTTCACCGGATAGTGCAAAATCCGGCGGAACCGGATTCCGGACCGGGGTCCGGCACACCCCTACTTGTAATGTAAGTTGGATTTTAATGAAAAACCAGTACTGCCCATACTGCTAAACCTATTTTAACAGCCTATTAGTATCATCATACTATAATACTACTATCAAACTGTAGGCCTAGCCCTATTCAGCATTTCATATTTATATTAACTACTGTGTAATTATAATTATGGACTGTGGTAAGTTTTAATTTAATTATAATATAGTATATAGCCTAAAGTCTGTGGGCCATATGAATCTATGAATTTATCTTATCAACAAATGATATATTATACAATCCTACTGTGGTTTCTAAGCCTAGGCCTAGGGTCCCATAGTATTTTACATTTAAATATGAAAAAGAAACTCCCTTTTTTTTTATTACTAGACTTGCCATTAAAAAGAGAAGACTCACTCTAATCCCTAATCTGTATTTTAACTCTTAGATAATTCATTAGGCCCCTATATGTTTATACCTTTTGTTAATGGAAAAATTGTTTCTAATACAGAATAATTAGTTCTAGGATACTTGTTATAGTTATGCTAAAAATATAGGTATATTATTCATTTTCATTTGTACTCTTTCTCTACTTGTATTATTTTAATAAGTATAGACGCCTCTTGACCTAAATTATTATATAATATAGGTCATTTAGTTAAGGCAGTTTAGAGCTGATTTCTTCAGTTTTAAATTATTTTTAACTGCTTACTGAGTTTAAATTTGGCTAATCTTAAATGCTTGGGATTCTATAGGCTATAGGCCCATGACATAGGTAGTGACATTTTTGTTTTGAATAGGGAATGTTATGATGAATACTTTGCTTTTAATGAAAAACTTCAGGCATGCACTTGAAAAGGGATCCTTGTTAACTTTGACTTGGTTCCTTTGATACACACTAAATTAGGGGTGTGCCGGACCCCGGTCCGGAATCCGGTTCCGCCGGATTTTGCACTATCCGGTGAAATCCGGTTCCGCCGGATTTACATGTATCCGGAACAACCGGATTCCGGAATCCGGAATATACCGGATTTCGGAATTTGCCAGATTTTGTGACTCACCGGATCATAATCTGAAATAAAAGTAATTCTCTTTCCCGAATTTCACACGATCACGATACATTAATCGATTGTTTCGAGCGTTGAGCTTGTTTAATGTTTAATATTCCGTACATACCAGAGGCTAGAGTCAGCACCGCTAATAGTGGCCAATAGTGTAGGGACTTTGATAAGAAAATTTAAACTTTTTGTAAAAATAAACCAATGGCATAGTTGAAAAGATGTAATTTTTTAAAGAATTATAACACCAAAATCATATTTTTAGCTGTTGTAGTTTTAAAGTTATGAATTTTTAAAGTACGACTTGGTTTGTCATTTTTTAACATGGACTGCATCTCCACATTCTGTGATCTCATTCCACCAATCCCGTCATGCGCAATGACTATATAGTTTATATAAGGCAACGCATTCCCTGCCTTATCACTAAAATACTGTTTAGACTTAGTTTAAACTTTCAACTTTGGCACATGAATAATTAATTAAAGCTTTCCCTGACCAATGGTTTAATAGTTTTTGCACACGGCAAACTCTTATGAATGAAACTCTGAGGTAGTACTACGATACAGTTATGCAAGTGGCTGTGAATGGTTGCCAATGACAACGTGTTGCACACGGTAAATTCTGATCATTTATAATATGGATTCTACCGGGTTGTTAAAGCTCAAATTAAAACATTCCAGTTTAAATGTCTTTAAATGCATTCTGAAACACAAGTTATCAATTATTTTGATGTAAATAGTGATAATAAATTAATATTTCCTAAGTATCGTCAACTTCCGCCATTAAAAAGGGGGGCGTGGCCAACCCCATGGCGAAATTAGGTTGAGCGAGCTGCATAACCTGCTGCGAACGCGTAGAAACATGGCGTCTCTCGTAAGACACTTATCCAAATGGAACGGAACTCAAATATATATCGAAAGTACTAATTTAATAATAAATAGACACACACATCGGAAAATTAAAAACTCGGATTTTTTGGCGCCGATTGCGAATTCCCATACACAAAAAGTAGTAGTCCACCTTGACTTACCGAAGTATCTACCAATAGTACCAAAATCCGGAATCCGGGAGAAACCGGAATCCGGATCCGGCGGATTTCGCATAAGAAAATCCGGATCCGGTTGGAAAAAACGGATCCGGCACACCCCTACACTAAATTGGTTCCTTCTGTACACACAGCAATGTAACACCCGGAAAAAAAAGTGCACAAAACATTAGCCATCATTTTATTTTTCACTAAATTTTATTAATTCCTAGTACTGCCAACTTACATAAAAAAAAAAAATGTATACATAACATTTTTATATATTTTGTAATATATTAGCCTTAACTTATTGTACTGCAAAATTCACCCAAAGACTGTCCATTACCTCTAATTTACCATACAACTTTTGGGATCCAAATCCTGTACAGAAAAAATGGAAAACTCGAAAAATGTACAATTTGTAACATTTTCATAATTTTTATCTGTTTTGAATGCATGAATCAAACAGACCTGTTTACTTGTCACAAATGACTGGGACAGGGGTTAACAACAGAGCTCCATTGTTCTTCAGATAATTTATAGGGTGATTTTGGGGAGGGAACTGTTAGGCGCATGTGGTAAGGTTAATAGATTCTCATATCTTAGAGATTAGGGAGATCAGACCTGCCAACACTTCCAATTTTATTGGAATTTTACAGATTTTTTACCCCTCATTCTGACCTTCCGACAAACCCTTTAAAATTTCCATTTTCCGAAAATTATAATTTTTCACCCGTCATAAAAATCCGAAAGCAAAAAAAAAAAAAAAATCGGGTATGACAGGAGGTGGTGCATTTCGATGATGCCACTTCCTTTGTTTCTATGAAGGGTCTACATTTACAGCAACCGTATAAGTTCTCAGCCTTGTCACATGACTGTTAATAGTCAATCAGAGTTTACGGTACTTCATTTCAACAAATTCAAGATAGTCTGGACATTTGCATGAAAAAGAAATATATTCAATTCTACAAAAGAAATACTAGAACCATTGCTGACACATATAATAAACAAATGGTTAAAAGGGTACAATGTTAAATAAAGCGTGACATGTCCGCTGGATGAATATCTCGTACACTATTTATCCAGGTGCCAGACGTGTAGACACTGCCTTGTTTTTATCCAAGGGAACCACTATGTCCAAATAATGCCTCAATCACCAATTAATCTGATCAAGATTCATCCTTTTACTGGGCTAAAAAATTATTTACTTTTGTTGTGACTTTTTTTTTCTGTTCACGCTTTTTGTAATTAAATGGATAAATCTATTTAAAGTGGTGGGTACAATGATATTAAAAAACATATTTTAACAACAAAAAAACAACATACAACTGCAGCTAAAAGCAGTGAATCTAAAATATCCATTCCATTGTCTAATTTCTTTGCTAATGAATCTGATGATTCAGTTATCAGATCGGAAGTTTTATTTACTGCATTTCTTATTGAAGGAAATATGTCTCTAGCCAACTCCCATAGTTTTAATGCCAGAGCCAAAGAAATGTTTCCAGACTCGAAGATTGTGAAGAAAAATTACAATGCAACAAGCGCAAGCCTGAAAGTTGATACTCTTTCTAACTTGCCTGTAAATATAATCAATTGCAATGTTAACCTTCAGTTGCCCAAAGAGCTGCTTGACAAGTGCGAAAAGGCCACTTGGTAGATGCTGGAAAACTGAACTCTTAGCAGCCTGTGTCCATTTCGTCAATGGAAAATTGATCAATGGGAGTTTGGTCAAACAGAAATTTGATCGCATTTTTATTTCAGTTAAGACGATCTAATTTTCTTCAAATTTCTTTTTGAACGCACCATACTATATAGTAAAACAAAATAATGCGTTCAAAAAGAAACTTGATACAAAATTATAACATCTGAACTGAAAATAAAATGTATCAAATTTCTGTTCGGTCAAACTTCCGCCGATCAATTTTCGGCTGAAGAAATTTCTTTCAAACAAATTTCCAGTAACCTGTGTACATATGTAAATAAAATGGATAGTCTGTTCTGTATATAAACATTTCCAGTAATGTTGTTCTCATGTTCTGTGGTGCTCTGTGGACTCTACAAAGACAATGGAGGTAGCTTTATATTTCTATATTTACTATTTAAAAAAAAGGCTTGTGGCACTTGTGCATTAGTATGTAGATCTTGAACCATATCCCCCCCCCCCCCCCCCCCTTTTTTTTTTTGGCAGGTTGGCGGGTTTGAGAGATGTTTCTTTCCAAAATATTATGTCTCTGGCCTTCCAGACTTCGCATTATAATTTTAATGTTAACAACGGAAGTTCCTAATTGAACGGAAATGAGGGGGGGGGGCATGGATGGGGTAATAGCTAGCATTACTGGACCACCTAGGGAGGTAGAGAATTGTATATAAGATAGAACTCTTCGTGACAAAGGGAAGAGTTAGAAATTCTTGGACGGTCATTATGAAGTGGTAGACGCAGCTATACTAGACGTAGTCAAGGTTGGAGCCAGTGATAGACTGTTAGTCAAGTGTTGGGAAAAAAACTGTACTGAATTTGTTATATTGTATTCATCAATACATCTTTTATCTATAACTGTTTCTGAGGAGTTGCTTGATCATTCATTAGTGTTCTGTGTTTTCTTCATTGAACTTCTCAACTCCTGGACTAGTGAACAATCACAGAGAGGAACGGCCCCGTACCAGTCACAACAACACCAATACCACTTGGTACATGACCATAAGTACAAGCCATACCTCATAACACCATCCCATCTGTGACATTACTCCTACGATTTTGGCGTACACTGTACAATTTTGAGATGTCTTTTACGTTTGTTCATCAAGACCTCTCACAACTTCAATTTTAAAAAACTGGGTTGAAAATATTTATTTATTCCTGTAGTTTTTCTGATTGAAAAATAATAAATAAAAAAAGTACATGTTCTGTTGTTTGATTTAACCTGCTCTTTACATCCAGCAGTTAATGGATCGAGAAATAAAATTGGTTGCGGACCAAATATTATGTTTGCCTTGAGAGTGGAAGGCAGTGGGTTGATTCACGAGATTTTGTATCAGGTGTGGCAGGGGAGGGAGCTGTCTAAATATTTTAGTCTATAAAATTAACAATGCCACATTTTTGTAATGATAGTGGTGATGGTCATATTTTTGCATTGTGTGTTTTCATAATTAACTCGCTAGGCACAGCAATATAAGCGTAGTAGCCTTAGTGACAATTTTAATCAATTTGGCTTTTGTTTTCTTCGGTGCTGTATGACATAATTTTGTGATATAATTATTTCATTAGCTCGCTCTGAATGTTTACTCAATTTAAATTGATATCTATAGCAAATACACGTCTGCAAAACAAAGCGACAGCAGTTTGCAATATAATTGTCAGTCATCTACCTTTTAGAAGTTCCCTTTTGTGATGCCAGCATAACTGGATCCCATTAGACATGCAATAATATCTTCCATATGAGATGCCTGCGTCGCATCCTTGGTATTAAATGGCAAGAAAAAGTGACTAATAGTGAGGTCCTAATGCGTGCGAATACCCAAAGCATGTTCACAATCCTTAGTGAAAGACGCCTGTCTACCGATCCAGTACAATTTTCTTAGAGTCCCGGCCGCATTCCGAAAGACCTCCTATATGGTGAACTTGCTTCGGGAAAGAGGAAAACAGGTCGCCCACGTCTGCGATTTAAAGATGTCTGTCAAAGAGACATGAAAGCAGCCAAAATACATACCAGTGACTGGGAGTATAAGGCAGAAGACCGATCTACGTGGCGCACAGTTGTCAAAGAGGGCGTCATGGTAGCCGAGGAGCGAAGAATGGAAGAGGCTGCAGACAGAAGGGCTAGGAGAAAGGCCAAAACATTTAGTAGCACGGAACTCATGTGTATAAATTGTGGTAGAGACTGTCACTCGAGGATAGGACTGCACAGCCACTCGAGAAAATGCAACCCAACCCAACGGTGATGCACCATCGTCTCACGAGACGGAAGGATGCTGATGACAAGTAGTTATATTTATGTATTTATTTACTGTTATATGTATTGGACGATTTTGTACGATCTTAGGAGTTTGAGGTTATACAAGTCTGATCAAAGATGAATTAACTCCCCTTTGATGCACACACATTTTAGCATGTTTTAATTATTAATTAATGGATAGATTGCATTATAAAAATGAAAATAGCTTGTTTTCTATCTGATGTTCATCAAATTTTGAGGTGTTTTTTGTTTTTTTTTAAGGGTACCATCATGGAGGAAAATGTCATGAGGATAGAAGTTGTATTTTTATCTCTATGCACTATGTAGATATAAAATGTTAATTGGAAGTTTCTAATTGGCCAGTGAGATTTAAGCTTCCTGTTCAACTTTGAATTTATTGCACTGCCAATTTGAACATGTGCCTTGTGCACTCAGTTTTCTTTTCTCAACACAGTAACAACCTGTACAAAAATCAGTACAGCCATACACCTTGGCAAATCTAAAAACAAAATTACCGTACATGTAAACCGTACAGGTTGGCGTGCATTCATTTACATTTAGTAATTAAGTAGGTATTCTGCAACCATGAGGAAATAATTGTATTTATAAGTATATATATTCACTTAAGCTTAGGTCCTATAATAATATAAGATATAATAGTATATTGAAATAAGTTACATAGCTGGCTCCACACATTGTCGAATTAAGACCTGCCCACAAGCAGTTAAAATGTTGCTTTCTCACGGTAGTGTAACTAGGGGGTGTGAAGGGGGAGGCCCCCCAATCAAATTTTAGCAATATCCGTCATTTTGAGTTTGCTTCAACCTTATTCTAAAATATCTCAAATAAGAAATGAAAATATTTTCCAGATAACTGAAATTTGACGTTTGTTTAATTCTAGTCATTCCTTTTGTCATCAAATTGTCAATTCTTTGATGATTATGCAGTCTTTGGAAACGTTTACCACTTGTGTTGTTAAACTTTTTTTATTACCTCCTATTTCTTTAAATTGGTTTGCATAAAGATGCCCCAGATTGCCATCAGTACTTTACATATTACTACATCAATACAAGTACATTCAAGATCAAATAAAATCCCTTGAAATTGGATCCATTGTCACAGGCTCCTGGTCACATGGCTCTTTTGCCCTGACTATATCCGGCACTGATTCTACATTCCGTAAAAGAAATTGTTACAAGGAAATAAATTAAAATTATTATTATTATTAGGATGTAGCAAAGAGATTTGAAATTTTTTTTTATTAAAAAAATAATTTGAAAATAAAAAAGTTCAGATGAAATTAGTTGAACTGTGAGTGTGAGACTTACTTAATTCATTCAACCTCTTTAGCTCTTCTTAGACACATTTTTATACAAATCTGCCAAAATTGTTGCTTCCATTACCGGTATCCAAATATAATGTATAGAACAACCATCCCTGATCTAGGTTTTCACCATTTAGAAAAATATGGGTTAACAAAATTAAGTTGTGCAAGGAATAAATTGGTAAATCCAGGAATGTAAAAATTCTGCCCGAATTTGTCATTTCAGTTTCCTTTAAGGCTGTAGACACATTTTATATAAGAATGCTCATTCCATTGTATACTATCGTGTGCTGATTTCATAATTCAGATTGGTTCCCTTTGTATATCTTATTTACTCTATTTTAGATTCACTCTTGTGTATCTCCCTGAAATGTTTCACCATATACCGCAATATGTAATACAGAATGACTATCACTGATCAGTTGCATTGTTATCTGGGGGGGGGGGGGGTTTGTTTGAATCCTGTACTTCTATTGGACATTTGTTTGTTTGACTGTTGTTGTTTTGCGTGTGGGGGGGGGTTGAATCCTGTACTTCTATTGGACATTTGTTTGTTTGATTGTTGTTGTTTTGTGTGTGTGGGGGGGAGTTAATTTTATTATGGATACTTGTATGTCCAGAATCTGTCCAGGTTCAGTCACCTATGGCACGGGTGGGCAAACTACAGCCCATGGGACACATGCGGCCTGACAATTGATGTTATGCGGCCCCCGAGGGCATTTAGAAATTTAAAAAATTACTTTGCTTTTAAGTTATCTTGAAATTTACAGAATTTTCATGTGCCGTTATTATTGTTTTAACATTTTTTTAATAAAACTTCTTTCCAATTTAACAGTCCTTGTCCTTTGTAAGGAAATGCTAATATGGCAAAATATATATGCAGCCCTCTAATAGCTTGTCATTTGTCAATTTGGCCATACGCACACAAAGTTTGCCCACCCCTGATCTATGGTATTGTCTGATTTTTATGTCCAGAATCTGTCCAGGTTCAGTCACCTATGGTTTTGTCTGATTTTTTTCTCCCTCTTAGTTCACAACCACAAAATACTGAGAGACTATAAAAAATATATTTGAATCCACTAAACTGCTACTTTATATCTATATATATTAAAAATGTGTTTTGATACACCATTACTCAACAAGACATTTGTTTTAATACAAACTGCGTGGTCATATACTTGAGCCAGTTTCCTCCGTAAAGTACCTGGGTGTTACCATTCAATGAAATATAAAGGTCAGCTGGGACGAGCATATTAAAAATGTTATCAACCAGGCAAACAAGACCCTGGGGTTCTTAAGGCGTAATCTAAAGATTGGCAACTCCTGTGTGAAAGAAAGAGCCTATAAAGCCTTTGTCCGTCCGGTTTTAGATTATGCATCTTCAGTCTGGGACCCATTTACCCAGAAGAGCATAGACAGGTTGGAGGCAGTCTAGCAATGGGCATCACGCTTTGTCCTGAACCGCTACAGGAATACCTCTAGTATTGGCAGCATGCTGGAAACACTAGGCTGGTCACCATTTGAGGAACGATGACTTTCCAGACTCTCCATAATGTACAAGATAAATAATGGGCTGATCCACTGTTCCAGTATTAAACAGAAACTCGTCCCTCCCCCCATAGACAGCGATGAGGCTATGACAGGCAATTCCGGCTCATACCAGCGAGAAGCCAATATAGGAACTGCTCATTCCTGCCAAAGACAATCATGGACTGGAACAAACTTTTAAAAGGAACAGTTGAGGTGACAACACTTGACACACTATTGCCTCAGGCCTTCCAAACCCCAGTGTATGATACCCTCACAAAGTATCCCTTGCTACCAGTGAAATATCCTCAACACCAGGCACAGAAACATTGCAAATCCCCTCTACATGCATAGGAGCCAAAATGATCAATAAATTGATTGTGGGCCCTTAATATATAGAAGAAGAAGAAAGTTAAATCCATGATGGAAGAATCTTTTATTCCTTCATTCTATATCTGCATTTATTATTGTGTTTGTGTGTTTGGGTATTTATTCCATGAAAATTATTACAAAAAGCCCAAATTAAAAATGTAAAAATTGAAATAAACAAGAAAAATATTTTTGGTGATTATTTTAAAGCATGGGTGGCCAACCCAAAAGGCTTTGTGTGCCTCTTTGATAGCCAGTAAATCGTTTGCGGGCCGCATGTCTTTAATCCTTTTATTAAAATAAACTCTCTCTGAATGATGTGTAGAAATATCTAATTTTAATGCACATAATAAATTGCTAAATAAAATGAAATGCTAAATATCAAAATAAAACTAATGTGATATCATTTTATCTTTCCTCTCACATATCTTTTTGAAATTCATTTCTTTGTCAATTTAATGATGAACAAATAGTTAAATTTGTGATGAATCAGGCATTCATGGGCAACAGTATTTGACATGGTGGGCCGCATGCTGGCCACGGGCTGTTAAAACAATTGTATTTCGGGTGTAAATGTTAGCCAGCATTGGTGAAAAGAAATGGTCATGGCATATCAAATGCTTGGGTTGTCCGAGCTGTACTTTCATGTTCAAAATAGGACTTCATTTGTGCAGTCACCAAGTGAATGGGGAATTTTACAAACAACGTTAAAATGGCAAATTCTAGTCTAGTCATTGTGCTACTTAGGTTTTGTTTAGACAGATACAGACCAATTCAGTTTGAAACATCGCTAATAAAAGATCCATTTGGTACAGATGCACCATTTTAACTAATCTTGAACATTATATAGATAGACTTTTCTTGTTTTTTTTTTCTTTTAAGCAGCGCCTTATTTCTGCCAGTTGCTACTAAGGCATTCTTATCATTCTAAGTTCTTAAAAAATTCTAGCATTTCAGGGACAAATTGGGACTTTTTCTATTGTGTTTTTGAAATGTGTTTCTATGATCTTATTCAAAACATAAATTCAATTTGTTAACTACGTTGTTGTCGTCATCCCTATTTTTACTTGTACACCTACCAGTGAACATTCTTGATTCCCAATTGGACTGCCCAGTATATTGAATAGTAAGGCAGTGCCCATTTCATTTTTCCCCATATTGATTGGCGTATTTCTGAGAACTGCATGGACCACTGTTGAGACAATATCGAAACTGAAACACTTTATGTGTATAGTAAGCTTTCATTGCACTAAGCCGAAATTTGTTTAAAAGCTTTGTGCTAGTCAGTATTGTTTTCCTTAATTTTTTTTTTAAACCGTAAAAACAAAAAAAGGTAACCCTCAAACGGAATGGGAAATCTCATGTCTGTATTGAATCGGTGACGTCGCCATGATCGAGTTTGTCTGAATCATAGTAACGTTAGGTAATGGATGTTGGTCATGAACTCATAAGGCAAACTGGAATAAAACACGATTATGATTTAGTTTGGAAGTAAGTTTTCTTTTGACTCCACCTAAATTGTCGTATTTGTTGCTAAAATGCCTATCAAATGCTGTTTTAGTCACACATCATATAAAACAAAAATTGCTTTTATCAATCGAGTTTTAATTATATTGCCGAATAGCGTTTGAAATCATTATAAAACTCGTTTAGCAGAACTGTTAAAAAAGGTCCAAGTTCCACATAGACAGTTGTTTTTAATGTCCAAGTTTCACAGAGACAGACAGCTGTGGTTTAACGTCCAAGTTTCACAGACTCTGACAGCTGTTAACGTTCGGGTTTGGTCCGATCACAGGGTCGTGTAGGAGAGAGAGGGAGAAATGAGCCGCTCATCCATCCACTCGAAGAGCATCTCGTGAGATATGTGCATGGCTGAGGTTTTGTACCGTCACCTATAACGTTGTTTACATATTATTGCTGGCATGGCTTCAGCGTGTTCAAGTGGAAACCTTTTTTTTTTTCCTTTTAAAATATACCAGAAAGTTTGAAACAAATATTAATATTCCCAGCACGTTGATAGCATCGTGTGAAAAGTCTAGCTATATTCATTTTCACGGACTGCCACAACGTTAGTAAAAAAATATGTGATTGAATTAGCTGCGCGTTATGTTAAAAGAACGTAACAACTCTTTGAGCACACACATTAGCGGGTATTGAAGAGACAGTAACAATTTCATCTGTATAACGTCAGTGACAATTTCATCTGTATAACGTCAATAACAATTTCATCTGTATAAACGTGGCTCGACACTGTTCAAACGATGAATTTTCTCCACGTTTTCTATTACCCAGGGTCGCCAACCATGATCCATTGGCAAAAACACTGAATGGTGACTTAGTACAGTATTGAACATAGTCTGTTTATATATGTCATACACATTACTTACGGTTGTGGGAGAGAATGCACAAGTGGGGGGGGGGGGGGCGCTACTACCATAATCCAAGCTGTCACTAACATTGATAGCTGTTCATTCTCGAGATGTTGGTAACAGTAGTTGGTATACATGTAAGTAAGCGCACTATATTTTCCGTAAACCAAGTTAAGACCTTGAAGCTCGGTGTGGAAATTCAAATTTTCTACGCATGTCACTTGTCCTCGTCTGTTCAATTAATCTGGGACCACTGTCAGATTTTAGAAATGTGCGTGGATTCATTTTAATGAGCTGCTGCGATATAAGATATGCGCTTGGTTATTCCATCTGCACTAGACCCGTGGTTATTCCATCTGCACTAGACCTGTGGTTATTCCATCTGCACTATACCTGTGGTTATTCCATCTGCACTAGAACTGCACCGGATTTCTGCCTCTAGGAATAAAATGAGAACAGGGGTGGGGAAACTTTGCGTGCGTAGGGCCACATTGACAAATGAAAAGCTATTAGACTTATTAGAGGGCCGCGTATATATTTTTGCAATATTAGCATTACATCACTGTTTACAAAAATTGGAAAGAAATTTTATAAAATGTTAAAACAATCGTAACTGTCCATGAAATTCTGTAAATTTCAACAAGACTTAAAAACGAAGTAGTTTTTTAAATTTTCTAAATGTCCTCGGGGGCCGCATAACATCAGTTGCCGGTTCGCATGTGGCCCGCGGGCCGTAGTTTGCCCATCCCCGAATTAGAATATGGGGGGGGGGGGGCACCGGTCATAATTTCACTAAATCAGCACCTGATTTCTGACACAGGGAAGGAAATTAGAATCCCGGTTACCACTGTTGCCGGTTCGCATGTGGCCCGCGGGCCGTAGTTTGCCCATCCCCGAATTAGAATATGGGGGGGGGGGGCACCGGTCATAATTTCACTAAATCAGCACCTGATTTCTGACACTAGGAACGAAATTAGAATCCCGGTTACCACCGTCATATCTTTCTAAAGCTGCTTCCTTTGGGGAGGGGAGGGGGGGGATTCCCCCCTCCCCCTACAGAAGTATGACCGGACCATTCAATACCTAACCAATCGAGATGTTGTTGTGGATCTATTTTCTCAAGGGCTAGTGGGCTCGGGACTATTTTAAGGAGCCAGCCATTTCTTCGTGTGTGTAATTGTGTTGCTTTATATATTTAGAACCATGTTCACGATCTTCATGACTCGAAGTTTGATCTTGACACGTCTATCCCATTACCATTTAAGTGTTCAAAATCTAAGAGGTTAGCCATCTGAATAAGCTCGGCAAAATCGCGTGATGGGAGCAGCGCCAAAATGTCCATTCATTGGACTTTTTACACAAACAACTCTATGTTGGATGACTAGCTAATGATTAAGTAGGACCTCATGAGGTGCGGACATTAAGACGGCACCAAATACCCAATTATAAGGGTGACAACTTGTATTTATAATTAGAGGAATTACAACCGGCATGTTATTCGCAACTTTTGCTTGGCGCAGTCTCATTTCCTCGCCGGGTCGGTGTATTGTGAACTGAGCAAAGTCTAATCTTGATAATTAATTTGAAGTGTGCACTTTTGTCAAACACACAGTAACATTTTTACTTAATAGTGACTCACAGAAATAAATCTGTGCTGGAACATTCCTATCATTAGCTTTACATGTGTCCGCAATGGATGACGCTCGCATGACGTCATTCGCCGGAATAGAATGAAGACGTGTCACCGACTCCATATCCCCGAACTCCATCTCAACAGTGACATCCAAAACTGCTTAAAACTTTCCCGAAAACGCACTTTCAGTTTAAACGGAGACCTGCCACCGTGCGTGGTAGTCATAAAATGACTTAACTGATGAGTGTGTAAGCCAAGCTTTGTGTGTTGTATCACTACAGAGTAGGATCGCTGCATGTTTAACAATAGCCCCTGTGCCCTAGTCTTAAATTCACTTGTTGTCCATGCGTTTGATACCGGCGTATCGTTCTAATACGGGAGCCCGTCCTTCACGTCAGGCGAGGGGGTTGTCTAATGACGTACTGCCCACGCACTCAGTGCGCCACGTGAAAACTTCACGCACACTCAGCACGTTTCTGACATTCCACGCAAAGCTTGGGCTGTTTTCGTCGCCCGCCCCTACAGCTGGCTTGCAGTTCACTCACGACTGTTATGACTGTGATCTAGTTTACCTACGGCTACTGGCTTGATACCGCCTCCACCGTCTCCCAGACTGATTAGATTTTAAACTGTATCCAAGTTCTATTAAAAAAATCACCCGGTTTTCTTTGTATAGTTGACTCCTGCAATGATCATACTATCTTTCTTTGATGCGTTACAGTATGTCATTTAAAGTTAATATTCGTGCGCTACATTTTTGGCTACTTCAGGTTCAATAAAAGGCTATATTATTATTATAGGCTTGTAGGGTCGATTCATATAATAATCTGGTCAGTTTCAGGCATCTGTCAATAGCTTCCTAAGTCCTGTATAACTAACAAACTATTCATGATTTAAAAAAAACAAAACAATATCGTGTCAAAGACACCCACCCCATTTTAAATGAAAAGTAAAGATTTTATGTTCTCATTCTGTTAGGGAAGTTAAGAATGTACTTGCCAATGACCTGTGGCTAATAACTGTAACTCATTGACATGAATCTAATGCAGGCACTAGGCTCCCTTCTTAAGTATTCACAAGAATATTTTGTCTTCATTCATAATCATAGGAATCTAAGGCAGAAATTAAAATTTTCCCTCATATTCACAAGAATCTAATGTTGTAATGCAGGCGTTAAACATGTTCTCCTCAATATGCACAGGAATCTAAGGCAGTCTTTCCTTCAAATTCACAGGAATCAAACACACTATTGTAGATATTAAACCAGGGGTGGATAACCCAAGAGGCTTAGTAGGCCTCTTTGATATTCATTTGCAGGCTGCATGTCATTACATCCATCCCTGTGGCGCTACAGCCCATTTAGGGCTTTGGCCTGCCTCACCACTTCCTTCCACTCAGACCTAACTAATGCCTTTCTTTTCCATGCTTGGACTTTCAACTGCTGTAGATCTTTTTCCACATCATCTATCCACCTAAGCCTAGGTCTGCCTTTGAGCCTTTTTCCTCTGGGGTATTGGTGATGCATCCTCTTCGTTCCTCTGTCATTGGCATTCTCTCTAAGTGTCCTGCCAAGCGTGCATGTCATTACACCTATATTAAAATAAACACCCGCTAAATGTTTATCTCATCTTAATGCACATCATGAATTTCTAAATAAACAAAATGTATGCAATATCATTGGTTCTTTTCTCATTTATATTTTTACAATTGATTTCTTCGTCCACCAAATAAAGAACGATGAAGTTTGAGGCGGGCCGCAAGCTGTTCTGTTTTTGAACTCACATACATCTAAAGCAGGCAATAGAGTTTTCCTGTGTAGTCACAGGAATCTTTTATGTATACTATCACAAAGTAATGCAATAATAACGAAACAAAATCTCTCTAGCTCATAATTTTCATCCCCTTCTGTATCCTGATAATCTGATTTCTCAATGTTTGCTTTTTTCTCCCTCATTACAGTCCTCTATCTATAGTTAAAATGCAGGTTGTATGTCATCTATGTATGTGAAATTTTTAAAATTGGATACCATATCCAATCCATGCAGAGCAAACTATATCTGAATAGTCATTGTTATGCTTCTGTAACTGTCAGCTGAGATGTTTAAAGATTATTTAAGCCTGGTGCCTGTATTGAGTAATGTAAATTTAGTTATCTTATTGATTTATGCTAGGTGATAGTTTTAAACCTTTTTATACAATAGTCTTTTTAATTTGATCATAACATGTTAAAATGTTTTCTAATCATGAGATCTTTGTGCATGTGCTGAGGCCATGCAAATTCAAAAATATACCTAGGTTATTGGGTGTATTTAAAGAAAAGCACTCACTCTTTTCAGATGATGCTGCTCTGAAAGAGAATCAGGGAACTCGATAAGCTAATGGAAAATTAATTTTTATCCTGATTCATTTTTCCAAAGAAATGTAGCCTCAAGGTCCTCAAGCTAGAAATTATGTGTAGTTTACTTTGCAGTTTCCATTTGAAACCAGTCAGATTCTTCTAATCAGTATTCCAATTTTATTTTAATATAGATTGCATGAAGAGATTATTGACTTCTACGAACACATGTCTCCTCAACCTCAGGAAGAAAGTATGCGCAAAGCAGTAGTAGATCGTCTGAGATCTGTTATAAAAGGTCTTTGGCCCAATGCTAAGGTAATAATTTTAACACTTGCTGAAAATGTTAACAATTTATAAAAACATATTTAACTATTTTGATAATAAAGGGACTATAGTAAAAATATCTTTTACAATGTTAAAATACGATTTTTAATCTATAACTGTTTGCTTTATTTTTCAACAGGTTGAAATTTTTGGCAGCTTTAGAACTGGACTTTATCTTCCCACCAGGTAGTAAAGATTCTCCCACCTGAAAGCTTTCATTACATAAAATCTTTGGAGATAATGAATAAGAATCATAGTGAACTATCAATTGTTAAAACTAATACACAAGTTCACTCTAGGAAAACCGCTGTTGGATTTTTTAAATCAGATTATAAAGGATTACCATTATATATTGCCCTTGTTATATACCGTTATATGGTTTTGAAATTTAATCTATTTTAAGATTTGCCTTGTAGAATGAACAATACATAACAAAGGACTTAAAACAAATATATATAGAAAAACGGTACTAAAGCTAGTGATACTAACAATATTCAATTTAATTTCACTAGAAAATGTCTATAAAAATGCAAGCTAAAATAAAAAAAAAAAAAAAAAAAAACTTTATCAAACTAAAAAATGTCTAAAAAAATGCAAAAAAAAAAAAAAAAAAAAAAAAAAAAACAACTTTATCAACTTACAGCTCAGCAAGTGAAATGTTACCTCTAAAAATACAAATGTTAATATACACACACTTAGAGTACAATCAAATTTTACATACCAAAAATCTCTCCTTGGCAGCTAGGAAAGCTACCGATAGCTACAGGCCTATATATAAGGATTAAATAAGAACCATATAGTAAAGAAGTTCTAGAAAGTGCGGCATTCTTTAGAGCAAAAATAGAACGTTTTTGAAGGAAAAAAAACAACTTTCCCCAATATATGGGGGGGGGGGGCACCACCGCACTACACATTTAATTGGTGACGTCAAAATCAAAACAAAGGGGGAAACATTTTCTGGTAGCTAAAATTAGCCCTACACATATGCGCCATAACAGCTTCATAAAATATATTTGGTGCTTCGTAACTAATCAGTGAAGATTGGAAACATTTTGTAATCAACGGAGAGTACCGATTTTGAATTTAAATAGGTGACTGAGCATGATTTAAAAAAACACCTGACTTTTTATTATATACCATGCTATTGTTTCTGTTAGAAGAAACAGTTATCTATAACACAGTTCCTTTGTTTTGATTCTCAGTAATTCAAAATCAGCAGTGAATATTGGTAGAATTAGCTTAAATAGATTGAACTTTGTGTCCATGTCTCTTCTTCGCTCTTGTTCATGGGGGTTAATCTTTTTCCTACAGAGTTTTTCTCAGACTTTTTTTTAAAAATAAATACCTATAGATGACTTAAAACCAATTGCCCATATTTTTGCATCAATGGAACAAGAAAATTAAATTATGATATTATGAAGTATTATTTAGTTGACAGTCTTGGAAAGATAATGACTGAAAAAATGACCCACTTTGCTCTGAAAAATCCCCATTTATTACTATTCATTATATGAGTGGAATAAAGTAAAAATAAAAAACAACAAACAGAAAGCAGCAAAGGAAACAAAATAGTCTTTTATCTGAGCAGAGCTTATGTTCACTCGACCCTTTTTATTTGAAATTTAATATATTGGCACAAAGCTGATAAAAGGATAATTTATTACTAATTTCACGTTTCCTGCAGCCTTGACACATATCAATGTATGCTTTTATGCCATAACAAAATATCTGTATTTCAGTGACATTGACTTAGTTGTGTTTGGAAATTGGGACTCCCAACCGCTCTTTACGTTACAGAATGAATTGGTTGCCAGAAAAGTCGCTCACCCCTCCACTATCAAAGTTTTAGATAAAGCATCTGTAAGTTTATAAGATTGTATCTAGTGCCACAATTATCAATGGAATCATTCAATTTTTATTTACGTTTGTTTTGTGATGAATTCATGATTACTTTACTAGACTCATTTTCATTGCAAATTATATTTTAAGCAATCGTAAGAAAAATATGTTTTAGCTCCTCATTCGAGAAAGGCATCTTATGTTTGGCAAGATTATTTTTTAAAAATGACATTCAATGTAAGTTGTTTTATTTACTTGTTTTATTTTTAAAATTTCAATTGTTAACTGAGGGATTTAAAAATTATGGGCAAAAAGACAAAAATAAACTGTTTTGTTAATGGCCTTATTATATTTCTATGTTTCTTAAAAACCCTTGGCTGTTAAAATTACATTTTAATGAGACTTTCACCAAATCATTACTATAGTGTTTTGATTGAATCTTGTTTCAGGTACCTATAGTTAAATTGACTGACTCTGAGAGTGATGTTAAAGTGGATGTAAGTTTTAACACTGATAGTAACCAGAATTTTGGTGTGGAGAGTGCTCGTCTTATAAAGGTTGGTTTTAAAAGAAATATTTGTTTGCATTAACTTATAACAAGTCAATTGAATTTTGTTTACGTAAGAAAACTTAAGTATTTCAGTATTTTAATTATCATTTCATATGATATTAAATGTAGAACTGGAAATACAGACATACTAAAGCCTTTGTCACTCTCTGTTGAGATATTCCTTTCCATCAGTATTATGTTTCAAAGGATAGGATAGGGAAAAATATACACATTATATGATAGGTTACCAGGTTAATTTGTGTGTAATCAGGTGGGAAAGACTTGTTTTTGTTCATATCTTAATCTTGTGTGGTTCCAGAACTTCATTAAATAACTTGGAAATATTTGGATTAAAATATTTGCATCTCCATAGAATTTGGTCCCTCTTCCCTTTTATTTTCAAAATTTTGGAATCAAGCTAATGACAACCATATATTCACAAATTTATCTGCCAATGCTCTTCATATATATTATATATATTTATATTATCTATGCTTAATTGCAACTGCTACATTCTGGCTTTACATACTTCTGACAACTTATTTAGAATATATGGCATGGAAAAGTATTTGATCATTACATTTGTGGCCTTCTCCCAACAACAAAGACAATTATATAAAATTAATGAGAAATTATTTTATGATCTTTTTTTTATTTTACAAACTTGCAGGATTACATGAAAGAATACGACTGTTTAAAATATTTAGTTTTGGTGCTCAAGCAGTTTCTGCTCCAAAGGGACCTGAATGAAGTGTTCACAGGGGGCATATCTTCATATAGTCTGACCTTGCTGGCAATTAGTTTTTTACAGGTACACAATGTCATAACAATTTTTAAGTGGATTTAGCTCATCCAAATTTCTGTTATCTATTTATAGTGCTTGGTCTAAATTTATTTCAAGGTATTTCATTCATAATTTGTAATTTTGAAGCTAAACATACATTTTTATTAATTTTAAGGTAATTAATTGCTGATTTCAAATTCTATATTAAAGAGTTCTTATTACAAATACTCTTACAAAGATTAAACTACTTGTATGTGCATTTGTGTTCATCACAGCTACATCCAAGGGCTAATGCTACAAAGGCACAAGTTAATCTGGGGATTCTGCTGATAGAATTTTTTGAGCTTTATGGACGCAACTTCAATTACCTGACAACTGCTATTCGCATCAAGAATGGAGGAGCTTATCTTCCAAAAGATGAACTATCGAAAGACATGGAGAATGGTTACAGACCTTCTATGCTGTGCATTGAAGATCCACTCAAAGCTGGTAGCTAAATATTTTTAAAAATAATAGTAAAACATAATTTTTGAACTTATTTTGAGCATAAGTTCAAAATTGTTGCTCTAATACATGGAAATTGTTTGCAACCTCTATTAGTTACGAACTCTGATGGAAAATAAATAATTTTATAATTAATGCCTAGCATCTATTTATTGCTTTTGTTGTAATATTTGTGACAGGAAATGACATTGGACGAAGTGCATTTGGAGCCATGTCTGTAAAAAAGGCCTTTGAGTATGCTTATCTTGCGCTCAATCATGCTGTTGCGCCACACAATATTCATCTGTCACAGCACAATGAAAGGTAAACCTGTAATACAATAATTAATGTCAAAGGACAAAAATAAAAATATATTTCTTTCACCCATAAACACAAGCTATGATGCTAATATTATAAAACTGAACAATAATTATGCCTATGCTATAATGACTAACTGAAGATTTATGCCTTATGTCATATAAGTGCTTAGGAGTAAAAAACACATATAGATTTATTCAATGCTCTGTGCTATCATATAAATTAATGGGGGGGGGGGGGCAGTTTTTTTTCCACTGAGTCTGATTATTTTTGGAAAATACCCCTTTGGAAAATACCTGGGGGGTCCAAGTTTTTTTTATTCAATGCTCTGTGCTATCATATAAATTAATGGGGGGGGGGGGCAGTTTTTTTTACACTGAGTCTGATTATTTTTGGAAAATACCCCTTTGGAAAATACCTGGTGGGTCCAAGTTTTACCAAAAAAATGTTAACTTCTTATTTGCTATAATATATGCCAGCTTTTAAACAATATTATTTAGACAGTCCTACACACTACCTGCCAGCCTTTAAACAGGCCTACAGACAGTCCTACACCCTATACATCTGCCTTTAAACTGTAGTCCTACAGAATCCTACACCAGACATGTGACTCTTTTAGTCGCCTCCCCCTAAAGAATAAAATCAACCTAAACAGAGTTCAGATGTAATGCATGAAAGCTTGCTGCTCGACAGCCATTTTTTTCACTCTGTACTATTAATATTAGGTGGAGTTGGGGGAGGGCTGACTGAAGAGGAAGCAGGGAGAACCAGAAGCAAAATATATATGATATATATATATTTATATATATATATTACAAAAATGTTAACAATTATTTTCTCAAATAAAATCCACCAACTCATGTTGTTAACATTTATTTTTCTTGGATAGCATCCTAGGAAGAATTATCAGAGTTACAGAGGAGGTCATTGAGTACAGGTCGTGGGTAAAGAATAAGTTTTCAAAAAGACAAAAGATGAATAAGGAGAATATGTATGACGTGGCACCATTTGAGTCTTCCCCACCACCACCACCACCCCCAGCATCACCCCCAGCTGCAGATTCAGCTCCCATGAAAGCAACAAGTAGTAAACAGGGATCACATCAACAAAGTAATGAGGTTTCCTATGCTGCTGTAGCTTCTAGAAAAACTGAAGTTGCTAGGTGAGTTGAAGGAATTTTTTTAAATCAGTTATTGGCTTCACATAAATACCTGACTTTAACGTAACTGTTGGGGGGGGGGGTGTTTGGGTGTAGTTGCTAATTATGTCTGTCAATTATATTTTTTAAGTGGTGATGCTGCATTATATTTTATTCTTGTGTCTGAATGAGCTGTTTTCCATTGTTTTGTTGCAAGTGTTTGAAATTAAGAAATCTTAAATTGATCTGCTATAAGTTAATCCACCTCATCAAATAAAATAATAGTTAATTAAGACTGGGGTTTTACATAATCCGTGCTTAATGTACAGTTAAGATGTTTATTCTTTAATTTTAATTTCTGTATAGCGGTGTGTAATTATTTTAAATGTTGTTGTTTTTGTTGTTGAGCCTTCTCGTCCATGAGGGGCATCCACCGATCATCGTCGGCGTCTGCGTTTCCTCCAAGGGCATAGGCCACCTACGAGAGACCTCCAGGCATCTCTATCCTGGGCCAGCTTCTCCAGGATCAAGAAAATTGGCCATGAATGGAATTATTTTAAATGCTTTATTTTTATTGTCCTGTCTTTCTATTTCAAGCTTCCACACACCTTCTTCCACTTTTTCCTTCACACATGTTGAACTCGGTCTTTGATTTATTATCCTTTTTTTTTTTTTCAGAGGGGCATCAAGCAGCAACTTAGCTGAAGCAAGGAATTCCAATAGCCTGACTAGTCAAGAGGGCAATGGTGAGAGCGAGGCCAGTGACTCCTGCGGGAACAGCTCAGGTTACAAGTCTTCAGCCAGCTCACAGGCCGGGTCAGATGGGAACATCAGTGACACTGTAAGAAATAAATTCATTTGAATTCATCATCTCCTTCTTATGATTTCATCCAAGCCCTCTATTTTCATGTAACTATTTAGCATTTCTACTTAACCATGCTGGCTGTGCTTTTTAACCCTGGCACTGCTACTATTTTATAGTTTTGGCAAGCAGTCCAAACAGAATATGCAGTGATCTTTCTGAATAGCTACACAAGTGGGCTTTTGAAACTGCTTCACTTAAATATATTTCATTTAAAATTGCAAAAATATATATTTATTTGTAATTTTGATGCGCACCATCAAATAGTATTCAAAGTATCTTTCTTCTGGGATTTTCTAAAATCATTAATTTGAAAGTTATTTATTCTAGATATTCTAAATTGCAAATATTTTATTGTTTATATATTTTCTAGAAATGTATTATTTTGTATGATTTCTGAAATTAATTCCACTGTTGAATTTCAGGATTCAGAATATGGAAATGAAGCCAACCAGCCTCGACAAACACACTTGTTTCAACATAGTGAGTCAATACCAGGCAGCAAAACAGGACGTTCATCAGCATCTGGTGGGCACTACAGCGGAGGTCATAACCCAAATTTGGCGAGAAGTAGAGAATCTTCTAAGCCATCAGTATCACCTCAAGGCAACAACTCAGGTGTTAAACCACCACGGGATGCCAGCAATAGCAGTGTGTCTTCCTCTCGTTCATATAATGGCAACAGTAGCAGTGGGGGTGGAGCTGGTGGCAGCACTAGTGCAGTCTTTTATTCAAACCGCCACTACAGTTCTTCAGGCTACAATGGTTTCAATGGGGCTTCTCATTCTCAACATGACCCATCTGCATATCCGTCTGTCCAGCACCATTCTTATCTATTGTCGACCAATCCTGGGCCGTCAACGAGAGATAACAGAGAACATTATATGTCTTATGGGAATGGGGCCACATCACAAGGAGGGATGCCACTGCAACAAGCACATCAACGCCCTCCCCCTGTTCCTTTCAGCACCTCTCACAACAGTAACTCAAGGTCAGGAAATGTTAAGGTGTTCAGCAGGCACAATGCAGGAGGTAAACAAAGACGGAAAAGTGGTAAAAGAGATAATTCCCAAACTAGAGGAGGCAGCAGCGCCAGGTGATATGAAGTGGGCTCTGTTGACAGAGCATGCCTGATGTAAAAATCTATATACCCCCTAGTGTGTGATTTCTACAAGATGAGTATCTGTGCGACAAGTTATATTCTTTAAATGAAAATACAGTCATATCTATAGATTACAATTAAATAACTATTTCGTATCTAATTTATATAAAAAATAATTATAACATATTTCCATACTAGGCTGCCAAACACATTGGCCGTCACCATTGTTTAGCTTTGACATAACTTTGCTGAGGCTTTTTCCAAAATTTCAACAATTAGTCATGTGAACTTTAATACAGGATCATACTGTGTTTATCAAGTGTGACCATATTATCAGCTGCCTAACAGAACTGTTTAAAGTGTTATTGTTTTCAATCATTCAATCATGCATCATTTTTTTGTGCCGGTGGAGGAGGATATCAAAGCCATGGAGTGTTACAGCTTATTAGTTTAAGGGTATGATTTTGTAGTCTGAGGTAAACTTTGTATAAAAGATTTGATGTAATTATTTATTTGACACTAGGCTAGCTAATTCGGCGTTTAAACCTACATCTGGGACTGGTGACTATGACTTTTCATTAATATATATTGTTGTTTTGTTGATTAATCAGTAATCTTTATCAACTCACTTGCCTAGGTATATATTTTTATGATATAAAATTTTATAACATGCATAAAATAATTCATTTCATGCAACAAAAAAATAATAAAATAAAGAAAGGTATCTTTCTTGAAGAGATATAATCTTTTTTTTTTAAGCACTATGAAATTATTTGAACTGATAATTTATTTCATTTTTGCACAAAAAGTAAAGTTATCTTTCTAAAAGAGATATTATCTCACAAAAAAATATTAAGCACTATGAGGTGAGTTGATTCTTACAGTATTGATTTGTATATGATCATGTTGAACTATAAAAAATTTTTAAATTGTGAATTTTTAGATGACCAAGTTGAAATGAAAATTGTTGTTTTTAAAGATAAAAGATAACAAATTAAATTTAAAAAAACACCAACGCTGTCATAGCTTCATTATGACTATACGGTTTTTTAAGTTGGAACTGTTTCTCTAAGTGTGCTGGATGGGTTGCTTGAAATGTAAGATAATCTGTATGCTTGTCCCGAAGTTTCTGGAAATGGCAGCTGTCTAAGTTTAGTTCTAAAATTTTAAAATTGTTTCAAAATAAATGTCCCCAAAAACAGTTTTCAAAACGATTTTACCCTCTGGACATCGACCAACGGTATTTTAATATAAGGTAGTGACTTTAAGTTTTTCCTTTGTACTTTTGTGATACATGCGTGTATAATAACTTTCTAAATTTGAACATTGTAGTACTTACTAATATTTAAAGAGATATTTTCATCATTTCCCTATTTTGAAAAAGTTTTGAATGGAATAATTTTAAAAGAAATACATGATCATCGTTTCTTTCTTTTAACCAAAAAAAAAAATGAAATAAATAAAAAATGAAATATTTAAACAGAAAGTAGTGTTTTACATATTGACTTGAATTTTTTGCATTGAATTTTGGTTCATCAATTATTTCTATTCATTTATTTTAAGTCCAAAATTAATTGAAATTTTTAAAAATTATAAATAACCTTTTGTTGTCTGTATGTTAATTATATTTTTTTTACTTGTGTGTGCAAATCAATCAATATATTTATTTTGGTACAGAAAAAGTTCTGATCAGCAGCAATGAAAATTAGGAATATCTGAGCTTGTAATGTGTTTGAAGTGGTGATAACAACTTTCTGTAGAAAAAAAAATTCCTGTGCCATCTACAGTGGCAATGTGTTTTTATCACTGTTTTATGATATCAAAACATATTTTAAAAAAACTAAAAAAAAACTTGAGAATGGATTAAATTTTGATGGATGTTTAAAAGTAGAATTGATTTTTTTTTTATAATGTTGAGTATATTGTTAAGTCATCTGATGTTGAGATTTTTTGTTAGTCATCTGATGTTGAGATTTTATAATTTTTTTAATATTTTTTTTTAAACTTCTGGAAATATTTTGCTAAAGCTGTTATTAGTGACAAACTAAAACTTGATAAAATTTTATATATTTCATTTTTTTTAAATTATTTTTTCAAGCAATATTTTTCACTTTAAAAAAGTTAAAGCTGTTCATTTTTCCAACATAAAAATTTTATGTTTAAGAAAGTTATTAAAAATGTAGTAACCATTATTTTTGTCATGTCTTGAACATGACTTAAAAAAAATAAAAATTAAAGTAATATTAGTAATATTTTAAGTATAATTATGGACAACCCCTTTAAGAACTTAAAAAACAATCTCAATTTTCACTTTAACAGGAGGGTGTTGGTTGATGTGTAGTAAAGCAAAATTTATCTGCATCTTTCATTGAAATTGAGAATTTATCATTGACCCTCTTACAATTGATCACACATTAATCTCTGATAACAATCCTAGAGGATATTGCAAATTGATATGCTAGAATTTATATTAAAGTACTCATTACAAATCATTGCAAAACGGCCATTTTTGTTCAGCAAAGCCTGAAATGTCGAATATTAAAATTTGATTGTTACAAATGACTTCCATTGGCAATGAATGAGATTAAGCAACCATCACTAAGTCTTTAAACTGTTCATCTGTGTTAAACAGATAAAGATTTTATCCTTGTTGTTGTGGTAATGTTTATTTTCTGTAATCGAGTTTTAACAATTTTATTTTAATGTTGTATGCGATTTTCTGCACTTTGTCATCAAACAAACTAAAACAACTTTCTTATAAAAGGGTTTTCCACATTTTATTTTCGACTACTTAATATTCTGCTAAAATATGCTACTTGGTTTGGGCATTAAATGAAGATCACTTCAACATACAGTAATTAGAGTTGAAATTCAGATAACAACACTTTGTGGACATGATTTTTGCAAAAGTGATAAGAAAATGAAAAAAAATCACTCAAATATGAAAGCAATGATATCTTGTTAGATTTCACTCTGTTCAAAAATCGTTTTGTGTTCTTCCGATGTCTTCTGTTCTGAGCATTTTAACTTCAAATGTTTTTGAAATTGATCCAGCTAAACTAAGTTTTTAAAAATTGTTGTGAATTAAACCAATAGCCTACTTCCGTTGCCTTGCTTTCAAATGTGAATCCTTCCAAAAATAAATTAAAACAAACCATAAAACTGTGTGTACTTACAACTGATCGTTGAAACAAAAAAATATGTTTTTAATTAAAAGTACTAACATGCTATGCATTTGTGTACATACATTCTTGTGTAAATAACTCATGTACTATTGCAAATGTGCATTTTTAACTGAGAGTTTTTGTTTCCATGTCCCACTGTCAATGAAATGAGCCAAGCTTTTAGGTTTTAGGATGCTTGATGTCCTTAGAGTTCACAACCCAATTTATCTCAACTGTTTTTGGTTCATGGGAATGTTGGCTTACTTTGCATGATAATGTAATATCCTTTAAAATGTTTGATAAAGTCCCCATTAAAGGAATGAAACTCTGTGTTGAAAGGACTGTCATTAGATTCATTCCATATCTTTCTTAGCTATAGAAAATATTTTTTAGTGCACCACTTCCCGTTAGATTTTATTTATTTTTTTTTTAAGTTAAAAATAAAATTAATTAAATTGTGTTTTTTTAAATTTATGCACCCTTTGTGATCAGTGAAAATTTAGCAAAGATATTTCAAAAATAGAATTTTAATAATTAAAAAATTGTGACTATGCTTATTGTCATAACTGTCACCATATTTAAGGGAAAAGAAGGTGTTCTTATCTAACAGTGCATAAAAAGACAATGGCATTAGACTGACAATTTAAACGTTTTAACTAGTGAAAGTTAATATATACATATATGTAACCGACATTTTACTTCGCATCAGGTTGAAGGGCACTTGCCCCCTTGGCCCCTGAATCAGAGGTGTTATATAGGTCTGAAATAGCGTTATTTAAAATTTAAAGTGGAACATACATATTTGATTAAAAAAATGACTTTGACAAATATTTAGTGAAAGCTATTTCATCTATTATCTGGCTTATTCATGTTTTGTCACTGGGACCTACTACCCCATTTTTTTGTATAGAGTTATGAGCAATGTTCCCTCTAAGGTTTGCTGGTTCGTGTGCAAAGTTTTACAGCATCAAGATTTTTGTGTGCAAAATTTTACAGCCCACAAACACAAACACACACTGGCATGAACATTTGCTTGCAATACTCAAAACATTGGTTATGGGAGAAAATTGTCACAAATAAGATACTTTTGGCTTTGCTCATCTTTTCTGTGTATCAAGTTTTTTTTAATTTAAAGTCTGAAATTATTTTCTCTTTTTCCTAAGTGTGCTGTACTGAAAATTTTTGTGTACAATATTTGTTCACCTTGACCTGTTTTATATATATTTTCTTTCTAAAATAGAGCTCTGTATCAATTGGTATAAGTAGTTACAATAATTGTGATTATGAAATAAGGTGTGTCAAAAGTTGATAAACTACACATCTTCATTAATGCAGTGTAGTATCTTAAATGAGCCTTTTGTATGTAGAAAGTGTCGAGTCAGTTGGTAAATTTCCCCTGCTTTTCAAAAGCAAGCCATTGTTATTGTATGTTTGTGTGTGCAATTGAAGCTCAATGTTTGTAAGATCATAACAGATCCTGAGGGTATAAATTCATTTGCTTCATATTTATTTATATTGAACTTGAACCATTTGTTCTTGCTGTGTTTTGGTGTGTGTTTGGGGAGGGGGAGGTTGCTATTTAAGGAGGACACTCGGGTGTGCCAAGCAACTTAAGGATTTAGATATTATTGTTAATGAACCAAGGAAGATAAAAGTTGGCACTTGATTTCTGACAATATTTGCTGAGCATTTTGAAAAGGGTCGAAGTGGACTGTTAAAAAACAATGCTAGATCTAGCAGTGTTAACAAATGTCAAGAAACTGATTGCAATGACTATACCGGTATGAATCAAATGTCCTCAGCTCATTGATACAACAAATCTCCATCACCTTATAAGTTAAAAGAAACATTGTTTCAACTTTTGCAATTAAGTTTTTGATGAATATTAAAGAAAATAATAATACTTAAAATGTAAATATTACTGTCTTCAGTTTTTAAAAAGTATGCATTCATAATTTTATTCATGTGACATGTTCTTTTAAAGGCTTGTGGTATGCATTATAAGGAAAATCGAAAAAAAATTGTCCCAGAATATTGAGGGTGAATGTTGTGTGGATAGAAGAGACAAAAATATTTGTGTTGTGACAGAATGAAATTTAAGTTGAAGTAGTACCCGAGCATATATTCTTCCAGTTTTAAATCATTAACATAGCAATTTGAAGGGAAAAAACAAGCAAAACAAAAAATAGTCCTGATCCATACTGCTATTAGTTATTTGTCTCAAATTGATGGAACTTACTTCATGCCTAACATACTATGTGCTAATAATGAATTGTTTCGTGCTATTTAGTGGAAGTCAGTTGTGTAAATAAAAATTGTAATGTATGTTTGAAGTTTTAATTTGATAACAAAATATGATGAAGTAAAAAATAAAAAAAATGTAAAATAAAATAAATAAAAAAAAGTAAATAAGAAACTAAAAATGGAATGAAAAAAAAATAAAAACAGTTAAAAACATGATTTGTTTGGTTTTCTGTTGTTTTTTCTTGGTGCATGTCTGCTATCATTGTTTTATGCATATTTGAAAACATTTAAAATCTAAGTAAAATTGATTCTTCCCACAAGTCTTGAATAAAATAAGACTGATTTGAACATGGTAAGTAAAGACAAAATGTAAGGTACTTGAATTAAATTGTCTGTACAGAATGTTCCAACATCTACATCAGAATCATTGCAGTACACATGATCTCAAGGTTCCGCTTATATGTATTAAGTGGACCTACTTCTCCATATTCAGCCTGGGACAGATTTTTATGGTTTATTGGCCTCAGCTGGGGGGGGGGGAGATATTGAGTGTGCCACACCTTCCCACTTCTCCCAAAATAACACAAAACTGTACAACCAAAATAATAAATTTGACCACTTAAGGATGACAATTTTTTAAAACAAATCGTGTTGGAGGAGATAGGCCCAAATCTAGATTTTGCATGACAATATGAATGAAAAAGTAATCATTTTTTATCACCTCCACCCCATTCCCCTCAAACCATACAAGAGCCTAAAGTAGTAAAAGTGAGAAAATAAGTGAATGCATAGTAAAGCATATTAAAGTGAGGGGCCGTCCATAAAGTACGCCACGCTATTTTTGACCATATTTACCCCCCCTCCCCCATGTCACATACTGTCACAAATCTCGGACGCCCCCAAGTACGTCACACTTTCGAACACAATTTTTTTAAAAATTTATACACCTAATTAAAATTTAATCTAAAACACTCTTCACTATTAAACTGCTTTAAAATATAAAATTTCCACTTAAAAAAACAATCACATTATTAAAATGACTTTAATCGTAGAATAGTCATTCATTGAAGCAGTAACTCAATTTAGATTGAATTTGAAAACAAAAATTTCAAAAATTAGACTAGACAATTATATAATACACATCATCTATCTGCTGCTTTTTCATTTACAATAGTTGAGGTCAAATTTTAGAGAATCTTCCGATTATGCAATCTTTTAACACAGGATTAGAAGTAGATTAGCGAAACTTGACCTCCCCCAGTGATTACATAATAAAAAGGACAGTAACATAATTATGGAGCGGAAAACATAGAAATAATAATACTTCAGGCATGACGAAAGCAAGGCTATACATCAAACAAGGCTTCGCATACTAGTGCTTTTAGCGAGAGGAATCGTGAACAACGCATTCAGGAGATACGCATTTCATGCTATTTTGACATAAAACTAATTCA